TTCCTTTCCTCACGTGACCCAGTTGGCAATCACTAATGTGATATGAGTGATTACGCACTGATCCAGGCTGGGAATTGAACCCTGGAATGGATTCTCAACAGGAAGCTAAACTACCGAGCTGCACTGTTCTCAATTGCACAACTTGATTCAAATATAAATATATATATATGAAATTAGGCCTTAAATATACTTAAAATACTCTTAAGGTTGTTTCCCGCCTCCTCAAAAAAAAACGTCTACCCCCAAAGAAACGGATTTTTTTTTTTTTTACACACACACACCGGCAAAAATCTTTTTATTAGGTCCCGCACAAAAGCCACAACCATGTTGTTACAAGTTTCTTAACAATCTTTGCATTTGATAATCTTTGCATTCAACATAGCGCCTTATCACGTCGTTGAGACGTCTCAAGGCGCTTCACAGAATATACTGTAAACTGAATCGACTGTGTGTCTTGTGGGGCCAAACATACTTTATGTTAAAGACGGTATATTTTCTTCCCTCTGTACAAACAGTGCCACGGGCCTCAATCCTACGCCCGTTTCAACACAACTCAAGACGGTCGCATTTTCGATGACAGATAAAATCGTTACTAGTGATAATTGTCACAAATTGTCCCAGTCAATGACTGGTGAGTGCCCCCCACCCCACCCACCCACCTCCCCTCCTCTCTCCCTTCCCCACTTTGAGAAAATGGTTGGATGCAAATTCTTGCAGCAATAGTTGAACTGTTTGATGCATGAATGAGGGAGATTGGAATAAAGGGGCTAATGTATACTGTACACAAGAGGTAATAGGAGGGGTGAAGGTTTGTGCGGAGTATAAACACCTGCCTGGACTGGTTCAGCAATTGTCCGTCCAAACTCCCCCACCCCTTTGCTTGTCAATTCAGGATAAACCCACCTTAAACCCAAGATAGCGATCAGATTGAATGTCGCATTTTATGCTTCACGCACTCTGAAACTTAAAACAAGAAAGGGCGTTGGAAGACTGTTTAGCAACACACTGAACCAGTCGGTGAGGACAAAGAATGAAATAAACCCAACCTATTGACCGCAAAATCCGCACAAGTCTGAACTGTATCAATCGTATAACCGCCCGAGTCAAACATCCACCCGAGTTTATATTCTATGCAAGTTTGACCTACTTTGCATGCGCCATACTAAAACTGACACGACTTATGTGAGGTTTACTGTACGTACCTATATATATATATCTATACCCCCAAAATTACACACACCTGTCGGCTGTTGAGGTTCAGTACACCACAGCAACGTTTCTTCTGAATGGACCCTGTGAGGGACCCACATGAAAACCGGCTGCTCAGTCCACGACCTGTAAATATAACCTCATCACCCCCACCACCACCCTCGGCACACCACTGGTGGTTTGGTTCTCAAGGTGTTGCAGGAGAGATCAAAGAAAAGGCTTGCATGTTTATAGCAATGCCTCATCGCATAGCAATGTCTCAAAGCGCCTCCATGCTTACTATCCAGTGTAGTGACTGTTTTTGGTCAAATGGGTCAAATTCCCTTCTCTTTTCAAATAGATCCACAGGATCTTTTTAAGTCCACCTGAGTTGGCAGATGGGACCTCAGGTTCAATCTTTCCTCCAAAGCACGGCACCTCCGACATTGGAGCTCTCCCCCCACCCCCCCAGTACAACACTGGAATGTCAGCCTGGATTGTGAGCTCAAGTCAACTCACATGATCTTCTGACCAGAGATCCAAACGCTACCATCTAAGCAAAGCTGCCCAACCAAATACACTGCTAAACCGGTTCAAGCTACGCCTTCAGCTTCAGTTTGAGAAACAATGAATCCGTCCTTCCCCTCTCACTCGCTCCCCTCGTTTACATGAAGGCAAATGCTCCGGGAAAAATTCAACAGCATTTGCATGATATACAGTTACCGTGCAATCCCACTAGCAGATAACCAGATACCGGTCATGCTCACCATCATTTCCATTGCATAACCCAAGCATTGTAAGCAGATTCTACAGTAATAATTTAGGGTGCAAGACATTGTGTATTTGTAGGCAAACACGGGAGCCAGTTTGCAAATAGTAAATGTCCCACAAACAGACAATTGTTTTCCGCGAGTGTGTGTGTGTGTGTGTGTGTGTGTGAGGTGGGGAGGAATTTGGGGGACTTTACATATGGCAGCTTGGTTGCTAAACCTCCAAATCACCACCCCCTAGCGGAGCGATGAGCAAAATGTACCCCTTATTCCACAGGTCCACCTTGGCTGCATAATGAAATGGAACAAGTTCCTTGCAGTTTCAAGACCAAAGCGTTAAAAAGTTATCTTTTTTGTAGTGCAACACGTAGACGGTCCACAAGCCTGTCCACCTTACCCCTGCCCCGTCCCCTCTCCCCCCCTCCCCCCATCTTGCTACGTAATAAGTATCTCATGTTTCACTTGAACACTGAATGGGGAGTTAAAAAGTTTCAGAGAACTTACGCCCTGTGTTTATATCCACCGCTCCACTCACTAACCCTCCCTCCCTCCCCTTTCCAAATAAGTAAAATTCTGTCCGTGGAAATAAAAACTCCCTTAAAATATATTAATTGAAAAGCTATCTCCTTATTACTTGGTAACTGGAGCTTAGTCGTTAGAGCCCTCGACTCGCTAGTGAGAGGACCTGGGTTTGATTCCCCGGGAGGGCAAAACATTGGGTAAGTTTCCTTACTCCACACCCCTCTGTTTACCAGCAGTAAATAGGAACCTGTTTGTCAGTCAATTGGCTGATCACATTCCGGGGGTAATAATTCATTCAAAAAAAAGGTCACTCAATCCAGCATGCGACAGTTAAGGTGCAGATGAGCCAGGAAGACCTTAACCAACCCAAAATACTCAATAGTATTATTACCATTTATTATTATTAATAATCATCCTTTCATTTGATATAGGGCCTTATCACGTCGTTGAGACATCTCAAAGCGCTTCGCAGAATATACTGTAAAATCAACTTGCACCACTGTAGCCCGTGTCCACTGTTTACTTTGTGCACAAAATGCAGCAAACAATTGCGCACAGCAGCGTCCCACAAACAGTGGTGAATTGAGTGACCAAATTATTATTTTTTGAAGGATTATTACCCCCGGAAAGCAAATCCGCCAAACGGCTAACAACCGGGTTCCTACTTACTGCTGGGCAAACAGAGGCGTGTGGGGTAAGGAAACTTGCCTAAGGGTTTGCCCTGCCCAAGAATCGAACCCAGGTTCTCTCACTTGCAAGGCGAGTGCTCTAACCAATACACCTCAGGATTCCCCAACGTTTATTGATTGTAGACCGGGCAAATTTCTCCCCTGAAAATGTCCTATTTGCTCAAAAAAAAACGCTCCAAACACAGGCAACCAACTCTGCAGAGCGATCACTCTCCTCCGGGCGCTCCCCTACCTACCTACAGCAGACTACAAGGGCACGCAGACATAGTCTGTGATCTGGAAACCAAAAAGCTGTGTTTTTGATTCTCAATGCTTCTCCTCTTAAAGGAATACAATTTTGTCCCATCTTCCTTTCAAGGGTTCTGCTTTCCTGAGCCAACTGGTTGTAAAAGAAGAAGAAGAAGAGAGAAAATACATCGAGATCTCTCAAGGGAATTAACTCTGCCCGTTAGCTCAGCTCTGAGCTCACTCACCATTTGCCCTCGTCAATGTTACTTGGCAGTGAGCGGAGGAGAGCAGTATCAGGTCAGTCTGTACTGTGTAAAAATGTGCGGACTGCAATAAACAAGATTTAACTTAACCCATTCGGGTGCAAGGACCTTTCTTTTTTTCTTCCTTAAACCAGCCCCCCCACCACCTCCCCCCCACCAACCCACAAAATACAGTACCAGCCCACCCAGGAACACGGCAACAAAAGCAGCGTCAGAATACTAATAATTCTTGCATTTGATACAGCGCCTTATCACGTCTAATAGGTTCACAAGATACATTCTAAAGTGGATTGACTGTATATTTTGTGGGCGAACTTAACTTAATTAACTTGTTCATTGGGAAAGGCTAATAACCTCTGCTACTTCTGTATGGATTTGGTGGGGAGGGGTTACTGAGATGGTTGGATGTGGGGGGGGAGTGGAGAATTTTATGTGCATTTCGATAGCAGCTTATTACACTCGAAGGCCACACAGAACTTCACAGTGATTAATAAACAATGTGGTCATGATGTTAAGGGACCTTCTCGTCTGAATGTCTCTTGGCCAGGAGGTCACTTTGTTCTAGTTTGAATCGTGTTATGGGTTGTCTTGAGGTCCGCCCGATCAGATAGACAGGGCATTGGTTTCAACCAACACGGTGGTGTGGGTGGGCTTGAACATACGACCTTCTGGCCCAGAAATGAGAGTATTACCAATGGTCCCAAGCTGCCCTGTCTATCCCAGGATAAGGAACCTCCGTCTAAGGCTCTCGCTAGTTGGGAGCCTTAGGTTTCGATGGGTCGTTCCCATGACCGCAAACTGCGCTGTGTATTATTCCAAGACGATCTAACCACCTCTATCAAGCCGAGTCCACCATGCAAGGCCAGGTCAAAGCAAGAGAGCAGCAAAAATCGCATCACTATATGGAAATGTCCAAAGAAGGTATTAGCAACACCACGAGCGACAAAAACCAAAGGAGAAAAAAAAAACACAGCAGCTTGAAATATCTTTTCAAAGTATAAAATCAACAGAACGAGTTAACAATGAGCTGTCGTCAGCCATTTAGAGTCTTGTTTCTCTCTCCCCCTCCCCCCACCGCCGTCCCCCGTTCCCCCACCCCCCCAGGGTCACTGAATGCAGCTGTGAAGCTAATTGAACGTCTGTTTCTTTTGTATCGCATTCCAACATTCAATAGACATTTTTTTTCTCGACGTATCGGAGCAGCAATAAATGAACATAATTCCAGCCACGGATGGGAAGGGAGAATCGTCAACTGGATTTACTTAAGGGGGGAGGAGGCGGGGGGTGTTGGCAGAAGGGTCCAATCACCATCATGCCCAACCCCCCCGCCTCTCCCCTCAACCCTCCTCCGTGAATCCATCTTGGGGCCGCGGTTATCAACGGCTGCACCACGGCTCCCGGGCAGCGGCAAGGACTGAGTTCCGTTTGGCGTCGTGAAGCTTGTCAACTCGGAAACCGCCGTGGGCTGTGCCCCCTCAAAGCATCAGGGAGTCCCCTTCAGAAGATGCCTTGAAGCGATGGAGGCAGACCATGGTACAGGAAGACCGTAACGAAGAGAACATTGGCGGCCAGGCTCAACCCCAGAAGACTCTTGCACAGGATGTCTCCAAAGAGACCTGGGGTTGGTGTTGGTGATGGTGATGGCGAGAGGGAGAGAAATAGCAGAAAGACATGAAATGTGAGCAACAGAAACAGGACAATCCGAATTATAGGCTTTACCTCGTTTCACAATTATAGGCTTTCCCTCGTTCTTGTTCACAGATTCAGGAATTGTACGTTGTTAGTATAGGGAGATAGATTTATAAGGATGGGCTAGAAAAAAATACAATCCTTTCAGGAGTGCTATAAGTAATTGGCGTTTTCTTCTCCGAGGTTGGCATTTGACAACCTCAATTGCACTCCAGAGAACCACGTGCTTTCTCGACGGCAGTAATAATAGCAATAATCCTTGCATTTGATATAGCGCCTTATCACATTGTTGAGACGTCTCAAAGCGCTTCACAGAATATACTCTAAAGTGAACTGACTTGTGTATTTTGTGGGCGAAACGCGGCAGCGAACTATGCACGGCAGCGTCCCCACAAACGGTGGAGGATTGAGTGAGCAATTTTGTTTTTTTGGGGGAGGGATTATTACCCCTGGAAAGCGATCCTCCAGTCAACTAACAACGAGGTTCCCACTTACTGCTGGGTAAACAGCGGGTGTGTGGAGTAAGGAAACCTGCCTAAGGTTTTGCCCCGCCCAGCCGGGACCCGAAGCCTGGCGAGCGCTACGGGATTCCACGTGTGCGCAAATTGTGTGCGGTGTCCGCCCGAAAAGCGCACAGCTACTCCTCTTCACAGTAAATCCCGTGAAGCTCCTCACGGGAACATGAAAGGCGCTGTATCAAATGTAAAGATTACTGTTATTAATAAAGCTCATCGTTTTAAAGACGTATCGTCTTTCAAAGTAGCTGCTGGAATAGTAAGCAAAGGAGAGCAGTGACATTGGTGAATTAATTAATTCAACACTAGCGGGAAAAGTAAATCTTCCTCTCTGGCATCAGGTGTCAAACTGACAGGATTAAACCACATCCAAAGGCAGGTTCAACCCTTCCTGAAACAGCTCTACTGATGCTGTTTGGGTGGAGGCTGGGGTGGGGGGGGGGGGCGATTTGACTGAAATAAAAAGAGTCCTGGTGGGTTTTTTTTCAGGGTTTTTAAGCCTTTTATGAACTATATTCCCGTTAAAATTCTTATACATTATCTCCATAGCATCGCCCGACCACATCCATATTTCGCCCACAAAATATACACACAATTTGCTTCACGGGATATCCCGTGAAGCGTTTTGAGACGTCTCGAAGATGTGATAAGGCGCGAAGATATGAAATGCAAGGATAATTATGATTGTTATTATTATAGTCCCCTCCAATGCAGCCAAAACTCTCAACCATTTTTCTCTAAGACCCCTCCAATATGCTGCTCTATCTCAGGCCTCACAAGTGGCAATGTGAGCACTGAACGTCCTATTTAAACAGCCCACCGTAACTCCATCACCAAGACAGCTGCAACGAACCACTTAGCACAGGAGCTCCAGATCCCGCAATGCTCTTGCATTAAGTGAAATCGATCCCCCTCTCCCCCACCACCCCAGCACAGAATAGGGGGGGGGGGAGAGGGGGGGAAGATTCCTGCATACAGGACGTCAAAAATTCGAGGCAAAAGCAATAGAAAAAAAGGCTGCATTCAGATCTCTGCCAACCCCCTCCATCTCCTGCGTTGACTTCCTCTCTTCCTAAGTCCACAAAATACACAGTCACTGTATATTCTGCGAAGCGCTTTGAGGCGTTTCGAAGACCCGCTAAGGCGCTGTATCAAATGCAAGGAACTTTTCAGGGGGAGGGAGGGAGGGAGGGAAGGTTTTACTTACACTTAAGTGTCTTTCACGTCGGGAGGCCACCTTGAAGCCCTTCACACGGCTGAATGGGAGCCTGTGCTGTTTTTTTTTGGGGTGGGGAAGGGGGGGAAAAGGTGACCAGGAATGGAACCCGTGTCGTCTACGTTTGCGAGGCGAGCACGCTAACCACTACACTACAGGATCAATTGCTACGTACATATAAATATATATATATAGATAGATAGATATCACTGAACTCGTCAGCTGCATTTTGCCGCAGTGTTCCTGGCAGTAACACTGTGGTCTTCTTCCATAACAACACCTCATCATTTCATTCCTCCCCCACCACCTCCCCAATAAATGTGAAGGAAACCTAAAACCAGATGCGACACGAACCTCTCCACCCTCGTCCTGCGTGGCCATTCCGCTGATGACTGGTCAGGTTCGTGGTGGTGTCCACCACGCAAGCCGAGGAACCAGATGAGCTGTCTTTCATCTTGCCTGTCACCTCGCTGCGTAGACTGCCTCCCTCGACCGAACGTACGTCTGAGATGGAACGAAACCGGAACGTTACAAAAGGCTACGATTTTGAGACAGAGAGAGAGAGAGAGAGAGAGAGAAAGAAAGACAGAGAGACAGAGGAGAAAAAGGCTGCTGAGTCAGTTCCAATGTATTATTGGGGGCTATGCTGCACACGAGCTGAAGCTATAAAGGGTGGTGTGGTCTTGGAAGAAGGGGGTGGCGGGGAGGAGAGGGATTTAGAGAAGGGGGAAAAGGAGATTTTGTACCCCCCAGTAAAAGGGAATAATATTGATAACAATAATCCTTGCATTTGATATAGTGGGCGAAATGCGGCAGTCAATTGCTCCCAGCGGCGTCCCACAAACAGTCGTGGAGTTCTTTTTTTAAGGCATTTACGGAGATGAGGTGGGGGGAGGTTGCACAGTCGCCTATGATTAAACTGCACCGGGGAGAAAAAAAACCCCACCCCACCGGAGGTCTGTAAATGAGCGGGGTTAAACCTCTTGGTTTGATTAATCCCCAAAGATGGCTCAAATCCTCTCCTCACTTCCTGGCTTGCTGGTTAGTTTCCGTCCTTCCTGCCGGCAGAATCGCTGGCAACGCAAGACGCCTCCCAGGGACCACTCATTCGCTCCCCCCCCACCCCCCCACACTTTTCTGACCCCAAAATTCGCCCCCACCCCACTCCCCGCATAAAACCGATCAATTCTTTTTTGGTTGGGAGAGTATTTTACAGAATAATTGATTCAGTAGTTTGACATTTCTGATGACGGGGCCATGGTATTAGGAGATTGGGGGGGTGGGGGTGGGGTGGGGGAGGGGAGGGTTACGCGGAGATGGAGATTGGCGTTGGGAGTGTCAACCTAGACCGTAAGCTCGAAAACCCAGAGTGAGATGTGGGGCTTGAACCTACAACCTTCTGATTCACGGAAGAGCTGCCTCGCTCAATCCAGTCTATCTCTTCTTTCTTCTTCCTTCCATCCATCCATCTATCCATCATGTCGCCCCGCTCTGCTCTTTGGAACTCTCCCCAAATTCCTTTGCCTCACCCCCCCCCACCCACTCTCTCTCGCCTTCATTTAAAGACCCTCACGTTATCACTGGTCTCTGGGAGAGATTAAGGGGTCGACGTGATCAGGTGGACAGGAATAAAAAGGTGGTGAAGCGAGATGTGGGTGGGGGTGGTGAGGGGAGAGAGAAGGGTGAACACAAGCTGTCAGCGGGACCCAACGCACAAGTGCCGACAGCTACTAAGAACAAAGGGCTACGGAGAAAAAGCACCACAACCATGTCTGTCTGGGATCAGGGGTTCCTTTCAGCAGAACAAAAGGGGGAAAGAGATCACAGAAGGAGAGAATACCCTTCTTTGCTTCATCTATTTCTCTCATTAGACATTGTTTTGCCCACAAAACACACGGTCACTACACTTTACAGTGTATTCTGCGAAGCGCTTTGAAACGTCTCGAAGACGTGATAAGGCGCTGTATCGAATGCGAGGATTATTATTATTATTATCTTTAGTTAAAGAGTTCGTAGTCTCGCTGTATAAATACCGTGACTGTGGGTGGACGCAGGGGTTAGGTCCTGGGAATGCCCGTTGCTGGAGAGGAGATCCGGAACACCGGGAATGGGCTGCGGTTTACGAGCGTTCGAGCTCCCCCTCAACGTCCCGTGCTCGATGAAGAGCTTCAGCCTCTGTCCGGTGAGGTTGAGACGGGCCGGGCTGATGAGCGGGCGCCTGTGGTGCCAGGAGCCGGCGCTAGACGTGACCGAGCCCGCCACCGAGGCCGCCGGAGAGAGGGAGGGAGAGGACGGACGGCTTTCCGACTTCAAGGAGAAATAATCTGCAGAGAGAGAGACAGAGAGAAACAACACAGGCAGCGTTAACAGTCAATAACAGCGTCGTCGGTGTAATAATAGTAATAATATATCCCGAGTTATTACAACGTAAGAAACAAAGAACTAGAGGTCAGGAAATACAGTAACAACTCTCATAAGTTTTATCTTTATAAATCGTACAAACGCACATGGTATAAGTCGTCCACTCAAGTTTCCTGTCAACTCCACTTAGATTTCTGTGAATGACTCATATTAATGAGCTCCTAAATCCTAACGAGGTTCCCCTACCCTCCATTACTTTACCGGCTGCAATGAACCGCGGGAAACCTAGTCCTAGTCACTGCCTGCGCAGTGTGGTTTCTTGATTAAGTCGGGCTTTATACAATTTGTACGGTTTTGCCTGCAACTCGGACTTTTACGTAAGTCACGTGAAATCTTACGGCCCCCGACTGACGCGACTTGGGTCAGTTTTACTGTATATCGATCTGCAAATTGAATGCCGACAACGCAGGGGTAAAAAAAAAAAACACAAAAGACTCCCTATAAACATCAGCGAAACCGAGACCGTCGATAATTTGCCTGTTTCGATTGTTTCCGAGCTTATTCTAACGCCCCGGCGGCGACAGGACAAGACGTGGGCTTCAAGAAGCTCAGCTTATAGCTGGCAATCTGGCTTTTACACGATGACCGAGGAGGGGCGGGAGAGGGGAGTCAGGAATCATTTGGATAATTAGAACGCTGGAACGCTTGTCAGCCAAATGCCTACGCTTCCTCTTGTTTTGGGGGAAGAGCAACTATTCGGCTTCTGGAGAGGAAAAAGAAACAAACCCTTAAGATGTCATCTCGACCCTGGTTGCAAGCTGGAGGCCAGTTTGCAACCCTCCCCTCTCTCCCCAATCATCCTATTCCTTCCCCCCTCTCCCACGTCACGCGCGAAACCAGACCGTTTAACGATGTATTATCGTGTGGCTTCGCAAACACTGACCTGACGGAGGGGAATCCTTGCACACGAGCGTGTGGGAGGGCGGACGGCTCCCGCTGAACAAGTAGCCAGAATCTGTGGTGGGAGAAAGGGACAGAAGAGCTCGGTCGCCTGAATTACTCTGCGCCCGTTAAGACGGCTTAACGCAAGCCGGACGCGAAATATGCTGCACACGGCAAAAAGCTCAGCCGATGCCGTTTACACCCCTTAAAACCTGCCGAGTGTTCAAAGGGCGATTTGCACACAACCCTTCGTCATCCAGTTAATCAGTGAACGGCATTTGCGAGTTGAAGAGTTTCTAAATTCCCTCTGGTACACACGGTTTACACGCAGTGCACTAATGCACTTCCATTTACACTGGGTTTACACACAGCCCATAAACACAGCAGCCTCTTCTGCACACGGTGAGTGTTGAAGACTTTTCTCTCTGGCCAGGATATTTTCACAGATATAACATGACTGCGCCCCCACCTCACAAAAGTTCTGAATAATGAATATTTTTCACCCGCAAGGTATGACACGATAATAATCCTTGCGTTAGCTATCGTGCCTGATCACGTTGTTGAGACGTCTCGAAGAATATGCTGTGAAGGGAACAATCGAATTGGCTGTAATATTTTGTCAACAGACACAGTTAATCCACTTTACAGTATATATTCCGTGAAGCCCTTTGAGTGGTCTCGAAGACGGGATAAGGCGCGAGATCAAGTGCGAGGATTATTATTCTAATGGTCATTTGCACCTTGTTTGCGAAGCCTTGCCTTTGCCTAGGAATTCAAGCAAAGGATGTGCTTACATTCCTCGCGCCCTGGTCTGCTCAGGTTCCTGTCAGGTGTGCGTCTGCATCTGCTGATCGAAGCCGGCCTGAGGAATGCTCCCCCCCNGCCTTGCTCCACCCAGGGAACAATTGGGGGGCAAACACCTGCAGGTCAACGGTCAAGGGGTCCCTTCCTTAAAAGCATCCAGGGTTGAAAGCTGCGGGTTATTTATCAAAGCTCTGGAACCTGTCGGTGCAGACGGGGCTGTGTATTCTTGACCTTCACCTGCAGCCTGCGAGCGAACAAGCTTTGACCCAGCGCCGTAGTAGTCTTTGTAACGGACTTTGGGAGGATCTCCTGCCACACGAGTCAATGAACCTCGACAGACACACACACACTCATTGAAAGCTAAACAGAAGTCGGTCAAATATTTTTCCAACTACATCCACCCAAAAAGGGTACAATGAGGATACAATGCAGATAATCCTGTTCCCACAGCGCCCCCTCCGACCCCACCACATCCCCCACTGCCATAGCTGAAATACCAAGCCATCCTGCAACACAGCTGCCCGGCCAAACAAGAGACACACAAACAGTTAAGAATTTGCTCGCCCCCCCACCTCTCGTGCAGCCATTGCTTCTCTTTCAACTACGGAACGATTGGGGAAGATCTCTTCGGATCAGGCAACCTGACAGTCTGCTGAGCAAAGCAGGCACGTTCCACCTGCCCCCATTGTACCGAGCTGATCACAGCCTTGTCAACAGCCTTTATCCTCTGCCCGGCTCGACAATTTATCACCATCTTTCCTGGCAGGGCCTTCGAGCAAATAGGGGCTGTAAACCTGACTGCAGTTTCCGAACCAATGCTAAACCCTTTATAAGGGCAGCTGTCAGCCCAAGGTCATAAATCAATACATAGAACACACGTGCAAACACGCTACATCATACACGCTATATATACACACCTCACTCACAATATAAGGTTACACACACCAATCACGAATGGAATTTCCCCCATTAGAATCGCACATCGCCAAAGATACAACGCGCAACTCTGAATTGAATTTTACTTGCGTGCATATTGTGTGTGTGTGTGTATATATATATATATATATATATATATATCTCAGCGTAGTTTCACTTGACTTGCCAGTGCTGTGCTGGGGGCGGGAGGAAGAGGGGGGTGGGGGGAAAAGAGCACTGCATTATCAAGGTGTCATCCTCTGGACGAAACGTTAAAACTGTTTGGGTGAACATTAAAATCCTCACAACCAGAGATGCACACACACACAAATATAGATTCGTACCACAAATACATGTGAACTCAAGTACACGCAACACACAGTCAAACACATACTCAAATACACGTGTACAGCGCCTTGGGACGTCCTCCTGACGTGAAAGGCGCTATATAAATGTGATCTGTTGGTGCGCGCCGCACACACACACACACACATACACACACACATACATATCTGTAGCACAAGTACACAAACGTACACACAGGTACTAATGATACAAGTACACATAACACACATATACGCACACACAGGGTCACGAGCGGTTCAATGCGATTCACAAGCGCCAACCATTTATATGGGAAAGTGGAGAAAGCTGCCTGCCTGCCCGCACTTGTGAAGCAAACCAGGAATGGTAGCAATGTCATCCATCAGCAAACCTGAATCTGCCCTGGGCGTCTTGACACCCACTTACAGCCAATCTGAGGCCGATGACAGATTAAACCAGGATGCTTTACTCTGAAGTGGGTCCTCTCTCTCTCTCTCTCAATTTACACCAGGGATTTCAGGCTGAACAAACTCCCAGCCCCACGTCTGGGGAACCAGTCGGTGGAAGCCACCACAGAGGTCAGCCCCATGGGTTCCCGGCTCTGAGGTTTGGTGCCAACGGATTAGGCGTCCGTCTGTCCGGACAGAGACGCAGCGGCAGGAGTGAGTGGCTGAAAGACACCAGTCATTAGGCTACTGTTGGCTCTTTAACCACTGTAGAGAAAGACCTCAGCAGCTTTGGTTGCATTCCCTCCCCTCCTCCTCCCCTGGCGGACTCCGCAACAAGGGGGTACATTCGGAAACAAACCTCATTAGCGACGGCTGATGACCTCGAGGGTGTTGCTGTGACTGCAAAGCGAGGCTGTTGTTGACTGGGTGGGAAGAACCTGTTATAATAATAATAATAATCCTTGCATTTGATATAGTGCCTTATCATGTCATTGAGACATCTCAAAGGGCTTCACAGGATGCACTGTAAAATGAATTGACTGCGTATTGTTTTATGGACGAAACATGGCAGCCAATTCCCCACAGCAGTGCCCCACAAACAATCGTGGATTGAGTGAGTGACCAGATTTATTTACTTATTTATTTTTGGGAAAGATTATTACCCCCGGAGAGCGATCCGTCAATCGACTAACAACCGGGTTCCTACTTACTATTAGGCGAACAGAGGCGTGTGGAGGAAGGAAACTTGCCCAAAGTTTCACCCTGCCCGGGAATCAAACCCAGGTACCTCTCGCTAGAGAAGTGAGCCCTCTAACCCCTGAGCTAAAGGACTCCGCACTTTTGATCATGTTAAAGACAGACAGTTGGAACCCGCACATTAAGACAGGCTGGGCTGCTCTCAGCTTCCCGCAAGGTATACTTTACCCCCTGTGCAACCATCACGGCTCTCTGGGAGCTGAGTTATGTTCCTTGCATCACTGGGGAGGGGGGCGAGGGGCGGGGGGGGTCATTGGGTTATTTCAACACCATCAGCTGAGTGGTGCCAGTTGGACAGTTTGTGTGTGTGGGGGTGGGTGGGAAAGAGAGACATTATAAGTCTGAAATTTTCAGGAACTTAATACCACCAAAGTTACCTGAGCTTTACAACCCAACACCGTTTGCCCCCTCTCCCCTTCCCACCAACCCGACAAATCTCAGCTGCAAACTGGGGGGAGAATCCAAGATCCCAAGCTGTTATTTCTCATGAATAAACTATCGGGATCCTCGACAATGAGGAGGGAAGGAGGGAGGGAGGGTCACCTGCTAATTACTGTTGCGTTCACTTTTTGTAGTGGTTTCAGCTCTAGAACACAAACCTGGCTTTTAAAAATAATCTCAACACAAGACAGGTCTGTAGTTTCCTGGCGCAGTGCATTAATCACGCACACACACACGCGTGCACACACACACACACAGTGCCTTTCACATGGCGACCTGGAACTAATTAACGTCTAAGCTGACACTCGAGCGCAGTGTGGTGGGTGGGTGGGTGGTTGAGCTGATTGTTGGAGATGCTATCCTTCAATGAGGAGATAAACCAACTGTCTCGCCTGCGGCTCAAGTACCAGACTGAGTCATCGGAGGCGGGTTCTCATCTCTCACCCTTGTCATGACTAACTCGGGAAAACTGCAGCACTGTCTATTGAGTTTCAAAGAAAACCCACATCAAAACACCACACGTTAAGCGATGTGTGACAGGTATCTCACAGGAGATTTGCCCAACGCTGCATAAACAAACACGCTGGAACGGAATTAACCAGTTCGACACTGAATTTACCCGGTAACCTTCCCCTCGACTCTCGAGCACGGCGATAAGAGCGTAAGAATCTGCTGGAAGGATGAAGAGCAAGGTCTATCCAGTTTGCCTTCCACCCTCCAGGCAGTCGCTTGCACATATGTCGTATCCCAAACTATGTACTGTATCCCCAGATGGTATTTTCTAACAGAAATCGGTCTAATTTGTTCTAATTTGCTGCAAGTCCTCCTTGCGTGGGTCTGGAAATAGAATGCACGCTCTCTCTCTCTCTCTCCCCAGAGGGACGCACACTGCCTACCTAATTCCGTAGCGCATTAGGCACAGACTGGAAGGAGCCATGGCTTGCGGGACCCCAGAGTGTGCGTTAGGGATGTGTGTGTGTGGTTTAACCAGCTGAAAGCACATAGCTGGCCACTGAGTGCACAGCCTGGTTAAAAAAGTGTGTGTGGCAAAACCCCTAAATTAAGAGACGTAGCGCGTTGCTATTATTGGCAAATCTTCCAACGCAATTAATCCTCCTGTGCCGCCAGAAAGGGAATCATTTGGTGTTGGCGAAGATTTACAGTAAAGCAACTTTCCTTTGATGAGAACCACGAAATAGGAGCTTGAAGAAGTTCCTTGTAATAATTTTTGCTTCAATGTCTCTCTCAAGCGACAAGTGATGTGGATTTTTTTTTATTAATTCCCCCACCCCACAAACACACACACACAACTGCACAATAATAATAATGTAATAATAATCCTTGCAGTTGATATAGCACTTTGTCGAGACGTCTCAAAGTGCTGCGCAGAATATACTGCAAAGTAGAGTGACCGTGTGTCTTGTGGGCGAAATGCGGTGGGCGATTGCGCACGGCAGCGTCCCTACAAAACAGTCACGGCTTGAGCGACCGATTTTGTTTCAAGCGATTATTACCCCCGGAAAAGCGATCCATCAGTCGACTGAACGAACAACCAGGTTCCTACTGACCGCTGGGTAAACGGAGGCGTGTGGAGTAAGGAAACTTGCCGAAGGTCTCGCCCTGTCCTGCCCGGAATCGAACCCCCGGGGTGGGTCCTCTCGCTTGCGAGGCGAGCGCTCTTAACCACGACACTACGGGGACCCCACTCGGAAAAACCAGCAGCGGCACAGACACGGGATGCGCGGCTGGAAGTCCCTCCAGTTGCCAGAGCAAACAAAAGGTGGAATCCCTTCAATTTCCTTTGCTCCCCAACGAACGAACGTCCGAACGGAGACTGACCGACCGACCAACCGACTGACTGACCTGCTCTGGTGAGAGACGGGACGGTTCCCAGCGACAGGGCTCGGCTGAGACGGCCAGGCAGGGAGGAGGGCGAGTTGCGTCTGGTGGTCCTGCACAGCTGCTGCCTGGCTAGCTGGGCGATGCTGGGTGGGATCGGGAGGGACGAGGGGGCAGTCGCTGGAGCGCAGGACGTCAGGGTTCCGCTGCTGTAGAAGGCGTTCACGGATTCGCCCGACAAGTACCTGAAAGACACAGAGAGCCGAGCTAAGACCACCGGCCGATTAGTCCGATTAATCATCGTCCTGGTAATGATGATCTTAATAAGCTTGGCATTCCGTACAGCCTTAACCCGTCGGCCTCGAAGCTCTTCAGCGTTGTAAAGGCTGGCGTACGAGCGGGTACCGGGCTCAAACCGATACCATAACGCTCTCGCCTTCCGAGGAAGAAGGTTGTGGGCTCAAGCCCCACATCGGAACTTTGAGTTTGCGGTTCAAGGCTGACAACAGCAACAACAAATGGCACATATTATATATAATATATATATATATATACACACAGCACCTTTCACAGCGGGAGGATGTCCCAAGGTGCTGGACAGTCAAGGGTTTGTTTGCAAAAGTGCTGGGTGGGTGGGGGGGGAGGGGGTTGCACTGTTGTAGTCTTACGAACGGTTCTTGCGGTGGATCCTGCGCTTGGATCGAATTAGCCATTCACTTCACGGCTGTTTTACGGGAAGTTGCTGTGCGTAAGCCGGATGCTACCTTCACCCACAAAATTCGCAGCCACTACACTCCACCGTACGTACAGTCAATCCTGTGAGACGTCCTCCTGACTCAGAAGGCACTGTGACATATGCAGGGGTGATTTCTGTGCAAAGAGCTGGAGAATTACTGGTGCAGCAAGTGGGGTTTTGACCAGGTGAGTAAGGAGATACTACTCCCCTCCTTCTCCCTCCACGCCCCACCGCTCGCAGCAAAGTGCAGTAATAATAATGATAATCCTTGCATTCGATTTAGCGTCTCATCACGTCGTTGAGACGTCTCAAAGCGCTTCACAGAATATACTGTTAAGTGGATTGACAAGTGTATTTTGCAGGGGAGAAGCCAATTATGCACAGCAATGTCTCACAAACAGCCGTGGACTCTCCCTCCCCCCCACCCGACATGAACCCCCCTCATTGCTCGGTCTTGGCAATTTCCCCCCCACCTCTCGGCGACCACCACAACAGGAGCCATTAGCTCCCACCCACAGAGAGCAGCGATGGCTGGTGTGTCTCTCTCTCTCTCTGTCTTTCTGACACACACTCAGACTATGGCTCACTTGCTTACTGTAACTGTACAGACTGAGGCGGGCGGAGGCAAACATGAAACGGTCCCGTGCCTTTCACACACACATTGGAGAAACTGCAAACCACTCAAACCACATTAGATAAGACGCCTCCTCTCAGATGAATCAATCGTCCCTTCAGATTTTCCGAACTCGCTGATGACGTGTTTTAATGTCTATAAAACGGTGAATGAGTTTTGGTGCAAACTGTGTGTGTTGGCGGTGGAGGGGGGGGGGGGGAAAGAGAATAGGGGAGAAAGCAGTGATATTATTACCATAAAAGAACAACATGAACAGCGAGGACTGTAACTGGCAATATTCTCGGCCTCTGTCGTACTCATTCGGAAAGTTAATAAAAGAACAACATGAACAGCGAGGACTGTAACTGGCAATATTCTCGGCCTCTGTCGCACTCATTCGGAAAGTTAATGTCACAATAACAAAACCATTCAGACCAGCGCATCCTGTCTGTACTGGTGCTCGCTCCCTCCACTGGAGCTCTCTACTCCAATCCCCTTCCCTGCTCTCCCGCCCCCATCGTGTCAGTGCAGGTCCAACCTCTAAGCACGGAAGGATCTTCCCCCACTCTCCCCCATTGGAAACCTGGCGCCCAACTACTTTTCTCAGTGAATCAAGGCCTTGAACGAGATGTCTGATCATTGATGAGGAGCACCTGTTTTTCAGGTCTTATAGAAACAACACGCCAATCGTAAAGCAACTTAAGATTTATACTACGCCTTTCACCAGATGTCTTTTGGGTCGATGGGGGGGAATGGAGAGAGGAGGGATTTATATTATACCATGTCTTAACCACCGCTAAATACACAGTCATTGGAATTAACAGTACATTCTGCAAACTGCTCTGTGACACTTCAATGATATGGTATAAGGCGCTGTTCCAAATACAAGGATTATTATTATATACAGAAATCAATCTACTACTGTTTGGGGGACACTGTGTGCTGTGTGCAATTGGCTGCTGTGTTTCGCCCACAAAATATACAGTCAATCCACTTTACAATATATCCCGTGAAGCGCTTTGAGACGTCTCAACGACCCGATAAGACTCTATAACAAATGCAAGGATTATTTATTTATTTATTATGTAACCCACTGGGGTTGAATCATACAACCCTATCTGACTTGCCATTTGACACAAACACCCACACGAAAAGTCAAAGTGTTTCAAGTTTCCATGATGCCTAAAGCAGATTTCATACAACACTGTTGACAACAGCAACAGCAGCGACAGACTCAATGGCTTGTGTCTTCCAGGCACAATTCATGACAGCGTTACCAAAAGAGACCGGATAATCCTGGAGCGCATTCGTGACAGAAACGGCAAGTAAACCGGAAAACTATGCACAATAGATCCAGCCGCTAACACGCTGCTCTCCAACAAGATGACTAGTGTGCACTCTGCTCAGTGAATTGCTCCGAACTCACACACAAATGATCAGTTTCCAGGACTTCTCAAAAAAAAAAAACTTTTTTTGGCCACTCATCGTCGCATCCCGATCTCACAACGTGATTACCAGCAGCTCGCTCACTTGTCCAGGAACCACATCCCTGAACACCACACTCTTCACGAACAGAAACAACAACACATGACATTTAATGCAGCGCCTTTCGCCGCGTGGGAAGGACGTCTCGAGGTGCTGAAGGGAAAGGAAGGGGCAAGGCTCGCGGAACAAGAACAGCGGTGAGAAGAAACAAACAACTGGTATTTCCATAACCCCGGGACCGTACTGAAACACGACCTCCCTCAACACAGCACCCCCTCCGTCATTGCATTAGGAGGGCACCGGCTGCCGTGTTCGCCTGCAAAATACACAGTCACTACACGGCAAAATCCTAGGAAGCGCTTTGCCGACGATGTTACAAGGAGCTGCACCAGATGCAAAGATTATTATTTTTTTTTAAACTCAGCGACGGTTCATCTGATGGTCTCAGGTGCAGTGTTGCCACCGTGTGGTGACAAGTACATCTGTCCTCCTCTTAAACCCACCAAGTCAGTCGGTCGTTCAAGTCGTTAACGATTCTAAACCTCAGACAGAATAACAAGAGGCATTGTGTGTGCAAGTCAGACAAGAGTGTGACTCTTACAAGATTAAACCTCTACTTTCTCTCTCTCTCTTTCACACACACACACACACAGACTGTGCAGTGCTGGAGCTGAAAGCACAGTAAACCTCACTCGCAGAAGTCGTATCGTTTAACATGACTTATGCAAAGCTTGAGTTATGTCAAACTTGCACAGAATATAAACTCTTAAACGGGACTTGGGCAGAAGTACGACTTTGGCGATTATACGATCAGGTTTACGCAAGATTTACTTGTATGTAATTTACCAACCAGATGTCTCTACTCTCGGCAGATCTCTGATTTTTTTTATATTCTTTCGGGATATTCACTCGCGACACTGACCCAGAAGGTCTCCCAAAAAGGTCAGCGAGGCAAAGATTTTTTTCCCTCCTCCATCTAACCTTTTACAACTAATTTCAAAGCGTAATTTTTATTCCCTGGTATTAATGCACTGACTCGGTCGATGTGTAAGACGATTTCTGTAAGATACTGGTTCCCTATACATCAAGCCCAAACCATAACATTCCCAAACCGTAACCTGACTACTGTATATATCACATCAGTTGTACGGTTTCTGAAAGCAGTCCCTCAATCATCTATCTTTCAGTGTGAAATGCCACACATACACTCACACACACACGCACACTGTGTGTGGTTATCAATTGCTCTCAATTCCCTTGGACATGTGCTCTCTTCAGTTCCTGCCTCCTGCTCTGCTCTGAAGCTTCGAATGAGACCTTAAACCGAGGTCCCATCTGTGCTCGATCTGGTGAAGATTTCAACGGCACCGAGGCTCGCACATCTCAAAGCGCTTCAGAGGATTTTCTTTTTTTTTAAAACGTCCCACAAACAGCCGAGAAGTGAAAGGCAACACCAGTGGGAAATCACCATTACTGTAGTGTTTTTGCCTGCAACTGACTAGCGGAGACTAATTGAAAGAACGTTATGACACGTGCCGTCAGAATACAGAGCTGCCTTCTGACTGGAAACACTTTAGAGCCAGCTCAGAAAGAGTGAGGAAGACGGGTGTGTTCTTATAGCCTTATCTCGTTGAATCACCTCAAATCAAAGCTCCCAGGTAATTAATGTCAAGTGTTTTTGTAAGCAAACACAGTAGTAATTTGCGTCATCCATAGTCACGATTCTCGAGCTAACAATGGAGATTGCGAGTTGTCTTTTATGCGTTGGAATATTGTCGTGTGATCTTCGACATCCACCCGAAGACACACAGGTGGGACCTAAGTTTAAACGCCTCATCCACAACGAGACACTTCCAACAATTCCGAGTCCTCGCCTCACAAGCGAGAGGACCCCTGGGTTCGATTCCCTGCCGGGCGAAACATTGGCCAAATTCCTTATTCCACGAGCACACACGCCTCCGTTTACCTAGCAGCAAGTAGGAACTCAGTTGTTCATCGCTTGGCGGATCGCTTTTCCGGGGATAATAATCTTTTAAAAAAAATAATAATTTGGTCACTCAATTCCACTGCTGTTTGCGGGGACGCTGCTGTGCGCAATTGGCTGCCGCGTTTCGCCCACAAAATGTACAGTCAATTCACTTTACAGTATATTCTGGGAAGCGCTTTGAGACGTCTCAAAGACGTGATATAAGGCGCTATATCAAATGCGAGGATTATTGTTAATGGGACATTAGATTGCTACGTCAGCCTGCAGCGACCCGTGAGCTCAACAACTACTTGCAATTACACAGCGACCTTCACACAGGGAAGCTTCTGATGTAGGGCTTGATCCTCCAAGCTTTCACATGTCGTGAAAGAGACAGACAAAAAAACAGGAGAGCGAGAGAGAGAAGACTTCACAACTCATTATCCGCGCCCCCCNTCCCATGTCTGGGTCAATTCCCTGTGTTAGTGCCCTGTCCCTAACACTGCCATCTCCTCCAGCCTTACAGTCCTGCTCCCTCCTCTCTTCCTATTCCGAGTCTCCTCAGACCTCAATCCTCCGCCAACGAAGCCAAGCACGTCAGTCAAAGAGAACGCTCTTCCAACACTGCCTTCTCTTCAAACTAACTCTACTTTCTCCGCCGTCAAAAAACCTTTGGTCAACTTCTTTCCTTCAACGTCTCTTCTCCCCACTTGGCTTGCCAGCAGCACTGGGTCCCCTTTAACTGAAAGGAACCACACAAGGGGTCAGCCTTATGGAGGGAGGAGGATGAAAAATTCTCCAGCGGAAGCACATCGTTAGAAGATCGCTTGTCTGGCTGCTGTTTAGTTAGTTAGTTGCTGCCTTTGGTTCACTTCCACTTGCAGATAATTTCATTCCACTAAGTGCTTCGAGAGTTGTTCCTTTTAATTTTTAAAAAGGTGAAAGACATTTTTATATAAAAACGGTTAAAACGCCTCCTGCATTTGAACTTGCGAACTGCCACAATTTACGGGATTGAGAATGTATAAAGCAAAACATCTAAAACGCGGTCGAAAAGAATTTTTTTAAAAAATGCGTGTGTGTGTGTGCGATGCTGGGGATGGATGTGCTATGAAGTTTACCCGGCAGTAAGTAGGAACCCGGTTGTCAGCTCATTGGGCGGATGGCTTTTCCAGGGACAATAATTCCTTCGAAAAAAATAATAATAATATGGCCACTGAACCCACGACTGTTTGTGAGGGAACGCTGCTGTGCGCAATTGGCTGCCGCGTGTTGCCCACAAAGTACAGTCAATTCACTTTGCAGTGTAGTCTGTGAAGCGCTTTGAGACGTCTCGAAGACGTGATGAGGCGCCATATCAAATGCGAGGATTATTATTATTATTATCATTATTATTATGATGTCCTGATGGGAGACAATCCTCATCGTGTGGCTGTACAAGCACGACTGCCGCTATCTTTCCCTTCACCCCCACGTGCCGACTGAGTGCAGGAATTGCTTTGCAATTTATCCTCTTTATCCTAGAACACGTCTCCATAGAACTCAATACAGGGGAAATCTCAGGCCACGACCTACCATATCACTCGGGGTGGGGGGGGGGGTGTGAGGGGGAAAACAAGAGGCTCAGAGAGCGCGAGAGTGAACAAACAGCCAATGGATTCAACCCAGTCTCCACACGTCCAAACAGGTTGCTAATGCTGCTGTCATCCTTATATCCCCTACAGCCATAACAGCTCGTCTCAAACAGTTTAGGTGGAAGAGCAAGGAGGTTGCGGGGAAATAAAAAGCTTTGTTGTGTTTGTTGCACATTGCTGTGTGAAAAATCGCTGCCACACCAACCTACCTACCCCCCCACCACCAAAACACAGTCACTAGGCACGACAGTGATCACCGCGAAGCACTTTTTGACACAAAAGCGGACTTGGGAGTGTTTTCCAGTGTAAAACACGGTAGTTTTCGCCATCGTTAACACAGGAAGGAAGGACTGATTCATGTCAAGGCTCCGTGGGTTTCTCTCCGTGAGATTCGACTTGTGAAATAAATGTCATGCTGGGTACATAAGCGAATGATATTCTTTAGTTGATTGTAGATAAAGAGTTTATTTAAAAAATGCGCTGCTACATATAAACCTACAATGAACTTCACTTGCACTGCACACCATACAGCTTTCACCTACTGGGCGGGTGAATAGATTTCAGTGGAGTGAAAAAAATTAAGTCAAAGCAAAGCGAGTGCATGTTTTTTTTTGGTTATCGTATAGTTTTAAAAAAAAGGCACAAAAAAGAGACAGAATAAAAGGTTTTCGAAGGGGAAGGGGAGGGGAAGAGACAGGGGGAAATAAACGACAGTGGCACTTTTGAAATGATTTTAGCAAACTTTAGCAAAACATTTGTCAAACAGATTATATAAAAACAAAATCACAAGAGGTGAGAGAGAAAGCAGGAAAAAAAACTAAAACACACCCTTTTGAATGCTGAGTTTTGTATGCGTGTGTGGGGGGGGGGGGGGGCGGGGGTGTGTGGGGGGGTTCAAGCAGAAGGCGATAAATTTAAACAGGATTCATCATTTTTTTAAAAAAAAGGAAAATATTTTAGGATCAAAAGGAAAGAAATGAAACACACGGATATTAAACTTCCCGGACAAAAATGGACACGAAAAGCCGACTCGATAGTAGGTTTCAAAAGGGAATCGGACAGGTACTTGCAAAGGAAGTAATTGCAGGGCTATGGAGTAAGAGCGGGGGAGTGGGACTATTTTTTTCAAAGAGCCGGTACAGGCACGATGGGCCGAATGGCCTCCTTCTGTGCTGTAAGATTCTACGGTGCTATGAAAAGTAGGCGCTGTTACAAGAATCTGGAAATACTGATTTCTGCCATTGTGATTAAATAGTGGAAATACTGAATTCTTCCAGTATGACTAAATAGTGGATTAAACAATAATAATATCATTATGGATTAAATACTGAATTAAGTCCTTTTTAAAAAAAGGAAAGATGGGGCACAAGTTACTTTTAATGCATCTTTCTTTTCTAAAACATTGACTACACTAAACGTCACTGTATCAATAAAGTGACGTGCTCCAGATAAATCACATTTCAATTATTTCTAAACGTGAACTCAACTAATCCAATTGGCGGTGGGGGGGCGTGGGGGGAGGAGGGAAAAACAAGAGATATAATAGAGGTTTTTTTTTGAGCAGGGAGGGGATTAAATTTGAAATATTATCATATTTCTGGATAAACACTGAGGGTCTGTTTCCCCGGTGGGAGAATCTATAACCAGGGGTCACAGTCTGAAAATTAAGGGTCAGCCTTTTAGAACAGAGTTGAGGAAACATTTCTTCACTCAGAGGGCAGTGACTTTATGGAATTCACTCCCCCAGAAGGGCTGTAGATGTCAGTCCTTCAACATCTTCAAGGCTGAGACTGAGAGATTTTTAAAAAACTGAGGGATTAGGGGATATGGGGAGAGAGCGGGTAATTAGAGTTAGGTCTGAAGATCAGCCGTGATCTTATCGAATGGTGGGGCACAGGCTCGAGGGGCCGAATGGCCGACTCCTGCTCCTAATTCTTATGTTCTTATGTTCATATTCTTTTCGCCTACAAAATACAGTCAATTCACTTCACAGTATATTCTGTGAAGCGCTTTGAGACGTCTCAACATGATAAAGTGCTGGATCAAATGCAAGGCTTATTGTTATTATTATTATATTCCAGCATTCAGAAGAGCTGAAGGCGAACACAAATCTCTCACGAAATGCGTCATCTGCAGATAGAAAGCGAAGAACTCAAGAGATAGCAATGGGTGAAGTGATGATGGGATCATCGAGAATCCCACCCTGGCTCAGCGACAGGACGGTTCTGGGAGGATTTTACATGCGCTGAGATCGCAGGCTGGCGACATTTTTAAAATACGTTGTCAAAAAGATTTTGCGGTGCAAGCCGCAGCCAAAACCAAAACCCCCTCGAGATTTCGTCACCTCACCCAGTCGCTAGTCTGAAGCCAAAGCTTTCACTAAAGAGCCAGAGATCTTATTGTGGACGGACAGTGGATTACTGCACACAGCACAATAAAGTATGTGCGTTGACACCAATAAGCTCTCCAACAGGCTTCGAAGTTAGGGGGTGCAGGTAAGGAAGGGAGGGAGGGAAGGGGTTCTCGAGAACAAGACACCGCCAGGCACCCCGCCCTCCCCCCACACACACACACACACGCGCACACACACACGCGTGCAATAAATATTTTTACAAGAGAAAATATGCTTTTTATAATAGTGTTACATAGACTTTAAACTAAGCTGTGGTGGTGCAGGTTAACACGTGTATCAGCTGGCTCGAGGGAAGAAGAAATGGCAAGTCACGCCTGTTTTCTAATCAATCAAGATTTCTAATTAATCAATGAATCTGAGAGGGGAGAAGTGATGTTTAACAATAGTGGGTTCAAGCGTCTTAAGAGCACGTTCTGCAGTGTTGGCCACAGACGTGATGTGTTTTTGGGACGGTTTCCTTCTGGGCTGAAAATTGTGGCGTTTCATATAATAAATTATTCCTCCCTGTGCAAGATATATCCCCCCCCCACCACCACACACAAGCGCGCACACACACAAGACACCCCCCCCTCCCCCCACCCCACATACACACACACACAAAATAAAGTCAATTAAAATGAAACGCCATTAAAGTTAGAAGATCTGTTATTTGGCTAAAAATTAAAATGAACGTGACCGACATTTTAACTTGCAAGTGCTTGATTTTAGGGATTCCTTTCATGCGTGGGGCGGGTGGGGGGGGTGTGGAAACAGAGAGGAAAAGGGGAACAGAGAGGGGGAAGGGAGTGGGGGGGAGAGAAAGGAAACAGAACTAGCCCAAAAGACGCACTAAAGCAGATGGGTTTGGTTCGAACACAACTGGAATTCGAGGTCGTGCCCAGGTCCGCAACTAATGTCGCTGCCCCTTTAAGATCCCGAAGGAAGAGGCGATCGGACGGACGGACGGACAGAAGCACGGATGGCGGGAGAGGCAGAACAGGAAACACACGCACGCGCACACACACACACACGCAACCACACGCACGCAGAGAGAGAGTTCAGCGTCCGCCACCGTTTCACTGTTCTGACCTTCGTGCCCGGCATCTCCTCTGGCCCGTGGATTTCCGTGTCGCCACCGACGCCGCGAATCCCGCCAGGCAACACAGGGCCGTGGCGCTGAGCTTCGCTGCGTCCAGCCAGGCGGGCGGGCCGCTCTGCAGGTACCTCTCGGCCAGGTGCAGACCCATCACCGACAGCCACAGGAGGGACGAAACCGAGTCGATCCTCCGCAGTCTGAGCTCAGGGGGAGGAAAAGAGAGCGTGGGTCGTTGGGCGTTCCGGCGGTTAACCCGCTCGTCTCTCGAGCGAGATAACTCTCCCCCCACTCCCCGGCTTCGATTCCCGGGCAAAACCTCAGTAAGTTTCCTTACTCCACGCGCCTCTGTTTGCCCGGTGGTGAGTAGGAACCCCGGTTGTTAATGTTGATGGCTTTCCGGGAGTGATAATCCCTCCGTTCAAACAAAATTTGGTCAGTGGCTGCCGCGTTTCGCCCGCAAAACACACAGTCACTCCACTCTACCCTATTACCCTGCCGAAGCTCTTTGGAGACTCTCAACGGAAGGCGAAAGCACAGCTGTTGATTTTGCAAGCTCCAAAGAGCGAGTGCGTAAAGGTCAGATGCATTTAATCACTGCGAGTGGTACCTAATCACCTTCAGGGCTTCTTAACTTCTCCGCCCTCTCTCCCCAACCCTTTTCCCTAAACAGACACGTCTTTCCTCTGCTCTTCACTTTTAACGAGACATTTGCTCAGGTGAATCACATTTTCCCGTCTGACACTGTGTCTGCCCCGGATTTGCCTTGTCAAGCACCTGCAACCTCACCAAAGCAAGAGGCCGGTGAGGCCTCCGGGCAGCTCAGTAGATACTGTTACCTTGCAAACCAACACCTCCAACCTCAGCAAATCACATCACATTTCTTGCAGACGCAGCACAATGACTGTGTAATAATAAGTCAAGAGTAATGATATTCCTTGCACTTGATACAGCCCCTAACTCACCCCTTCTGATAACTGAGCCCTTTTCCCTTGGAACGAGATTATCGGGAGTTTTACTTGAAGATAGTAGGGACGTAGGAAATCCTGGATGAAAAAAACAGACCGAGGTCCATCTAGATTGCCTTCTGCCATCCTGATCGTCGCTTGCTACAATAATGGAGAGGTTGATGGTGATGAATTCTGAATGGATTAGTCTAGAGCAGAGGGGAAAGCCTTGGGAACCTTGGATCCAAAGTTGTTTGGTTCGTCCAAGCCCTACTACACTTACTATTTGCAGGAGCACGGGGAAAGATGGGGAGTGGGACCGATTGGGTAGCTCTTGTAAAGAGCCAGCACAGGCATGATGGGCCGAATGGCCTCCTTCTGGCTGTAATATTCTACGATTCTATCTATATATATATATATCCACAGACTCTCAAATTGCTCCTAAACTGTCTCTCAACGAATTACTTTCTAAAAGAAATCGATCCAATTTGTATTTGAACCAATCGACTCCTTCTGCTTCCACCGTCTCCCGAGGGATGAAACGAGAAGAGATAGAGAGAGAAACACAGAGAGAGAGAGAGACAGAGAGAGAGAGACAGAAACAGAGAGAGAGAGAGACACAGAGAGAGACACAGAGACAGAGGGAGAGAGAGAGAGAGAGAGAGAAGGCGAGAAAAGAAACGGAGATGCCTGCCTACCTTATACGCCCGGCCAGGATGATGGCCAACAGGCAGGTGAAGAGGCCAGTGGAGACGATTGCCATCTGGTGGTCCTCGCCGTAGCTCCAGGCGGCTCGCAGGCCGGCCAGAGTGTCCTCCGGCAGCGCGCTCAGCAGCTCTTGCCAGAGGCTGACGTTGCGAGCGAGGTCGGGGCCCGGGTCGGTCCGGTTGCCGCCGTTGGTCGGTTGCGGAGCTGGGCTCGGCCCGGCGGCGACGGCTGCTGCTGCTCTCGTCTCGGCCGAGGGCGGGCGTGGGTCGAACGGACCCTCCCACAGCGCCAGGGCCAACAGCATGGCGCAGCTCACGAAGGCCAGGAACCGTAGGAATACCACGCGGATCGGAGTGGACAGGCCGGAGTAGTGGGAGCTCTGAGAGAGAGAGACAGAGAGAGAGAGAGACCGAATTCAAGACACTTAAAAGAGACTTGTAAGCGTGGTGGCTTGGCGTTGCTCGCCTCGAGAAGCAAGAGGACCCGGGAATGTCGTCGTTGAGACGCCTCAAAGCACTCCACGGGACATTTTTGGAGGAATCATTCGGGGTAAATTAACCTTTGGCCCAGATTCTTGCGAGCAACCCGGCGAGGGGCTCGGGTGTCATTTCCCTCGAGGTGAAATACAAAATGTTTGATCTTTTTCTTCCCCCCCCAGGGATTTGTGTGTGTGTGGGGGGGGGGGGGAAAGAAACCCTTCCTAGAAAACACGCAGACTCTTTTCCTGGCATCGTAGTCGCTGTTAAGCGTCCGGTAATGTATCCGCGACCGCACGTTTTTAACACCGAGTTTCTAACGCGATGTCCTTCTGCCGTCGTCCTGTCAAAACAGTGCCCGCGGCAGCGAATCCTGTGAAGAGCTTCGGGATGCTGTCAATCTCGTGGGGCGCTATTCGGGAGAGAGAAAGGGGTTTCTCTCTCTCGGTGTCCCAGCCAACAGTCTCCCCCCCACCACCTCCCCAATAAAAAATTGGTCACTCGTTTCATGGTTGTTTGTGGGACACTGCTGTGCTCAACACAGATTTACCTACAAATACGCAGTGCAGTCACTCTGTCTCACAGCAATGGGAAGCGCTTTGAGACGTCCGTCTGACGTGATAAGGCGCTATATCAAATGCAAGGATTATTATTAATTATTGCTAGTCGTAATAAGCAGAATAAGGGTTGTCTAGATTTGCTGAGCTGAACCAGGTTATAATTAATAATCGCAGCAGATAACGTTCCTAGCGACTTTATATAAAACCAAAAAATCTTTACTCCTAAGGTCTCGCCGACCTCCGGAACCTCTGCCCACCCCACCCCCACCACCCCAACCCCCCCCGCTACTCTTACCTGCACAAAAGTTTTGTCTGCTTCTCGATGCCGGAGCTGGTGATCGAAGAGAATGGCTCGGATCTGCCTGTCCTGGTGTTTGATGTAATACTCCACAGCCGTCTGACAGGGACGGCACAGCTTGTACGTCTGCTCCAGGTGGTGTTTGTACATCTCAATCTCGTCCTCGTACCTGTCCTGTCAACGGGAGCGGAAACCAGTCCTTCAAAACGAACTCAGGGCAGAGCGACCGCGCATTTGCCTCCGCACTTTAACCTGAACCCAACTCTCGCGCTCGCTCTCACGCGCAATCGCCCTTTAGATATTCCTCGGATACTCCTTTTCAAAGTGAATAATGCGGACGTAAATTAGCAAATAATCTTGATCGTTAATGGCTGCAGCAGTGTGAGAGAGAGAGAGAGAGAGAGAGGGAGAGAAAAGCAAGACCCAAAATAGACTTAAATCACAATGGAGTTCAGTGTTTAAGATGCGTTGTTGATGATTTATCATTGTATGAATCTGCGCAGCAAAGGAGCTGCCCTCAAAAGCAACGGGGGAAATGACGTCGACACCAACTTGCACTTATTAGCCATTGGATGTGGCCACTGGGAAGAACACCCTGAAGAGAAATCCACTTCCCGCTTTGGGAATATCGTACGAGACGAAGGAAAGACTAACTTGGCCCGTCACTGGATGAAAAGCCATCGGCCGAGGGGCAGTAGACGTGACCAGATCTTATCGCTCTCTACCTGCACCTGGTTACCCTTCAACGTGGAAACTTCTCCACGACCCGACTGCGCTTTAAACAACTCAGGAATTTCGGGATTAACGGAGGGGTGGCTGCGCAGTTCAATCCGGGCCTTCCTTCGCCTGAAATTGAACGGATCGCGGTCACGAGGTCAGAAAAAAAAGACATCCCTCCTTGTTTCTTAAGGCTTGACAGCTGTCGCCTCAACGGCAGTAATAATCCCTGCGTACGTCACGGGGTCGAGAACGCCTCGAAGTGCTTCACGGGGTGTGCTGCAAAGTGGAGTATTTTGCGGACGAGACGGGATTTCCTGAGCGACGGCTCCACGAAGCTCTTCGAAGATCTACTCCTGCTCGAGCTCCGTGGAGACTCTCAAAATGCTCCGGAGAAAGGCCAATGAGGATTAAGTCAAAGTAAAAGGTGACCAAAGTTCTCTCCCTCTCTCTCTCCCTCTCTCTTTTCAACGCCACCAATAACCTTGGGCACCGACGCACAACGCCTCCATCTGCAAACGCACGTCGTTACTGACTGGACCAAAGCACCCTTTGCTGTCCCCATTGATATCACTGCACTGCGCACGGTCCAACTATCCTCGGCGGTTGCAAAGGGACACGGGCTCGACGCACGACTTGAGTCAGTAGGTGTAGCGGGGATGAGCAGGAGGCTGAGCGGGTAGTGGATTGGGGGAGAAAGCAGGCGAGAAAGATAAAGAAGAGGCGTCGGTTTAACCAGTGGAACGGGATGAAAACACATTTACAATCAATCCACCTCGACAGTACACTCTCCACCAAAGCGCCACACTCGCACAGTAAGGGGCGAGACTGCACGAGCCTTCGAGCGTTTTATTTTTTGTAAAATATTTGAATCGCATAAGCCACTGATGTCCTTACAAGTCAATCACAGAGAGAGAGAGAGAAAAAACAGCCACAGTCCCCCAGATAAAACTGATCAATTACCTTTAGGGCTGTTTGAGGGAATGACAGTCCCAAATAAGATGAACACTAAGACCAAGTGGTGAGTGAACGATTCTTTCAACGATTCTTTCAACTGATAAAGAATTTTAAACCGCTTACAGGTTCAAAAAATAAATACAAATAAAAGTGTGTCCCACCTCATCTCTTGGTACGAAGGAAGCCAATTGTTTGACCTTCAGGGTTTGGTTGCTGTTGCACTTCTTGCAGAAGAGAAGCTGTCCGTTCGGCCACTGTTGGACCTTGCTCGCCTCCGTGGGACTTGTCCAACTGGTGACCATGTGATTCAGATGCTCCATGTACTGAGCAGGTATCGGCTTATTGTAGTCACCGTTCTGAGAGAACGGAACAGAAAGTACGTCAACGGGACTCGTCATCAGGCAGTGACTAGAGGGCGTCTGTTTAAGACGGCGAGCAAACAATAATAATAATAACCCTCGCCTTCGATCACGTCGTTGAAAGCGCTTCACAGAATAGACTGTAAAGCGAATTGATTGACGGCACACGGAGCGAGTGAGCAATTTTATTTGGGGCGACTGTTGGCCAGGACACCGGGAACGAGCAACTAAACTCCCTCCTCTTTTCCAACGGCCGATCGCAGCGGCAGAGCCGGAATAATCTTTGCGTTGTGCGTAGCGCCTTATCACGTCGTTGAGACGTCTCGAAGCCGCTTCGCAGAACGTACCGGAAAGCGAATTGACTGCGTATTTCGCGGGCGAAACGCGGCAGCCAATTGCGCACAGCGGCGTCCGAACCAACAGTCGCGGTTTGAGTGATCCCCAACCTGGGAATCGAACCCGGGTCCTCTTGGATGCGAGGGGAGCCCACTGACCGCTACGAAGATTGGCACAAGGGACATGTCACCAGCCAGACCTGCGCTATTTCAGAAACCGCAGAGGATCTTACCTCCTGAAAGCCATTGTACTGCTCGCAGTTGGGACAGTCCCAGCAGTTCCTGTTGCCGTAGGGGACGGTCGTGTCCTGGCTGCAGAACCAGCAGTTCACCTCCACGTGAGTTGGCTTCTTCCTGCGGAAAGCAAAGGGAGAGTTTAAAAAAAAAAGTGGCCGGTTAATAAAAAAGGTTTCTTTGCAACACGCACCCAATCCTCTCCTTCGGATGAGATGTAAAGCCCAGGTCCTGTCTGCGCCTGTGCAGGTGGACGATAACTGATCCCACAGCACTATTCGAAAAGCATTATACAATAATAATGCCAATAATCTTTGGTGTATCACTTCGGAAGGAAGGAACGTCTCAAAAGTGCTTCACGGGATTACTTTGACGTAATACGGCACGAGACCTAAAAATGCAATCTCTCTATCGACGCAGCTGAGCGCTTTATGGGAGAAAGCGGAGAGGGTGGAGGGGGAAGACACCGACAAACAATTAAGACAATTCAAGCAACGATTCTAAACCAAATGCGGTAAATACCCCGTGCCCAACCCCCCCCCCCCACCCCCCACACCCTGTAGAAACACTCAAAAAAAAATAAAACACTCAAAAAATGAAATTAATCCAAATTCATTGATGGTTCGACCTTAACATTGGGAGTAAAAAGGCTTTTTCCACACAGAGCTCTTACAGCCAAACACACAACAGACGCAGCCCGAGGCAGCCTGACAGCTGTGCCGAGGGGAGAAGCATTCAACTCCCTCCCCCCCTCGGCTGATATAAAGAACGCCCCCCCCCCCCCCCCCCTTGTCCTGTCTAATCCCATCTGTGCGCAGCTCTTTGTGTTTGTCAGACGAAGTCTGGAACACACGTGGAAACCAATCAACCTGTTTAAGAGCATTGAAACCAGGCAAAGCCCCACATGCGGAGGTGACCAACACGGGGAGAGTTCCCCACGTTTGGAATGGAGGGGCCAGACTTTCTCCTTGGGAGGGGTGCACCCTAACGCTGGAGACTGGACACAAGGTGAGCAAGAGCCAGGCCTTGTTACATTGGAGCACTGCTGGTTTAACCAGCGGAAGGCACGTAGCATAGTGTCCTCACTGCCTGGCAAGCTTGCCCAGCCAGGACCACCCTACTTACCCATTAGGGTTTGGGTTTGGGGGCTGAGTGAGATGAACCCCAGGTAATCTCACCACACCCGTCACCTTTCCCCTCCGTACCCCACTCGTCTCCCAACCCCAACGCTGTGAACGGGCTTTGGGACGTCCTCCCGAAGCGAAAGGCGCTACTGTTTATGCGCAGCAAACGTGAACGGCATTGCAGACGATGCCTTTCGCATCAGCCACATCTCGAAGCACTTCGGGGGCTTCGTTGCAATGTGCAGCGACCGTATTTTGTCAGTGAACAAAGGCACCTTGTTTGAAACAAAGAGAGACATCTCTCTCTCTCTCTCTCTCTCGGACTCGGATTCATTGATTCATTGCGTCACTTAAGCCACAGAAGAGATACGAGCAGCTCAAAGTCACGGCTTGGCCGACACTGGCACCAGGCGGCTTTCCCCAAACCCGACAGCTGGCTGGAGCCCTGTTTACACATGTGGCCTCACCACAAGACACAACCACCGTTATGTCCACGGGCTGAGGCAGGAAAGACGGGCATCCTTTGGGAAATTAACAACACATGCTGCGCTCCAGGGAGCTTCAATCTGAAAGGCCTCAAGGTCAACACTCGCCCCGCTTGCCCGCCTCAGGCAACTCTTACATTAACGACTTCTGCGTTCAGGTCCTCTCCAGTCGAGCAACAACAAAAATAATAATAATTATAATCCTTGCCTTATATAACGTCTTATCGCGTCATTCAGATGCCTCAAAGCGCTTCACTGTAAAGTGGATTGACGGTATATTGAGGGCAATGGACGAAATGTAGATTACTCTGGGAACCCACCTTTCTAACCACCCGAAGGCTTGATACTCAGCAACACATGTGGTCGTTCATTCCCTTCATGGCTGTTTGTGGGACACTGCCGCGCGCAAACTGGCTGCTGCGTTTCACCCACACAATCTCCGCACTTCGCAGTTTAAGCTGTGAATAATAATCATAATAATACGGCCACTTGACATAGCGCCTTATCACGTAGTTGAGACGTCTCAGAGCGCTTCCCAGGATCTACTGTAAAGTGGAGATACGGTGGATTTTGTTGGGCGCAGTTCCCCAAAACAAAGTCTTAACAAAAACCCTCTTCCGGTTAAACTCGCAAAATTTGAAACGTGGACTTTTTCTTTAATATAAAGTTACGAAAAATTTAAGATTTAGAACCAGAAGATTATTTTTTTAAAAAACTCTGGTCAGCCGGTGGGTGGGGGGGCGGGGAGGGGGGGGGTCTAACACGGGCAGAAAGCCCATCGCCGTGCTTAAGCGTGTCCAAACCAGCCAGAGTTCCGTGCACGCCACCGACACGTGGCAATTCCGGTGTCTGGAATGGAATGGAATGAGAAGGGAAAAGGCGAACGTGGAAAGAATGGGTCGAATGACACTTTCACGACGACAACAACTCGCATTTATCTATCGGGGTAGCGTTTAACAGTGGCGCAGCCTGACAAACGGGGGCCAGAGGTTTCAAACGACAATGCAAATAACTAGTTAACACGCCTTGCGTTGGAGTATGGCGCACTGCCGCACGCCTGGGCGAGGCGTCTTAAAAGCGCTTCGCAGAATATATTGTAGGGTGGAGTGACTGCGTGTACCGCGGATGACACACAGCAGCCAATTGCGCACAGCAGCGTCCCACAAACAGCCACGAAGCGAGTGACCAAATTTTATTATGTTTTAGGTGCAAAACAGGGGGCGACGGTGGCGACGAGACACAAGTGCACAGTACTGTAGGAAGGAGAAATGCTTCAACTAATAAAATGTGCTGCTAATCTTTCGCCAGAATCCACGACCCTCTCCCGCCCCGTGTTTATTTCTGTGCGTGCCTTCGGGACTTGGGTCGCCCTGTGCGTTGCCACCTGTGGACGCCTTTCATCTCCTGGCGAGACAGACAAAGAGGCAACGCACACTGAGAATACCAGCGACGCGCGGCACACGGCGCGGCGCTCCGCAGGCCCGGCCGACAGAGGGGCACCGAAACCCGGAGCCGAGGCAAAGCGACCGACCGTGGAGTCGATTCTCCCCAAACGTCTCAGAGAAAGACGGAGGAAGTTGCATTTCCGCCGCTCTCTCTCTCATTCTCTGTCGCATCCAAAAGTCCGAAACAAACAGCAATGCGATTTAGTATCGGAGTTTGCCGCAAAGCGCTTCACGGGATTTACTGCGGAATTTGTCGGCAAACGTGACAGCCAATTTGCCACAATAACGTCCCACGAACGGCCATGAAATGAACAACAATTTTATTGGGGGAGGTTGGGGGTGGGGGGGGAATTGTTGGCCAAGATACGGGGACAAACTCCCTTCTTTTTTGAATCGTGATACAGGGTCTTTAATGCTCGTCTGACCGGTCACGGTTTAATCAGGTTAAAGCGGTCTCAACCGTGCGTCATTTGAACGGGACAGAGCTCCCATCTGTCTGTTCAGGTGGATGTTAGAAAGATCCCACGGCACTGTTCGAAAAGAGAAGGCGGTTCCTCCCGTTGCCCTGACCAACACACCCCCAAATACAATCCATCGTTCACTCCACGGCTGTTTGTGGGACATTGCTGCGTTTCCACTTTACGGCGTATCCTGTGAAACGCTTTTGAGGCGTCTCAACGATGGGGAAGGCGTCTGAATCCAACGAGCGGATTATTTATTCTAACTGAAGGACGGCACCTCCAACAACGCAACACGACCGCAGCTCCACTACGAGTACAGAGTCCCGGCCCGGGGGCTTGAGCCCACAACCATCCGACTCGAGAGGCGAGAGTGCACCAGAAGCGTGTTACCGCGATCACTGTCAAGTTGCAGTGACTGTTTTTGTTCGCAAACGATGCTTGCGAGGAGCGGAAATATAATAAAGTCCTCCGGACGAGAAAGGTATCATGGTGTGCAGATTGCAGATACTATCTCGGATCAATGGAGCCCTATTGAATCATTAACTCAAACCGCCACCAAATAAAACCAGATTGCGTTTCATTCACCATCTCTGCCGCTCGGTTTATAGCACCGACGGCTCTGTCTTATCTCAACAGGAATTGCCGCCATTTCTCAATCCAAGGCCAGGAAGGTACACTTTTCCTATGTGTCAGGATAAGTAATCGGACCAGAAAATGCTTTCCTTAGAGGTTTCTTCCCCTTTACACTAACTTAAAAGAGGAAACGTACTTCGCCCACGATGACCTCTCGCCTACATACGAAGAATGAGCCTTTGTGAATACTCCGGGACTGAGCCAGAAAGTGGGACTGACGCTGACAACTGGTAAAGGAAGCAAAGTGCACGGGATTGCTGATACTGGCGTGAAGATGTGGGCGACTGAGCCACACGACTCTGTCTATCTCGCAGTCGGGGGGAACCCAGCTGTTAGTCGACTGGCGGATTGCTTTCCCGGGGGGTAATAATCCCTCCCAAAAAAAAATTACAGGACAAAGTGCTGTATCACAAGCAAGGACCATTACTATGAATGATGATGATGGTTTGGGAGACCTCAGCTCCAAATCTGATTGACATCGTCCAATCTTTCCATCCTGATTTCTACCCACCACGTGTCAGCCTTGATTTGAGTTCTGCTTTGATAGCCTAAAGAGAGCCTCTAAACGCACACGGACTACAACCGCTCGCTCCGAGAACGCTAACCCGGGCGCAAGGCACGACGGTGTGTAAATGTTTGAGGGCAAATGGCACTCGGGGAACCTTGTGTCAGGAGGACATCAAAGCGATTACAGGTTGAGCGTGCGGAGGGGGGCCAACAAAGCTATTTTATCCAGAGCTACGCACTGTACATTCCCACCACCATCCAGACCCCAATCCCAGACCTAAACCCTGTTAGGATCGGGGTCCTGGCTTTCCCGAAAGCACGTCTAACGATCCCTCCCAATAATCAAACCGTACGCCCAAAGAATATTTACAAATCTCGGCGTGACTCGGCTCAGGAGGATTTTTTTTTTTTAACACACACACGCGCGCGCACGCAAGTCGTTACTTGCAACCTACTGAAAAAGCACTGGTAAAAACACGAGGCAACTCAGAGGAGCATTTCAAAAGGCTATAACAACAACCCTTGTGCATTTGATAAGAGCGCCTTATCACGTCTTCGAGCCGTCTCACCCCTAAAAACGCAGGACAGACTGTAAAGCGAATTAATTGGACTGCATTAATGCACATCTCCTGCAAAACACCTGGTCGCGCCCTCAAAATAGTCCATTCGCTTCACAGACGGTCCCTCCGCTTGAGATTATATTTTGCCGAGCGCTTCCGAGGCGTCTCAGCGCCGCGATAAAGGCGCTGTGCCGAACGCAAAGGACTATTATCCTAATCCTCCCCAGAGCTCATTCCTCCGGGACATCCGCACGTCCCACCAAACACAACCTTCTCTTACTGGTGGAGAAGTGGTGGACAAGACCACAAAGCCGGGTCGTTCCGCGTGTGCGTGCGTGTGCGTGTGCGTGTGGTGTGTGTTTTTTTGCGCGGGCGGTCCAGGAGGCTGTGTAATCCCAGGGGCAGAGTTTGGATCCCAAACCGGGATTGAAAAGAGATTTCCCAAATGTAACGTCCGCTGCCTCGAAGCCCCCGAGTGACTCCGATCCCTGCGGCGTGTGCTGGAACCAGAAGGCGGTGCCCTGTTCCCAACACAGGGCCACACTCCCCCCCCAACCGAGGAAAGTGTGTGCGTGTGGGGTGTGGGGGGGGGGAGCGAAGGGGGGAAAGGGAATAAAGACCGAGTAATAATCCTTGCATTTGATATAGCGCTTAATGAAGGTGAACCACCATATCATCTCTCTCCTCCTCACTCCTTCCCTTCTCCTCCCTCTCCTCCCCCTCTCTGCTCCTCCTTTTTTTTTACCCCCCCCCTTCTTTCTCCCACCCCCTCCCTCCTCCCCTCTTATCCCGCTTCTCTCTCTCTCTCTCTCTCTCCTCTCCCTGTCTTCCTCTGCTTTTTCTTTCTTCTGCTCCCTCCCTCCCTCCTTCTCTCTCTCCTCCAACCTCACGACTCCAACACAGCCCTCCTCACACACACACATATACACACACACACATACACACATATACACACACACACACACACATATATATATTATATATACACACACATACATAGATAGCAAATAGAGGTGAAGGGAGGGGGGGAGGGGAGAGGGAGGGAGTGAGTGAGGGGACTAGAGATAGGGAGGGAGGGGGAGGGAGTGGGGAGGGGGAGGGAGTGGGGGAGGGGAGAGGGGGGGAGGGGAGGGTGGGGAGGAGTGGGGGAGTGAGGGTGGGGGAGTGAGGGAGTGGGGAAGGGGAGGGTGTGGGGGAGGGAGTGGGGGGAGGGGGGGTGTGAGGGAGGGGGAGTGAGGGTGTGGGGGAGGTTGTGGGGGAGGGGGAGGAGGGGAGGGTGTGGGGGTGTGGAGGAGTGGGGGAGGGAGTGAGGGAGTGGGGGAGTGGGAGGAGGGGGGAGTGGGGGTGGGGGAGGGAGTGAGGGGGGAGTGAGGGTGTGGGGGAGTGAGGGGGAGGGGAGGAGTGAGGGGGGGAGGGGGAGGGGGGGTGAGGGGGGAGGGGAGGGAGGGAGTGGGGGTGAGGGAGGGAGTGGGGGAGTGAGGGGGAGGGAGTGAGGGGGGGAGTGGGGGTGTGAGGGGGAGGGGGGCAGTGCCGTACCTGGTGGCCGCCCTGTAGAGGAGAGCCCCGGCGGCACACACACAGCCGATGCCGGTGGCGGTGGCGGTGCCGGTGACGGGGAACGGGAGAGCGCGGACGACGCGACTCAATGTATCCATTTCCCGCTCCGCGGCGCCGAGAAATGGAGCGACTCTCGATGTTACCGCTCACGGATTCCACTGTGTCCCCGCGCGCGCGGCCCTGTGCGCGTGTGCGTCATCACGTAGTCCCCGCCCCCATACGCCCCGCCCCCTCCCCACACGCCCCGCCCCTCCCCCACACGCCCCTCCTCCTCCCCACACGCCCCCCCACCCCCGCCCTCCCCACACGCCCCCCCCCCCCCCCGCCCCCTCTCCCCCCCCGCCCCTCCCCCACACGCCCCGCCCCTCCCCCACACGCCCCGCCCCTCCCCCACACGCCCCGCCCCCTCTTCCCACGCCCCGCCCCCACGTCCCGCCCCCTCTCCCCGGAGGGGAGGGTGTGTGTGTGGGAGGAGGGGGTGTGTGGGAGGGAGGAGGGGGTGTGTGGGGGGGGAGGGTGTGGGGGGGGCGATGAAGGCGGTTTCAGAGCCTCGGGGCGTAGCGGCTGAAGGTTTATTACCCCCTCTCCCCCCCCCCCCCCCCCCCCCGGGACAGCGATCTGCCAATCGACCCCCAGGCGAGTTTCCTGCCTCCTGTCGGGTACTCGGAGGCGAGTGTGGACTATGGAAACTCTCCTCAGGTTTCGTGCCGCACCGGGGAACCGAACCTCTCGCTTGCGGGGATGGGTTCCTCGGGACAGGCAGCGAGCGCACCGCACCTCCCGTTGCCTCCCTGCGCGTGGTGATGGGATTCCCCGGGAGCCGGGCTCCCTGCTGACCAAAATAAAAGGATTCGGGAACGTCGCGGAGCCCTTTGCGCCGAGTCACCGATCTCAGCCCGGAGCAGCGGTCAGGGCCGTGACGGCCCCGCAGTGCCCCCTCCCTGCCCCGGGGTTAGGGCGGAGGGAATATCAGCAAGTTTTCCCCTCTCCCGATTGGATGAGGAGACCTCATCTTGTGCGACTTTCCCGGCCCTCCTCCTTTCTGTAACGGACCACTAGGTGGCGCCAGGTCCTCACAAGGGTTTACGGGTCTCAGAAACGGGGGGTGCAATACAGTGCAAAATTACATTCGTGTGTAACGCCTTTCGGGTCAGGAGGAGGACCCCCCAAGTCGGTCGCGGGACAGTCGGGGATTTGGACCCGAGCGGGGGTGGGGGGGGGGGGGGGGTTGGGATCAGGGCGGGCATTGAGGGTTCGGAGGGTGACCGAAGGCGCGGTCGAAGAGGAGGGTCTTGAGACGTGCCTTGAAGCAGGCGAGGGAGGGAGTAGGCAACAACAACAACAACAACAAGATTACATTTGTATAGTGCCTTTCGCATCGGGAGGACGTCCCGAGGCACTGGACAGTGTACAGCATTTCAGGTAAAGGGGACTGTGGGATGGAGTTCCAAAAGGTGAGTGGCAATACATCATAATAATAATAATAATAATCCTCGCATTAGATATAGCGCTTTTCACGTCTTCTCGACTTCTCAAAGCGCTTCACAGAACACACTGTAAAGTGAATTGACTGTATATTTGTGGGCGAACGCGGCAGCCAATTGCGCACAGCAATGTCCCACAAACAGTCGGGGATTGAAAATGACCAATTTATTATTGTGTTTGGTTTTGGAGGGATTATTATTAGGCTCTGTGTGAAGAAAGGAAACTTGCCCAAGGTTTCGCCCTCTGCCTGGAATTGAACTCAGGTCTCTCGCTTGCAAAGCGAGTGCTCTAACCGCTGAGCTACAGGACTCCACAAGACTTATCAGGTAATTTAGTTATGATCCTAAAACTGGGGCTGTATTCACTGGAGAGAGTATGAACAGATGTGATAATCAGCAAATGTCAGAGGCTTCAGGTGAGATGTTGTTCCGAGGTTCCCGGGTGTCTGACGCGCGGAAACCCATCACAGTGAGTCTCCAAACTAAACTTAGAATCCCACCATCCCACCCACACACGGAAATCCCGGGGACAGATTGCTGGAATGGAATGCGCTGGAGGGATGCTTCCTGCTTTCCTAATTCCGGAAAGCATTAGAAAGTATTAGCGTTAAAGACATCCCCTGACATAACTGGAAAACAGAAGAGAGCTCCTGCTATCTCCTTTGGTATCCTGTCTGAAAATCCCCACATAAATTGGGTCATTCACCTCACGGCTGTTCGCAGGACATTGCTGTGTGCAAATTGGCTGCCCCTCTAAACAACAGTCCCTCTCACTACACTCGATACCAATGACCTATGAAGTGTTTTGAGACAGTTTAGATGCTGTGTGCATCACGGGAAATGAACACCGTATTCATTTGATATTTATTTCAATGGCTTGATATTTCTAATTGCCTGAATGGTGCGTGTGTGGGCACGTCACTCGGTCACGTCACAGCCCCTTAGTTGCTATTGACTGAAGCCGAGTAGATTTGCGGGGGCGTACGTTGTGTGTGGTGAATGGTGTCTGTATTCAACATACGTATGTGAGTGGGTGAAAGGTCAGCGTCGCGTAACACACTATAGAAATAAGTGCATGAAAAGCACAAGGAGTTCATTGCAATATATATACTTACACCCCCGTTTGATTCAGATGGACCCATTAAACAAATGAGATTATATGGAGGTTGTCTCAATTTCTGCATCTGTGTACGAGGAGTAAATGATTGTTGGGTTCAGGTACAGTGCAGGTTAGGAATAGCAGTCGGACAGTGTCAAGGGAAGCTTTACTCTGTCTCTCACACTGACCTGGGAGTGAGGACGGACAGTGTATACTTGAGCCACGGGAACCTTCTCCGCAGCGACTGTGAGCGTGAGGCTGTGGTCCGCCAGTCAGTAAGTGATGGTTGCCAATCCAGATATGAACTTGCATTTCGTTGCTTAGTCACGGTTTGCATGTGGTTGTGAACTTTATCACTGATCTCACTCTCCCCGGAATGGGGAGTGGGGGGTTAGGGTTACTATTAGGGATCATTCAACTCAGAGCTAATGGGGTTCCCCCACAGGTGAGAATCTGGTCTGGGGAGGAATTCCCCACTGTGCCCCCACCAGTGACGCTGCTGCTGCTCAATTGGCTGCTGTGTTTCTCCCCTAAAATATACAGACAATTCACTTTACAGTATATTCTGTGAAGCGCTTTGAGACGTCTCAAAGACGTGATAAGGCGCTTGTGTCAAATGCAGAAGTGCTCTAACCGATAAGCCACAGGGTTGATGGGGGTCGGGAGATTAAGGGACAGGTTTAACAGTAACAAGCGAGAGCCAGTAAATGAGCAGCTCACTGGACATTCCAGTGATTTTTTTTATTGAGATGAGAATTATTTTTTGTGAGGGTTGGGGGGGAACGTAACCTTTGTTTCTAATGTGAGGGGGCAGCAGCAGCACAAGACCAGCTTTTACAGCGTTAAACATAGCCCCCCTACCACCCACCCACCCACCGCCCACAGACTGACGTTACTGACACCCCGGCAATGCGACTCACAGACACACACACACACACACACAGACAAAGGCCTTCCTGTGACATAAACCACACGGACTTTTATTTTGCTCATTCATACTGACAAACAATTTGCATTTCTGTGTGTTAGAATATCTCAAAGCGCTTTACAGTAACGACTGTTTTGCAGGCAACATAGCAGCCAATTGGTGCACACAGTTTAAACGAGCAGTTTATCTGTGTGTGTGTTGGGGGTGGGGAGGAGGTGGGTGGAATTTTCAGCCAAGACACAAGGAGAAACTCCCTTCTCTATTCTAAGCGCCACGAGATTGCTAACGTGCATTTGAAAAGGCAGACTGGGGGATGGGACCTGGGTTTATAATAATAATACTTGCATTTTATACAGCGCCTTATCACGTCGTCGAGACGACTCAAAGCACACTCCTGTAAAGTGGATAAAGTGGAGTGACTGTGTATTTTGCAGTAGCCAGTTTGCATACAGCAGTGTCTCGCAAACAGCCATGGAGGGAGTGATCAATTTTATTTGGGGGAATTGTTGGCCAGGACACTGGGAGAAAGAAACTCCCTTCTCTTTTCGATGGGTATTTTAAAGTCCAAACGGGCAGATGGGAGCTCAGTTTAACGTCTCAGCTGAAGAACGGCACCTTTGACAATGCAACACCAGTCCCCTACACTGCATTAAAGCGTCAGCTTAGAAAATGTGACTCCAAGTCCCTATGTGGGGCTTGAATCCACAATCTTTTGACTCAAAGGCAAGTGCACGAATGCTGAATCAGAATGTTACACATTCGTAAAGGACAATATCTATGTAATAATAATAATAATCCTTGCATTTGATATAGCGCTTTTCATGTCTTCGAGACGTCCCAAAGCGCTTCACAGAACACACTGTAAAGTGAATTGACTGTATATTTGTGGGCCAACGCGGCAGCCAATTGCGCACAGGAATGTCCCACAAACAGTCGTGGATTGAAAATGACCAATTTATTATTGTTGTTGTTTGGAGGATTATTATTAGGCTCTGTGTGGAGTAAGGAAACTTGCCCAAGGTTTCGCCCTCTGCCTGGAATTGAACTCAGGTCTCTCACTTGCAAAGCGAGTGCTCTAACCACTGAGCTACAGGACTCCACAAATATCGGATAAGCAATGCAGTACTGCGGTGGAGTCACTGTCTGGAATGTTGAACTTTCTGACCGAGAGTGAGGGAGAGTGACGCACTGCACCAAACTGGCGCCCTGTGCTTATGAGAAAGGGGGTAGGGAGAAGAGCTTGAGTAATAATGATGACCCTTGCATTTTATACGGCATTGAAATGCCTCAAAGTGTTTTACAGATTTATACAATAAAGTGGAGTGGTGTATATTTCGTGGACGAAACGTGGCAGACAACAGTGTCCCAAAAACAGTCGTGGATTTGAGTAACCAATTTTTTTTTAAAAAAAGGATTATTACTCCCTGAAAAGCGATCCGCCAATTGGCTGACAACCGGGTTCCTACTTACTGCTGGGTAAACAGAGGCGTGTGGAGTAAGGATAGTTGCCTAAGGTTTCGCCCCGCCCGAGAATCAAACCTGGGTCCTCTCGCTTGCGAGGCGAGTGCTCTAACCAATGCCGAGAGGGAAGGAGAGTGATGGATTGTGCCAAACTGATGCCCTGTGTTTCTGAGAAGAGGAAACAAGATCAGTGAGTGAATAAATGCACTGTCATTGGCACATGGACCCACTCCTGACATACACTGAGGAGAGAGAGAGAGAGAGGGAGTGAGGGGGTATTTCTAATGCAAGGGGAGCTCTTGGGGACTGAGTCCAGCAGTTACCAGAAGGCTACAGGGAAAGTCCAATTTGGGCAAATAATTAGAAAAAAAACTGGTTCTTTTAGAAAATTATTAAACGAGAACAAAACAAACATTCTGCAGGCACTGGCTGCACTCAGAGACACTGGACACTCCTGCTGGGAATCCCAAAGAAAAACAGGAATAATAGTTGCACAAGGTTAGCTTTGCTTTGCCTGGGAATTTCTGGCTATAAGTCAGTACTCAATTCAAAAATAAACTTGTGTATCTAGGGAGTGGGGTTCCCCCACACTCCGTCACATCCCCCGCTAGGCGTGCTCTATACATTCCCCGGCGGCCAAAAGCACAGTCAGTAGCAATCAGTGAACCACAGTTCCTTTGGCTTACTACGATGACACATCTCATTGCACAGATCTGCGCTCTCTCCTCTCTCCTCATTGCTGTCACGTTGGCTGTCAATTGCCCAAGAGGTAAAGAGTTAACAGTAACAACAACTTTTTTTAAAAAAAAATTCATCGGATAAGGCGCCATAACAAATGCAAGGATTATTATTAGTAATAGTACCATTATTGTAATTATTATCGCTTCTCTGCAAAGCCTTGTCACCCACTGTACTGTACTTTCAGGGCTTTTTTTTGTTTGCCAGTTTCAGAAACAAGTAAGAGTAAAACGGTTGTCAGCTTAGTGCTTCAAAGAGAATTCATGTAAAATAATGCTTTCATTTAACTCGACTGTAACTTGGCTCTCTCTGCGCTCTACACTTTGTGTGCGTGCGTGAGTACAGTGTAATAGTAATGTATTGTACACTGTGTGTCCTGTATGTGTGTGAGTACCACACTGTGTTTGTGTCTGTGTGTAACACTGTGTGAATACTGCATGGGTGTAGGTGTGTGTGAGAGAATACTACACTGTATGTGTATGCTGCACTATGTATATGTGTGTGTGTGAGAGTAATACACTATGTATATGTGTGAGAGTACTACACTATGTATGTGTGTGTGTGTGAGAGAGTACTAAACTATATATGTGTGTGTGTGTGAGAGAGAGTACTAAACTATGTATGTGTGTGTGTGTGTGTGAGAGAGTACTACACTGTGTATATGTGTGTGTTTGCTCGCTGTTCTGTGCCACGAGAAACTACAATGAAACTTGCTGCACTTTGCTAGAGTTTCTCTTCAAAACCACTGAGTTTGCTCAGCAACAGTATGGTCAGCTCAGATTCACAAGGGTCGGAGTGGAGTCTTGGGGAAATGTTACTGACTAAGAAGCAGTTGCTCGAGTCTAAATATAGTGCAGTGCATTATATATAGCTTGAGTTTCTGCACAGAAATAATTCTACGTGTGTCTATCACTTTCGCTTTGATAAGAGAGTTGTATCATTCCTGTAAATTGCGCCATTGTACAATTTAATCAACCGATGAACTTCGAAGATCGACGTTCACAAGATTCCTCTTAACTATTTGGATTCAAGACTCACCTCTTTGACCGACTGACCGACCAGGGCTTTCGATTAGATTTCCCTCCCTCACCCCCCCCCCCCTCTCTCTTGGCAAAGTGAAAGACGCTGCTTGAATGTAGATGTAAATTGTATTGGCTGAAGAGTGGTGTGGAGGGTGTGTAAAAAAAATACTGTTAAAACAAGGCACTGAAAAGGTGTTCCGAGCGGGACCTGGAGAAGTGGAGAGCTCGACAGTCGGTGAGTCAGGGAACAGGAGAGGCCATCGGATTAACATAGTGAGAGCTGATGAGCAAATCAGGAGGTCAGGGAGGGCTCGGGGCTTTCAGAAGGTAATTGAGCGGTGACTGTTCTGAGAGTTAATCTCCCTGAGGGACGGTGCCAAATCAACCCACATTGACTGGCAGTGAGTTAGAATTTTCCCCCGCGGGTGGGGGGGGGGGGAGGGGGTCACGGACTGGGGTTTCTCAGTGCTGCTGGAAAGCTGAATGACTCAAATGTCGGCAGCACTGACCCCACCGTCTTCCTTAGAAATCTAATTAACATGTACCCGGCAAAGAGGTTTAACCCTTCAAGTGTCAGTCAGTCATTAAACCCTCCGCCTCGCCCCCTCCTTCCCCCCCCGTCAGGTCACGCCTGACGACCTTCCTCTTGGACCTTGGCTACGGTCACCGCGTCCCCCCACCCCCAGGCTCAGGGTCCTGCTCTGCCACTCTCAAGTGCTCCGGGACCCTACCGTGCCTGAGGGGGTGCTGGGTAAACACAAGTTGTTGTTGTTGTTGTCGTCGTCTGGAGTTCTGAGTAAAACCCTGATGACCTTGTGAGATCAGACAGTGGTGGAAGGAAGGAGATGAGGTCATTATTATCTCGGATAATAATTAATCTTTCACTCTTGTGTACGTGCGTGTCTGCGTGTACAACTCAGACACGCATTCTCATTCACACACGTGCGCGTGTGCGCACACGCACGTCACATGCTCACGCTCACGAACACAGCTGAATGGACACGTAATGTGCCTCTTGTAAATAATCTTTCTTTGATTTACAGGTACATATAAGACTCAAAATACGTGCAAACCCTGTCCAGCAACAAGCTTCTCCAACGATGAAAACCTCAGGCGGTGTCAACGATGCCAGTCATGTTTCGGGAGTAAGTCTCAACAACAACAACAAATTACACTGACACAGCGCCTTTCATGTCGGGAGAATGTCCCAAGGCGCTAGACAGGCAGGGATTTGCACCCGAGCTAGGGGAGTTGGGATCAGGAGGGCGGGGAGGGTAGGGGTTGGGAGAGTGACCGAAGGAGCGGTCGAAGAGGAAGGTCTTGAGATGTGCCTTGAAGGAGGTAAGGGAGGGGGCGAGGCGAAGGGACTTTGGGATGGAGTTCCCTAGGGTGGGGGCAGAGAGGCTTGAAGGCTGGTGATGGGGCGGGCAGGGAGGGGGAACGTGGAACAGGCCTGATAGGAGGGAGCGGACAGGCCGGTATGGGGTTAGCAGGTCACCGAGGTTGGGAGGAGCAAGGCCGTGGAGGGCTTTGAAAGAGAGCACGAGGACTTTGAGCTTGGGGAGCCAGTGGACCCGGGCGAGGATGGGAGTGATGGGTTTACAGATGATAGGAGTTGAACAAAGAATGTACTGTAACACAGGAGCTGTATCTGATGTACACAGGATGTGACACACACACAGTTCGGGTGGGACTGAATGCTTTGAGTTTGACACTAACTCACCGAGTGTGATGGTACAGATGGCTTTGGGAGCTGGGGGTAAGACAGGGCGTCTGTCTCGTCTCTCTGAATAACCAAAGTCTCTTTTTCTGTCCATCGCAGGCAAGTTCCGAGTGGAGCGACAGTGTACGGCCATCTCCAACACCAAGTGTGGCTGTGTCCAGGGCTACATGTGCAGCAATGACGCCTGTGATCAGTGTATGGCCCATCGGTCCTGCCTACCGGGTCAAAGGATCGTCAAAGAAGGTAACATCTCTCACCCAAACCTCCATCCCACATGCCCCAGTCTGTCTCCCAGACCAGGGGCCAGGCAGACGCTCCCTCGGGAAGATGAAGCATTAATAACAGTACAATTACCTCTTAACGACCTTCTGGCTCTCCCTGGCCTCCTATTTGCACATTTCCTATGTTAAACTGATGCCCTCTTGGTCCCCGACTCACTGACCATCCATCTTGCCAAGTCCCGCATGGGTTTCACGTGGTCCGTTTGCCCAGCGTGAGACGAGGCGAGGTGCCATCAGTGGAGCTCACGTTCACCAGACCATCATCACCTTCTGTTTTCAGGCACCTCAAACTCCGATACCGAGTGCACTGGTTGTGATGAGGGAAGCTTTTCCAAGACAGAGGGGGAACCATGCATACCTTGGACTGAGTAAGTGGCTATTTTCACACATCGGGTATAACAAGACCATGGACACAGTCCTTCAGCACACTGCCGTGGTCACTTGGGGGTCTGACACAAGCGGAAAACCATCACCGTGCTTAAGAGTACCCAAACTAAGCTGAGAATTCCAGGCATCCCACCTACACATGGAAATCCCAGAGAGATTGTTGGAATGGAATGCGCTCTCTCTCCCTGGAGGGATGCTTCCTGCTTACCTAATTCCAGAAAGTATTAGGCGCAGTTGGCGAGAGCCAAGGTTTGGGGGGAGCCCAGAGTGTGCGATGGGGGAACTGCTGGAATCTAACCGGCTAAAACCATACGGCTTTGCCATTGAGAGCACCGGCTGGCAAAGCTTTCCTGCTGCTTGTCCAGCTAGGACCACCCTACCCGTTAGGGTTTTGGCTTGCAGGGTTAACAGGAGCTGAGGTGGAGGATTCCCTGCCCCCAGTGACTGTTTCTGCCCTTTAGTTTTATAAAGACAGAGAGACGGAGAACATATATTTCTCTGAGGGCTTATTGGCCAGGACACCGGGAGAGAGAATTGGTCTTCTCCTTCTGAACAGTGTTGCAGGATCTTTAGCATCTCATCTGAAGGATGGCACCTCCGACAATACAGTGCTCCCCCCTCCCACAATCTTTTGACTTGGAGGCGAGAGAGACTGGGCCGGGCTGACATCTAAATCCTTCAGCGCTCACTTTGCCCCAAAAGGGTACTGTGTGAGTAACCAAATGTGGCCGACTAAAAGGTCACCAGGGATCAGACCCGCGATGGAAACAACAGGTCACACGTCAGAGCCAATGTTCAGCCCTGTCTGAGTGTACCCTCCCCCTCTCCCCAACATGAACCCCCCTCATTGCTCAGTCTTGGCAATTTCCCCCCCACCTCTCGGCGACCACCACAACAGGAGCCATTAGCTCCCACCCACAGAGAGCAGCGATGGTTGGTGTCTCTCTCTCTCTGTCTTTCTGACACACACTCAGACTATGGCTCACTTGCTTACTGTAACTGTACAGACTGAGGCGGGCGGAGGCAAACATGAAACGGTCCCGTGCCTTTCACACACACATTGGAGAAACTGCAAACCACTCAAACCACATTAGATAAGACGCCTCCTCTCAGATGAATCAATCGTCCCTTTAGATTTTCCGAAGTCGCCGATGACGTGTTTAATGTCTATAAAAAGGTGAATGAGCTTTGGTGCAAACTGTGTGTGTTGGCGGTGGAGGGGGGGTTGGGGGGGGGAGAAGAGGGGAGAGGGGAGGAAGCAGTGATATTATTACCATAAAAGAGCAACATGAACAGCGAGGACTGTAACTGGCAATATTCTCGGCCTCTGTCGCACTCATTCGGAAAGTTAATGTCACAATAACAAAGCCATTCAGACCAGCGCATCCTGTCTGTACTGGTGCTCGCTCCCTCCACTGGAGCTCTCTACTCCAATCCCCTTCCCTGCTCTCTTTCTCTACCCCCCAATCGTAGCTGTGTACCAACCTCCAAGCTCAGAAAGATCCTTCCTCCCCTCGGGAGCTCTCCAGCTCTCGCATTAATCTCTTTTTCTGCTCTGGTTCCAGCTGCTCAACCAAAGGAATGTTTGTGACCAGAAACGGCTCCAGCACTCAGGACAGGGAGTGCAGTCCAACTCCTCCCAGGAGCATCCAGGCCAGAACATACACCGCAAGCACAAGCACAAGCTCCACAACACCGCAACACAGCCCACAGTTCAAAGGTACAGCCTCCCCCTCTGCACCTTACACTCCATCTTGCTACTCACATTACATCTTCACCCCCCACCACTGGAGCTCTCTACTCTAATGCCATCCCCCCGGCAACCAATTGCTGACAGCAGTGTCCGCAAACAGTTGTGGATTGAGTGGATCATTGGGGGGTGAGGGAGGGATTATTACCTCTGGAAAACGATCCATCAATCGACTAACAACCAGGTTCCTACTTACTGCTGGGTAAGCAGAGACCTGTAAGGAAACTTGCCCAACGTTTCACCCTGCCCATGAATCGAACCCGGGTCCTCTCGCTTGCGAGGCGAGCGTGCTAACCAGTACCCTACGGGACTCCATTCTTGAGGTCATGTTGATTCACAGGATCTGTTCCATCTCAGTCCCCTCACAGCCCTGACCAGTAGACCGACCGACCGACCATGTTCCATCCAGCCCTTCCCAGCTTCAAACCCTCTCTCTCTCTCCTCCGTACAGTGTATCCGGAAAAGGATGCAAATGTTCTAGGAATCCTGGCGGCGTTCCTGGTGCCGTGCCTGTTCATCCCGTTCACCATGTTCGCTGTGATTTTGACCAGGAAACGGCACAAAAGGATGCCCAAAAAAGGTGAGGGAGGACCAGTTGGCACCAGTCAGCATGTGTGTGTGTGTGCATTTGCGTGTGTCTGTGCGCGCATGTGTTTGTGTGTGTGTGTCTGTGTAAGTGCATGCGTGTATGTGAGTGTGTGTACGTGTGAGTTAGTGTGTGCACGCGAGTGTGTGCGCGCAAGTGTGGGTGGTGCTATTGTTTCCCCAGCGCAAGGTTGACTTAGAACCCTAACCCATGTTTCCTATTGACAGATGATACCCCTGTGGCCCAGACAGAGGATGATGCCTGTAGCTGTCACTATCCTGTGAAAGAGCTGGGAGACGATAGCACAGACTCTTCTCAGGACAGTTTGCTCACAGTATGACCAAACCCAGATCATCCTGGACCATCCTATCACAGTGCAACCAATCCTAGACCAGACGTCGCTGGGAACACGCAGCAGGTTAGGCAGCATCTATGGAGAGAGGAAAGTGAGTTAACGTTTCAGAACTGATGGAAGGTCATCGAAACCTGAAACATTAACTCACTTGACTCGCTCCATAGATGCTGCCTGACCTGCTGTGTGTGTAAGCCAGTGGTGTTCCCAGCGACTTGTTTTTAAATTCAGATTTCCAGCTTCTGCAGAGTTTTACCTTTCGTACACCTATCAGCCAGTCAGTGTGAGTGTGAGTGACTGAGCCACACTCACTTGTTTGTGTAACAGTAGAATAAACAGGTTTAAGTGATGTTTTTCACTGAGAAGCGTGTGACTCACTGTCACGATCCATTGTTACAACAAAAAACCTCCACATTATAGTAGCGCAAACCCAGACTGTCTCCAATATAATGATATAATAATAGTACTTGCATTTGATTCAGCACCTTATCACGTCTCCGGACGTCTCAAAGTGCTTCACGGAACATACTGTAAAGTGAATTGACTTTATATTTTGTGGGCGAAACGCGGCAGCCAATTGCGTACAGCAGTATCCACAGCGCGAATTGAGAGGGTGGGGGGGGTCTTTGTATGGGGTTATTAGAAACATTTGGAGCTGCCAATCCTGCTCCTGTCGACTTGCTGATCACTCCAGACCGGACACAGGCGTTAGTTGTTATTTTACACAGATATAAGGCTGATTTGTCTTATTTTGTTCTGTATATTTTGTTATCTTGGTTTAAATTATTATTTTAGATTCACACGTCCTCATGGACAACTAGTTGTTCTGCCTGTTTTATTTGACGTCTGTTTATATATAGATAGCCCTTTTATGAAATAAAAATTTATTCTTCTAAACCTGCGGCTGTGTTATTCTGTGGGGGGAGGAAGGGGAGGAGGAAACCATAACAAGCCCAAAGTAATAGTGATAATAATCCTTGATTTCAATGTATCACTCTATCAGGTCGTTGAGTCGTCTCAAAGCGCTTCACAGGACATCCTCTAAAATGGTATGACTGTGTACTTTACCTGCGAAACGCAGCAGTCAATCGCACACAGCAGTGTCCTACAAACAGCCACGGAGTGAGTGAGTAAGCAAGTGAGTGAGTTTTATTTGGGGGATAAAGTTGTACCAGCAATTAAACCCGAATCCACACACAGCGCAAGAGACAAGACCGATTACTGTGAACCCCACTCCCAGCTCAGTGTCTCAAAGAGCTTGGCAGGATTTCACTGTGAAGTGTAGTGACTGTATTTCGTAGTCAATTGTAGCTCAAGATCGTTCAACATGAGATAACTTGACTATGTTGGGTGATGGTGGTGGGGGGGTGGGGAGGGAGGGTTGCAGCTTTTGCACAGTGAAACCTAAGTAGCAAAAATTATTTGGGGTTGTTCATGCGCTATTTCTTAAGAGATTTCTTAATTAAGAAACCACGAGCAGTGGTGGGCACAAGTCATTCCCACAAGATGGGACTTCTCCGTTGAGAAATCCCGTTGAGAAATCTGACAATCTCGGGCACTTTGTGAGCTCATTGTTTAGGAAGTCAGTGACCAGTCACCCCAAGAAGCTGCTGTTCTTCCCCCAAACCTCCCCCACCCATACACTACACACACACACAGAGCCAGTGTGGGAGGAGGGAGGGGGAGGGGTGAGGGGGAACGAGAGCTCAGTAACTAGCCTGTGGGAGGTTACTACTAGCAAAGGCTTCACCCCACTCACCCCCCCTCTCCACAGTCACAGGTCACTTCCCACCCACTCAGCTGGGAAGATTAGTCAGAATGGGGAGGAAGGAGGTACGACATGAGTCATGAGTTGCTGTGACTGATGACCTTAGTTGGGGGCGGGGGGGGGGGGGAGAGGGGGGGCACAGGCTGTTGTCGGGTGGGGGGAGAACTGTGACTGATGCCCCCAGTGACCAGAGCTGGTCGTGCTCCACACGCCAGTGGCTGGCACCACGTGGTCCCGTCTGTCATATGCCTATTCTCTTCCCCCCCCAACTCCACTGTGGTGTGTATGAGTGAGCGAGAGTGAGTGAGTGTGTGTGGTGGGGGGAGGGGAGGAGTCTTGAAGATTGGGGGCTTTGGGTTTTATCAAAGATAGTATTTGTACTATTTGGACAAAATATAAACTTTTAAAAAAAAAACTGAAGAAGAAAAAAAAGTTACTCTGGTCATCAGGGACCGGTAATGTAACAAGTGGTGAAAGGAAGAATGGTCACCGTGTTGTGTTGCTCCTCCTCCTCCTCCCCCTCCCAACCCAACCCCCTTCACCCCAACCCCCAACCCCCAACCCAGGGAGTAACAACCATCTCCAGTCACTCCAGAGAATAAACATGGCGGCAATGGCAGGTCTCTATCGCCCCCGTGTGGCCAATTCAAGAGCAGCACCATAGCGAGACCAGAGCGATCAGGGCCCGGCTGTTGAGGAATTTGTGGTGGACGGAAAAGGAAGGACGTTAAGTACTGTGAGAGGGGAGGAGGGGGGAACAATGTGGGGGAGAACAATGTTAGTGGGGAGGGAGCCGGCCGGGATAAGGCATTGGGTGATAATCATCACATGAACCCCAAAAAAGTGACAGAGTGGGTGAGACACAAGCAAAGCTGACAACCAACCCGTTTACCCCCGCGTTCACCCCCCCCCGCCGCTAACCCCCCCACCCACACACACACACCCCCTCCGCACGCTCACTGCTGTTTGCAGCTCTCCTTCTTGTCCTTGGATTTTTGCCGCGGGAGCTTCTCCTGGGGACGGCGGGTGGGGGGGATGAACTCAGGCTCGGAATTGTCGTCCATGTAGTCATAGAGACCACCGGGGGGCACCGGGCAGGACCCGCACATCTCTGTAAGAAGGGGAGGGAGGTGGCGGGGGGGGGGGGGGGGGGAAGTCTGTGAGCAACACACTGACACCACACTGAACACCCCCACCCCCAAAACAGCTCCAGCCAGCAATCTCCAGGGCTTATATCACAACAATAATAATAATAATTCTTGGGTTTGATTATAGCATGCCTTATTGCGTCGTAAAGTGAATTGACTGTATTTTGTGGGTGAAATGCAGCAGCCAATTGCACACAGCAGTGTCCCACAAACAGTCGTGGATTGGGGGTTAAAGTGTAGAGAATAACAGCCCCCTGCCCCTCCCTCCATCCTCTCCCCCCACCCCCTCGGAGCAAGCGCTGTTACCTGGTGTGAGAGGAGAGTGTGGCTCAGGCTGGGAGACGTCTGTGTTTTGGGTTTTGAAGGTGGGATCCAGGGCCTCGGCGATGTTCCTGGGGAAAAGCTGCCTGCAAAATGGGAACAGATTCCAAAGTTCAGGATGGCTGCAGATCGGCACTGTTCACTATGGAACCATCTAGGAACAGGAGGAGGCCATTCAGCCCCTCGAGCCTGTTCCACCATCCTATTAGATCATGGCTGATCTGTACCTCAAGTCCAATGATCCACCGTTGCCCCCAATCCCTTGATACCCATGACCTAACAAACATCTATGCACCTCGGTCTGGAAAATTTGAATGGATCCAACCCATAATCCACAGCCTTTTGGGGGAGGGGGAGAGTTCCAGATCCGCTGGACCCACCTGGCTTTCCGCACGTGCTCCATGGACGTGTCCTCTCTTGGGCGTGTCCACTCACCACTCGCCATCCCTACGGATCTCAGCCTCTCCCCCCGGCCCCCTGCCCTGCTGCTCTGCAAAGGAAAACACAACCTTCGATGTTCAAACCCTCCTCGTCTCCTAACGTCCAGTACAATATATAGTTTGGGTCACGACACATGCATAAGACTGTCAGGATTTTTTTTTATCTGGGGGTCGGCCAGACACATGCGGAAACCCATCACCGTGCTTAAGAGTATCCCACCTAGACACGGAAATCCCAGAGATAGATTGTGGCATCCTTGCTTACCTAATTCTGGAAAGTCTTAAGCGCAGGTTGGCAAGAACCAAGGCTTGGGGGGGAACCCAGAGCATGCGTTGGGGTAACTGCTCGAGTCTAACCAGCTGAAACCACAGAGCTTGCCATTGATATCACTGTCCGGCAAGCTTTCACTCTGCTACGATGGTGGAAGGTGGACTGGATGGACTTTGGTCTTCTCTTGTCTAGCAATTCTTATGTACAGCCTCTCCCAGCCACCCCTCCCACAGCCTCTCCCCCCACACCGGCCTTCCCTCAGCCCCCACCTCTCCCCTCCCCCCCACCCTGGCCTCTCACCCGTTTCTCCCGGACTCCGTCGCGATGGCAGGTCCTCTCGTAGTCGGTGCCGGCCTCCTCCGCCTGTTTCTGAGCTTTCAGCTCCTGACGCTGGATAAAGCGAGCAATCTCCTGCAGCAGAGGCCAGCCATCGGTCACCACAGTCACGACAACATCCCCCCACCCCACCCCACCCTACACACTCGTCCTGTCCAGCCACACGTTACCTCGTCCTGGGCCACTTGTGCCACTCGGAAATCTTCTTCCCGGCTCTTCTGACTCTGTGATTGCTGTAAAAGGCAATTAGTTACACAGTTACAACCATAATAATAATAATATTCCTTGCATTTGATGCGGCCCCTTATCACGTCGTTGAGACGTCTCAAAGCGCTTCGCAGAATATAATATAAAGTGGAGTGACCGTGCATTTTGTAGGCGAAACGTGGATGTGGGTTGGGAATGAGAGGCGGAAATTACATGCCCCACAGCGAACAATCCCACCGCGCCCGTCGATCAGTCATGCTCTCGTCCTGGGGGGGTGGGGGGGGGTGGGGGCGGAAGGTTTTGCGGACGGACCATTTGTTCGAGCCGTGTCTCCTCCTCCTGCTGTAAGTGCCTGGCCAGCTCCTCGTCCCCCCGCAGCCCCTCCGTCTCCGGCAGCTGCTCCCCGTGCTGAGGGTCCCGGATCCCGAGTCTGGCTGTGCCCCTCTCCAGAGACCACGCCCCGATCCCTGCCCACCAGAGAAACAGGTCATCGGTCACTGTAGCCCAAACACACTGAGCAAGTCCACCTCCCATACACCCCCACACTGACTTGCCCCGCCCCTGCTTGCCCCGCCCCCATCTCTGCCACCTACCTCGCCCCCTTCTCACTTGCCCCGCTCCCCCGCTCACCTTCCCAGTCCCCGCGCCCCCCCCACCCACCCCCTCCCGGCTTGCCCCACCCCATCTCCTGCATACCCCGCCCCACCGCTCACCTGCCCCGCCCCCGAGCTCACTGTGAACCTCCTCGGCGGGCGGGGGCAGGGCATCCTCCTGCCCCTCCTCCTCCCGCCTCCGCAGCTCCTCCTCTTCCTGGAGTCTGCGGGCTATTTCCTGCAATTGCGAGGCGTGAAATTAGTCACTCGTTACCGAGACGGACAGACAGAGGAGAGTTGGCGGAGAGTTACAGTGCAACTTCCCCCCCTCCCCCCACCCCCTTAGTGTTTTGGTGGGACACGAGCCTCCGCTCGGTAGCCGTGCCGGGAAGCTGCCCGAGCGAGACAGGGCAGCTCGTCGCTCTCTGCGCGGTTGCCCACAGGAGGGCGCCAACGCTCCACAGCCTTCGCCGGTCACACTCCAGCAACGCAGAGCACACAATCAGAATCCCGGAGGTCCGAAGCCGCCCCCGACCGCGGCGCCGAGACGTCGCGCAGCCCTTCGCAGAATATGCCGTAAAGGGGGTTGACACGTGCACCTCGCGGGCGAAACGCGGCAGCTGGTGCGCGCGGCAGTGTCCCACAGACGGCCGTGGAGCGAGTGACCAATTTTATTTGGGGGGGTGGGGTGGGGGATTTGTTGGGATTTGTTGGGCATTTGTTGTTCCTGCCCCCAGCGAGGAGGGTTAGTGCGATGGTACAGTGGTGAGCAGATGTGCAGTCTGTGCAGATGTGCAGTCTGTGCAGTCTGTGCAGTCGTGCAGGCGGAACTGCGATGTTTGAGCTCGCGGCCAAGCTTGGCGCACCCTGTCAGCGCGAACACAGCGCTGTTTGTCTGTTCAGGTGGACGTTGTGACACTACTCATTCAAATGGAATTTTTCCCAATCGGAAAGAGAAGGGAGTTTCTCTCCGGTGTCCTGGCCAACGATGAAATCAAATTCGTCACTTGATCCACCACTCTTTGTGGGATACTCTGCTGTGCCCAACTGGCTGCCTTGTTTTGCCCACAAAATATAGAGTGAATCCGCTTGACAAGTGTATCTTGTGAAGCGCTTTGAGACGTCTAAATCAGTCGTCTCACATGTCTTTGTTTTGGAACGGAATATTAACTGTGTTTAGTGAGTTGCGGTAGGGCAGGCTGGACTGAGCCCCGGGCTGTGCGGTAATATTAGACCAGAGACGGAGAGTTTGGGAGTGGCAGGACGAAAGTGGGAGGAAAAAAAATTAATTAACTCCTTTGTAAAGTGCGCGACTTTCCCGTGTCTGTGTCACCAGCTGCCTGGGCTCAAACCACCAAACGGCACCCACTTGCTGGGGAGCGAGGCTTAATCCAGCTCAGGCTGATGGGATAAATTTTCCCCCTTCGTTTTTCTCTCTCTCTCTCTCTCTCTCTGTGTCTGTCTCTCTCTCTCCCTTACCCCTCCCTCCCCCATCGTTCCCTTAGCCCCCTCGCCCCCATACCCTTTGGTCTGAGCTGCTGTGAATCCACAGAGGAAACCAACAACCACAACTTGCATTTATATAGCGCCCTCCATGCAGGGTAGAGCCCCAGAGCATTCTGAGCTCTGGGGTGTGCGTGATCAGAGCGGGTTGGATAGGGGGGTCAGTCTCCCCCCAACCAGTACCTTGTGCCACTAACCATCTCCCCTACTGATTCCATAGACCCCTCACACTCAGCCTCAACCTGCAGCTCATTAAAGCCACTGTCTGCGTGTGTGTTTTTTTTCCCCTAATATTAATTATCAGAACAGTTTGCTGTTTTTTTAACTCAGTCTCAGGCTGTTTTGCACATTTTCTGTAATCAGAGGCACGTTTACCAGCTGGGAGGGTACGTACTTCAAAGTGAGAAGGTTACAGCCATCGCCCTTCGATGGTATGTGAGAGAAAGAGAGAGAGAGAGAAAAAGAAATAAAGAGAGGAATCGAGAGAGAGAAAAAGAAAAAAAATAGAAAAAGGAAAACAGGAGAGATGGAGAAGATGCTGCACTATCCAGGACTGTCTGGTCAGGGAGTTGAAACAGCCAAAGTCAGCGTAACTGTGAAACCTTGTCTCACATTGCACTGTGTGAGCGTCTCAGACCTGCCCGTCTCTGTCTTGACTGTCGAGCCATAAATCAGACTCAGCCGCACGTCTCATCTGCAGTAAAACCAGCTCGTAAAGGAGCCAAGACAATTAAATCCCTTGCCTCCCCCCCTCCACACACACGCACCTGGTGTCAGGCACCGTGAGGGCTCTGCCAGGTCTAGCCACGCATTTAACATCTGTAATTAATCCGAAGTGGGGGGGAAGGAGGTGGGAGAAACCCGTGGTCACTCAGACCTGCACAGGAACACGCGCACAGACACGCGCTCACACACATACGCCCGCAAGTGCACACGCCTGCCTGCCCCCCTGCATTGGACATGGAGCCCAGATGGTCTCAAAGGACAACATCTCTGACACTGCAGGGCTTTCTCAGTCTCTCTCTCTCCCCCTCCCCTGTCTCGCTCGCTCCGTCTTTTTCTCTCTCACACAGTGTCAAACACGTGGCTTATTATGATGATGAGAGTTTGCCTCAGTGTGAGCTGTTGGCCGGGGCTGGGAGTCTGCAGGAACCTGCCCTGGAGCGGGTGTTATATATAAACAGACTGGCGTGTTGTCTGCACTCGATGGAAACGGTGGATCAGCCCAGATTGTTCTTGGCAAAAAGATGGGTATTTTTCCGAGCAACCTTTTGCAGGCTGGCACCGTGCTTAGCTTTCGCCTTCCTCTTATCCGTTTCCCCCCCCCCACACTCAGCTCTCATATTTACTGCCAGCCACAGGAATCGGTGTGGTGGGTGGGGGTGGGAGGAGAAGGTAGGGGGTGGGAAGGCACTTCACCTCACTTGCTGGGAGACATCCCAGGGCTCAGACCGGCCCTCAACCAAACCCAACTCGACACAGTGATATTTCTCCACATCTGCTAGTCACTGTGGGGGGGAGCTCATTAGAGAAATGGTTGATCTGGTTTTAATGAGACGTTTCAGACAGAGTTGGCAGAGATGAGAGAGGGTGGTGAGGAGAGAGAGAGAGAGAGACACACCCCCCCCACCAACACCCTCCACAGCCCTACCTTGTCCTCCTCCTCCCGCCGATGCCGCTCAGTTGCTCGGCTGTGAATCTCCTCCTGCACGGCCCGGGCATACTGAGAGTCCTGCTCCTCCCTGCGCACACACACAACACCATCCCGCCTCAGTACACAGCGTCAGTCTCCCCACCCACCCCACCCCCATTGTCCCCCCACCATCACCCCCTCAAACAAGCACATGCCCCATTTACCCCCTCAAACACAACCCCAAGCCTCCCCCCCCAGCACACCATCAAACCAACTCAGAAACAGCATCAAACGCCCCCCTACCAGCTTCCCCCCCCACTCCCCGGCACAGCCCAACCACCACCCCCAACGCAGTGTCAAACCCCACCACTCCCCCAGACACAGCGTCAAAAACAAATAGCATTTACACAGCGGCATTCAGATGGGGCAGCGTACGGGAGCCAGGTGGGGGTTTGCGTGTGTGTGGAAGGGAGGGGGTGGCCATAAGCAAGGTCGAAAAGGAAGGTCTTTCAAGTCGCAGGGAGGGGAGCATAGGGGGGGGTGGGGGCGCTTAACAACCCACCCTACTCACACGCACACCCCCCGGGGAGTGGGACCTGCCTGCTCTGCTCCTCGCGGCTGTGACTCCGTGCCTGGCGCTCCTCCTGGTCCTGTAGGATCTTGGCCACTCGCACGTCCTGCCGCACCAGCTGGCTCTTCTGGACGTTGGAGGCGTAATGTTGTTCAACTGCAACAGCAACACGGCACCGACAGTCACTGCCCGAGTTCGTACGTGGGGACCCGCGTTTACTGGCTGGGTGCGTGCATACTGCTAGGTATGCAGAGGCGTGTGGAGTAAGGAAACTTACCTAAGAATTTGCGCTGCCCGGGAATCGCACCCGGATCCTCTTGCATGCGAGGTAAGTGCTCTAACCGCTACGCTACGTGACAGAGCGCTTACGGTCTGCGTCACACAGGCCCCCAAAGTGGCTGAGACCAGAGTGGTGGGGGGGTGGGGTGGGGGGTTTAGGTGGGTCCTCACTTACTCTCCTGCTCCTGGAGACTGTGGGCCAGGGCTCCATCCTCCAGCAACGCGAATCCCCGGCACACTGTACACACACGAGAGAGAGAGAGAGAAGACACGTTCAGGGGTCAGACCACATAACACCCAGAGCATCACCAAGCCAATTTATCCTTCTGCTTCCCCCCACCCACCCCAAAGAAGACTCTGACTTAACCAAAGGGAGGGGGAGGCAGATGGCAAGCAATAAATAACAACAACTTGCATTTATATAGCGCCTCTCATGCATGGGAGCCTCCCAGAGCGCTTGAGGTACAGATCAGCCATGATTTTATAGAATGTCGGAACAGGTCTCGAGGGGCTGAATGGCCTCCTCCTGTTTCCACGGAATGCCTAGTGTGGAGGGCAGGGGGGTGGGGGGATTTTGTTGTGTCAAAAACGTTGTGGAGCCATGAAAGTAATCCCTGGGGTGGAGCACGGCTCAGCTCCATCCTCCACTGCGGTGATGGACACTTCTAAATAGAGGTTGTGAGGAAACCAGGAAATTTAGTCACACTCGTGCCCAGCCGACAATTTGTGGCTTGCAAGCAGACATTACACACTGCCCACATCCTAATAGAGGGGGAGGGAAAAAAATCGAGGGGGTGTGAGGGAGAGACAAGGAGAGAAGGAATGAGAGACAGAGACAAAGAGACAGAGCAGTTCCTTCACAGTTAGAGACTGACCACTGTGAGCTAGAGAGGCACAGATAGGACCTGGGTTTAATAATTCACCCAATTCAGTGCTCCCCCCACTCTCTCCCCCCAGCACTGCGCTGGAGAATCAGTGGGGCTCGAACCCACAACCATCTGTCTGACTCAGAGACTTGGACTGCAGGCTGGCAGCTTGAATCGTTCAGATGGAAACTGGATAAGCAACAGAGCCGCAAAAAGATTAAGGGACACGGAAGAGAGCGCCGGGATGAGGTTTCGGGTGGGGGCTGAGGGTAACAGTGATAGGAACACAACAACAACAAATTGCATTTACGCAGTGCCCTTCGCCTCAGGAGGATGCCCCGAGCTGCGGTCTGCAGTCAAGAGAGGTGTGGGTATTTGGGACGGGGGGGCAGGTGGTGGAAGATGACCCAAGGCGCAGTCGAAGAGAAAGTTCTTGAGAATATCATGACCCCCGCACTCCCCCCACGGGGCTGAACGTTTCCTGTATCTTACCCTCCTGAACCCGCGGCAGTCGGGACTGATCGATCGCGATCTCAGCCATTGCTCTCGCGTCAAACCTCGGCGCACATGCTCCGAGCAACTCTGGAAGAAAAGGAAAATAATATGAAATAAAAATGCAGCGGGAGGAAGGTTTAAAGCGGGGATCGGGACCTGAGCCCTGCTGGGACTCCAACAAAAAAAAAATCTGAATTTAAAAACTCCTGAAAAATTTGCTGATGGGATTCAATGTCATTAATCAGTGCAATTCATTACACATTACTTGCTCTCCTTTCAGGCACCAACACACCGATTACACACACACGTAAACACACACAAACACAACAACAACAACTTGCATTTATATAGCACCCCTCAGGCAGGGTAGCCTCCCAGAGCACTTGAACACACAAACATATACACACACACAGAGAGACACAAACAAACACACAGACAGACACACAGGCACAAACATACACAGGTAGATACAAACACATACACGCATATATATATATGCATACACACATACACAGATACAAATACACACACACACACACACAGAGATACAGACACAGATACAAAGACACACACATACAGACACAGATACAGACACACACAGATACAGACACAGATACATACAGAGATACAGACAGATATGGACACACACACACACGGATACAGATACAAAGACACACACACACAGAGTTACAGACACATATACAGACACACACACACACACAGAGATACAGATACAAAGTCACACACACACAGATACAGAGACACAGATACAGAGACACACACACACAGATACAAATAGAGACACACACACACACAGATACAGATACACAGATACAGAGACACACACACACAGATACAGAGACACAGATACAGATACAGAGACACACACACACAGATACAAATAGAGACACACACACACACAGATACAGATACACAGATACAGAGACACACACACACAGATACAGAGACACAGATACAGAGACACACACACACACAGATACAGATACAGAGACACACACATACAAAGGAACAGAGACACGGGATTCAGACAATGGGAAAAGTCTGTCCCAGCCATTCACCCCCAAAACACCCAAAACTGCCCCAAAACGTTTTTAACCACTCAAAAAATAAGTTTAAAAAAAACGAGACAGAGAGAGAGACAGAGAGAATCTCACTGTGTTGGGGGAACAGCCTGAGAGAGAGAGGGGGAGAGAGAGAGAGAGAAGAGCAAAACTTTCCAAGTCAGAAAAAAGTTAGGAAAGTTAATAAGACACAAAAAACATGCAACAGCCACAACACAAACACAAACATGCATTTTTTTATATTAAAAAGCTGAACAAAGTGAAATAAATGGTCTCACTCCAGCCCCTGTCTCCCCCACTCCACAGCTTCTCACCAAAGTTTGTCGTAACTTGTGGAACAATGTGGACAAAAAAAAGTGTCCAGAACTCTCTCAGAGAGCTGCTGCCTCTATCTATCTCTCCAACTCACTTTCCCCTTAATTCTCTCCCTCTACTGCATTGGCTGTTGAGTGCCTTATTCTCTCTCAGTTTATTCCCCCCTTCTTTTCTCTCCCTTCTCTTTATTCGCTCGTTCTCTCTTTATGCTGTTTTTTTCTGTGTGTGTGTGTGTGTGTTTGGCTCCACCTCTAATTCCAACAGCTGGCTGTGTGTGTGTGTGTGTGTATGTGTGTGTGGGGGGGGGTATTTGTGTGTGTGTGTGTATGTGTGTGTGTGGGGGGGTATTTGTGTGTGTGTGTGTATGTGTGTGGGGGGTATTTGTGTGTATGTGGGGGGTGTTTGTGTGTGGGGGGTGGGTGTGTGTATGTGTGGATCGCGAGCCAAACCCTGGCACACAAAAGCCTTTTTGTCACCCACTGGCAACCATCCCGTGTGGTATGTGGGTGAGCGGCCAGGTTTACAGAGAGCTGGTCAACGAAGACATTCCTCTTCGACCACCTCCCTTTGGTCATTTCCCCCCTTCTCCCCCCCCCCCCCCCCCACACAGGCTCGGGGTCGTGCTCCTCCACTCTCAAGCGCTGTGGGGCTCTACCCTGCATGAGGGGACCTATGTAAATGCAAGTTGTTGTTGTTGAATGTCTGGCGGAAATTAAAAAATCTCTTAAAAGTACGTGTGCGCGTGCCTATGTTTGTGGGCATGTGGATAAAAACATAAGAAATTTTGCTGAGGCCGAAAGAGGACCAAGGTCCATCCAGTCAGTTGCACATCAACTAAACTATATACGGTATCCCGCCCGAGATATTGTTTCCGAACAGAAATCCATTTACTTTGTTCTTAAAAGAATCGACACTTCCTGCTTACACCGTCTCCCTAGGCAGCCTACACATGTGTGTGTGCTTGCATGTGAGCATGTGTTTGTGCTTGTATGTGTACATGTGTGCGTGTTATTAAGCGCCGTGTGGACACACATCGGCTGAGTGCAGGATCGAGGCTCACATGTGATGTCTCTTCCCTCAACCCTCTCCCCCGTCTCCACACTCGAACATGCTACTGACACACGCGCACGCGCACACACACACACACACACACACACACGTGAAGGATGGGATTTGTCGTCTCAGGGTGTGTAACGGGAGTTGCTGGGATCATGGCTCGAACCCCCTTGAGGCTGAGCAACGTGTCCAGCGGAGGAAATCAACTTCTCCCATTATAACCACTCCGCTTCATCCGGAATGTGCCGGAACACTGCCGCAAGGGAATCGCTCCTTCCTCCGTCCTTTCCCTTCCCTCCCACAGGATGCAATTTGGAGCGCTTGGAACGCTGCTAAAATAGCACAGAAATTCCCACAAGCAGAACAAATAAACTCCCGACCTCAGGCATGTTGTCTGACATGCAAAGTGAGTTAATGGGGGAGAGGGAAGGGAGGGGGGGGGGGGGGTTGGGGGTGGCGGGAAGAAACAGTAGACAAGACGATGAATAATAATAACTCTCGCATTTGATACAGTCAGAGATCATAGGAATGTAGGAACAGGCCTGGGCTATTCAGCCCCTCGAGCCTGTTCCGCCATTCTATTAAATCATGGCTGATCTGTACCTCAACTCCACCCCCCCCCCACCCCCCCACACACACAGCCTTAAAGTGAACAGGTGATCTATCTGGGGGATTGTCGGCCAGGACACCGGGAGAGAAAATTTGCCTCCTCTTTTCCCAACAGCATCGCCGAATCTTTAACTGAACGGGCGCAGACGGGAACTTGGTTTAACGTCTCGTCTGAAGGACGGCGCCTCTGACGATGCATCGCTCCACCCCCCCCCAGCACTGCGCTCCCTCTCTCCTCTCCTGATTGCATCAGATTCCCTTTTTTACTTATTATTATTTATTTTTACTGTGAAAGATTGAAAAGTTCTCGTGGTTTCTTGGGGCTGACACACTGCCGCCCGGTGGCTGTTTGCGTTCACTGCAGGCGAGACAGTGGGATTGAAGAGTGGTTGTTACCGTAACAAAAATCACAATACAAATAATAATAATAATAATAATAATAATCCTTGCATTTGATATAGCGCTTTTCACGTCAGGAGGACGTCCCAAAGCGCTTCACAGAACACACTGTAAAGTGAATTGACTGTATATTTGTGGGCGAACGCGGCAGCCAATTGCGCACAGCAATGTCCCACAAACAGTCGTGGGTTGAAAATGACCAATTTATTATTGTTTTTTGTTTTGGAGGGATTATTATTAGGCTCTGTGTGGAGTAAGGAAACTTGCCCAAGGTTTCGCCCTCTGCCGGGAATTGAACTCAGGTCTCTCACTTGCAAAGCGAGTGCTCTAACCACTGAGTTACAGGACTCCACAAATGACATTTGTAAGGAGCCTTTCACGTCAGGAGATGTCCCAGGTCGGGTCTGCGCCGGACCCTGAACAGAAAATACTAATTAGTTGTAAGAAAAAACACCAGCTGGGACGGGAATTGGGGTGGGGTGGGTGGGGGGGGTGTAACACGACTTTGTGAACACCCTGTATGTCACTGAAACCCACACACGCCCAGGCGCCTTGATTTCAAGGCAGAGCAAAAGGTCAATATTCCCTCCTTAAGTTTCAAACTCGATTTCCTCCAGCTTGGTTTATAGATTCTCTTCAGGGTATTTTATTGCCAGAGACAAAATAATAATAATAGTCCTTGCATTTGATATAGCGCTTTTCATGTCTTCTCGACGTCTCAAAGCGCTTCACAGAATAGACTGTAAAGTGAATTGACCGTATATTTGTGGGCGAAACGCGGCAGCCAATTGCGCACAGCAGCGTCCCCGCAAACAGTCGTGGATCGAATATATATCCCCAATATATATATATTATATATATAAAGAAGATCCCAAAGAAAACCTCCCCGAGCTCCTGAACCATGTTTATTGCTGCTGTAGTATAGACAGGAGTTGTGTTTAAAAGGGAGCCCACAGTAAACTGTAACCAGAGTGTCACCACGGTTTAACTCACTCCAGCAGAGAGTTTGTTCAGTGCCAGCAACAGCATGGGTTAGTGACGGAGTAAAGCTCCCTCTACACTGTCCATCCACACTCCCAAGTCAGTGACAGCACAGTGGGTATTAGGAAGTACAGGAACAATTGAGCCAAACCTCTTCTCCAAACCTATCGTGAGGAGCAGAGAAAGCCAGCAAGGGAGTGTGTGTGTGTATGGTGAGGAGAGAATGAAACACATGGCTTTTAATTCCACAATAACCATATTTCATGTCAAAACCTCTCGATCACGCCTGCGTCACAAAGGTGACATGCAGTAAATCTCCTCTTAAACTAGCGCCTGACAGAGAAAAGTCAATTTGATTTTTTTATGTATTAATTTGCTTCGAAACAACAACGTCTTGCAACTCATTTGCACTTCGAGTGTTTTGATCGTCAATAAATAGACAGCTGCTTTATCCTTTAACCTTGAACCTGTGAGTAAGGAGGTGATGGTGTGGTAGTGGAGGGGTGGGGTGGGAGTGTCAGCTATATAAAGGCAGTTATATAAAGGCATGGGCTGAGCGCTTGGGGTCTGCATGCTGCTCTCTGTCTCCCCTCGTTATGATCTTATGCTGTTGTTGGGTGCGTTGCTGTTCTGCCGCCCCGGTGTCCTCTGCCTTCCTGTATCCGACTCCCAATACAGCAGAGGAGGTAAGAGCGACAGTGCGAGGGGTGGGGTGGGGTTGGGAGAGAGAAGGGGAACAGCTTATCAAAATGCAAGGATTATTATTGCTATTAAGCAAGTGGTCCGAGACGCTATCCCACATGAAGGGCGGGATATAAATACAAGTTGTTGTTATTATATTAAAAAAAACTTGTATCTTTCTTTCCCTCCTCCCTTCCCAGCTTCTCCCCACCCCACCCGCATCCCCACCCTCATAACTCTCGTTCCAGTCTTCAGTAGAGGTGAGGAGACGCTGAGTAGGGATGGAATGCGGAGCTCTCACCACCTCCACGGCGTCCCTGCAATCCTGCTTGGGAACAGCCTTCTGGATCTGACGAGAACCGGAGAAGAAGCTAAACGTCACCACAAGAGCGGTAGGTTTCATAGACTCCCCCCCCCCCAACCCCATACTTTGTTCTATTATTTGAGGGTGAAGTTGGGTCAATTATTGATGTGAATGAACCTGGTTTATGTGAAGACTGCCACCTACTGGCCACCCACGGGCATTGTGCTTATACCTTAACAAGAAGAATCTTTACCCCACTTTTGTTACAATGGAATATTATTGGAATATTATTGTATTATTTGCACCTCAGACTCAATCCTTCATCTCCTGTGATAATAATATAATAATCCTTGCATTGGTACCCTGTTTTTCGAGACGTCTCAAAGCACTTCACAGAATACATTGTAAAGTGGATTGACTGTGTACTTTGTGGGAGACGATTTAATGATTATTTAATTATTTTTGGAGGGATTATTACCGCCGGAACACCACTTATTGCAGAGGTAAACAGAGACGTGTGGAGTAAGGAATAATGCCTAAGGTTTCCCAATTCCCGGTTGGAAATTGAATCCAGGTCCTCTCGCTTGCGAGGCGAGTGCTCTAACCTACGTTGTAGGAATCCACAGATGTCTGTGGTCAAAGGGCTGTTGTCTCCTCCGGCTTCCAGACTCTCACTGAGTTTGGTTCTCTGATTTTCTCTGCTTTCAGCAGGTGTGAAGTGGAAGAGTTTCTCCCCGACTGGAAATCTCATTGAGGTGAATGTACACAACAACAACAACAAGATTACATTTATATAGCGCCTTTCACATCGGGAGGATGTCCCAAGGCGCTAATTATATTTCTAATAATAATATAATTATAATACACAGGTCAAATCCACACCCCACCACCCCGACACTCCGAGACCTCTCTTCAGATCTAAATTTACACCCTCACCCCACCACAAAAAAGCCCCCACTCAAATTTATTTGACTCATTGTTTGTAAGATGTGTGGCTGTTAACCCTGCAAACCAAAGCCCTAACAAGTCCACAAGCAGCAGGAAGCTTCCTGGACATTGCTCTCAAAACAAACCGAGCGGTTTTAGCTGATTAAGCTCCAGCAAGTGCCCCTTCACACACTCTGAGATTCCCTCAAGCTTTGGCTTTTGCCAACCTGTGCCCAGTTCTCTCTGAAATTAGATAAGCAGGGTGTGCCCTTTCCAGACCTGGGGAAATTTGTGAAGATGTGATTCAGGTGAATATAAAAGGATCCCAGCCCCTACTACCCCCAGCCTCCGCTCCCCCCTCCTGCCACTACCCCCCCACCACACACACACTCACTCACTCACTCAAGCTGCTGTTGTTATTGTCGTTTGCTCTTATACCGAGCGGAGAAGATGCATTGAACAGCAGTTGACACTGATGTGATTTCCCTCTCTCTCTCTACAGATCCTGGACGGGAGGAGATCTCAGTGGTCCGAGGTCAGCTTCCCGATGGGATTGGAGGAGAGACAATATAGAAAATGCAACAATTTCTCTGAGTGTTTCTGGAAATACTGCGTTTGAGGAGCACCTGGTGCTCCTGCGCGCCCACCTCCCCCCCTCCACCCAGGGAGCGGTTACTATTTTGTGCCCTGTTGGAAGATACAGTATATGTGTTCCTGAACTGAGTAAAGGCAGCAGCATTAAAGAATAATGGCAAAGTGTTTGCTAATTTTTCTGTTTCAATCTTACCAATAAAATCCCTGTATGTTTTGCAAAACACTTTTGGTGGTTTATGTTCAAACGGAAAATTATTTCTACTCGTGCCCCTGTCAGGCCTTTCCCTTCTCCTCTCCCCATGGAATCTATTCCCCTCTCTTCCCTCCTTTCCCCCCACCTGACCCTGATGAAATTTGGTCCCTCAATCCACGACTGTTTGTGGGACACTGCTGTGTGCAATCCTCCCGAAGTGAAAGGCGCTCTATAAATGCAATCGTGTTGTTGTTGTTGTCTGCCACATTTCATCCACAAAATATAGAGTCACTCCATTTTACAGTATATTCTGTGAAGATGTCTCAACAAAATGATGAGGCACAATATCAAATGTAAGGACTATCATTATCATCACACGGATGGTATCTGTTCCAATAGCGCCACGGGATCATTAATGTTCACCGGAGTAGGTCATTCCATCTCCGGATAATCCTCTGTTTGTAATAATAAGCATTCCCCCTGACTACCCCCCGCTCTCCCTTTTGTTGATGATCTTAAGTTTATGCCCTCCAGCCACAGGCATCACCAGTGAAACAAGGCACGAGAGATGCTTTGAAAGAGACCTTTATTCCTCCAGCACCACAGCTCCTTTGAAGGGAACAGTCAAGTCCACAATCTCCCCCAAATAAAAACAATTATGCTTTTTTTAATGAAGCCACTGAAATCACCTTCATGCTGTGACTTTGAACAGGTGAACAGGTGAACAGTATGTGTAGAGGAGGGGAGAAGAGAGGGGGTATCCAACATGGAGACAGTCACCGTGGCAACCAATCTTGCCCGGTTGGCACAGAAACCGATGCAGAACACAAAGTCACGTCCCATACTCATGCGCACTCACCCCTCCCCCACCCTCCGCCAACCCTTCCCCCCAATATTTATTATCTTGCAAACACATAAACGCAGTTCCTTTCAGGCCTCTCTCTCTTGCAGTAAATAACACAACAAAACCCTGCACGCAGACAGAGAGAATGCAACAACAGACAACACACAACTGCTGGTGCACACCGACCGGGCTGTCTCCTCCTCATCCCCCAACCCCCATCCCATCCCCATCCCCCAGCTACTTGCCCGAGCGAGTTCCAGTCACAGAGAAATCTTCACAACACATCTTCGTTTCTCTTACGTCTCAAGGAGGGTCACCCCGGGCGGCACTTGGCATTAGGCGAGGCGTTGGGAGGAGAGCCGGGAACTCCCTATTCTGTCCAGAGGCGCGGAAAACCGCGGCTTGGGAATCTGCGGGAAGCTTCTGCAGAAACAAATTTGGGAAGAACATTCATCGGAATTGTAATAAGAGGCTATTTTTTCTCTGGGAGCTTTCCCACCAATTCTTTCCCCTCCACCCGTCTCTTCAACCCATCTGATCTCATCCTTCTAGCACACCCACCCTAAGCTATTCTTTAAATGAGTCCCAGTGTCCGGGTCTCAACCACCCTTCCCAGCAACGTTGATTATCCAGTTGTTGATTTGTCACTGGATAAAGAAAAACTTCCTACTGCTTGAACTGAAATTGTCCCTTTGCAACTCTAAACCTGCATCCTCTTGTTCTGCTGTACTGGCTCCATTCTAAATTACGGTTCTGGTTTACTTTATGAATGCCATGTAAAATGTTACACACTGCCCATGTGAAAGGTCCTGTTGAGGGTAAGTTCTCAGAAAGAGTGTAGGGTGGGAAAGGGTTAAGCACGGCAAAGTCACAGTTACCTCTGTTTGTTTCTGGCTTGCCACACAGACAGGTTGTCAAGAGGCAGACCAAAGTTGGGGAAACTCCTCTTCTGCTCCATTCCGATCTTCAATCCGTCTTCCATCGAGGAGTCCAATTCTTCCACGAAACCCAAGCTGTCTGACTCGACCCTTCCTGCAGGAGATATCCCACCCAGGACCTCCTCAGCAACCACTAACTCCACCAGCTGCAGAACAAGAGAATAATACTAATCCCTGTATTTAATACAGCATCAGGCCTGTTCCATGTCCCCTGCTCTGCCCACCCACCATCAGAAACATTCTGCATTCATCCTTTCTTCCCCCACCCATTGGAATTCCATCCCAGTCTCTTTGCCTCTCTCTTGCCTCCTTCAAAGCCCACCTCGAGACCTTTGTCTTCGACCGTGTCTTTATTCCCCCTCTTACCCCTACCCTCCCCGTTCTCCATCCTTCGTGATCCCAACCCCTAGCTCGAAAGCAAATCCTTCATGTCCAGCGCCTTGGGACATTCTTCCAACGTGAGTGTAACATAATTTGTTGTTGTTGTTATAACATCAAGAACTTAAACCGGCTTCACTGGGTTTGTGTAAAGTGTAATGACTGTGTGTTTTGTGGGCGAATGCACGTGGCTGGCGATTAGTGAAAGGCATTGCTCCACATCTGAATTTAAATTGGAACATGGAAGTATAAAAAAGGAAACAGAAGGAAATGAAGGAGGGAAGGAATAGGTACACGTGTGGAAATATGGAACACAGAAAGGCAGAAATCTTGCCGTGACTTACCTGTTTAAGTGCATCCAGGGGGACTGCTTTTGGGGAGCCCTGCGGAAGGAATAGAGCAGCCAGTACAGGCACGACCCAGCACTTTAGACACATTGCTGCAAAACTAAAGAGAGGCGACTGCAATCAGACTCAAACACTGACAGAATGCACTGAGACATCGGAAGAAAGGAAAGAAGGAAATAAATTTTATCTCACCTGGATCGGGGTAGTGAGGGAGTGTCTGGGTGTTGCTGGCAGGTGAGTTCGCTCTCTCCCGCTTTCTGTGCTCTGTCTCCAGTTCTCTCTCATGCAGCATGTTGTGTGCGCGCGTTATATATACTCCTTGGAAGCAGCTCTCTCTCCCCACAGTTTACGTCTTTTCCTGATGCTGTGACATCTCGGGTGGGGGAGTCGATGGGGAGGTCTGCATAATTAACACGCAATTAAATTGCAAGGCCTTGACTCTGCCAGGTGAGTCACGGAGCCTGGTTTAATAAACGATGCGGCAGCAAATTAAAACGTCCATTGCCATCTTTATGAATAATTTCCTGCAGAAACAGTCATTAATTTAAACGCTGGGATCACGCTAGCAGATGAGGAGAAGAGGCGTTTTTTCCGAGCGGTTGCTCACATCCCCTTGCTTTCCCACTCACCCCCAAATGTGTCCCCTACTCTCCAGATTCGTGTTGCAACTTCAAGTCTCTGACATTTTAGACACCCACAGGCATTTCCCCCCCTCCACCATCTGGGGATTCTTCCCCCCCACCAACCCTCCACATTCTTCATGCAAAGGGCCTAGACAGTGAGTGTTCAACGAATGCAGAAAGCATCACAGATCCTAATTCCAAGCTCACCAGAGTCCCCACAATTCTTCGGTGGAGATGTTAAACTGAGGCCTTTGAGATATCGTGACATCATATTGCAATGATTATTAGCACTTCTCGGAAGGGAAGTGGATAATTATCTTCTTCGTCTGTTTGTTGACCCACTGTCAACGGGTTGAGAGCTCTGGATACTAAATGAAGGAAATGGAAAAAGGCAACCAATTATTTTAAAGGTTAATTTTGCCCCAGTTATTACTGAAGATCAAGGTGATCAACCATTTATAATTGCTGTTTGTCAGTGACCACCCAAGCAAGACCCCCGCTCTTTAATTCATTGTAAATAGAGCACTCACCCACGCTGCACAGATTTTCCTAGGAGAGATGGGAGCTCATCCCAAATTGGGTTATGAAGAATGTGAGATCGATTCCCATATTGGGGGGGCTTTGAGCTTGCAGTCCAGGCTGACGGTCCAGTGCAGTGCCGGATGAGAAGTTAAACTATTTGCTCGTTCTGGGGATGTTGAAGATGCGTGTTTTCAGAGCGTTGTTTATTTATGCCTTGAGGTGAATGACCATGTCATGCTGCATGGCGCCATGTGCAATGTCTCTTTTAAAACAGCAGCTGCCACAGACCTGCTGCCTCGACACTGCAGAAACAAGACGAACAACTTGCAATTTATGCAGCTCTTTTCGCATAGGAATCACATTTCTATGCGCTTTACTGAGAATGGATTGGAAAACCCATTGAGAGGGTTAGAATAGTGTGACATCCCCTATTCCCAAGTACAATCCCCGCATGAGGTATTGTGTCCCTCGTCAAAGTTTCCCTGTCTTGCTTTCCAGCAACCAACTGAGCAAGGACAATACAATTCTAAATCAGATACATTCATCAAATAAGCATAGCCATTAATCAAACGCCTAATAATCGTTCCTCCAAAAAAAAACAATAATAAATTGGTCATTTTCAATCTACGACTGTTTGTGGGACATTGCTGTGCGCAATTGGCTGCCGCGTTCGCCCACAAATATACAGTCAATTCTCTTTACAGTGTGTTCTGTGAAGCGCTTTGGGACGTCCGCCGGACGTGAAAAGCACTATATCAAATGCAAGGATTATTATTATTATTATTAAACAAGCTTCTCCAGTCACTGCCCGTATCCGGAATTTGGGGATTTCAATTTTTTTAAAAATTTGAATTAATCCAGCATCCACAGCCTTTTGGGGGGGAAAGGGAGAGTTCCAGATTTCCACTGCCCTTCGCGTGAAAAAGAGGGGGCTGAGAAAGGCCCAGCGGAAGAGGTAGTTATATACAACAAATTACGCTTGTGTAGAGCCCTTCACGTCGGAAAGATGTCCCGGGGCGCTGGAGAGTCATGGGATTTTGGACCTGAGCTGGGTGTTGGGGTCAGGCGGGACGAAGTCAGGGCGGGTAGGGGTGGGGAGGGTGACCGAAGGCATGGTCAAAGAGGAAGGTCTTCAGACAAGACTTGAAGAGGGCAAGAGAGGGGGTGAGGCGGAGGGATAGAGTTCCAGAGCGTGCGGGGGGGGGGGCGGAGGTGCTGAATGCCCGACCACGAATGACGTACGGCATCTTGATCAGGAAAGGTCGTGGTCGTGTGCGAGGCAGTGGGTTCTGGGTGGAAGAGAGACAGGAGACGCAGCAGCCGGGATGGGGGAGAGAGAGAGGATACAGCAGTGGAGGCCAAGGATGCCATCGCCATGGTAACAGAAGAAGCTTTGGACCATTTCCAAGATGGCGGGCGGACAGGTCACGTGACATCCGCTCCCGCCCCCTCCCCCCCCCCCCCACCCACTCCGCCCGCCCGCCGCATAAAAACACCGCTTGGCCGCCATCTTGGATGCAGTCAGCGATCCTCTCAGGCCTCAGCTCGGCGGCGGGCGGGCGGGAGGGAGGACCAGAGCTGCGCCGCCGCGGTCTGAGGAGAGCGGCGCGCGAAGGCATCGCAGGGAGGGAGGGAGAGGAGAAGGGAGCAGGTGAGCCGCCGCGCGGCGGGGGAGGTTACCTCGGGGGACGGGAGAAGCCGAGGCCGCGGCGACGGCGGGGGGGGGCCGGAGGGGGCGAGAGCCGAGCGGCGGGAAACCTACAACTCCCAGCGGCCCCCGCGCTCCGGGCATGCGCAGAACACGCGGGGACGTGAACGGCGCATGCTCAGTGAGCTTTCCTCCTCCTCCCCGCCCCCCCCACATGGCCATCTGCAGAGGCGTCACACCGTATCCCGCAGATATGAGGCTCAGGAGCGTTTGGAGGCTCCTCAGTCATTTCCACTGCAGCTCCTGAGGAGGGGGAGGAGGGGGTGGGTGGGTGTGGGGGGCAAACGTCAGCCAACAGGTAGGAAAGCTGAAGGCTTTTGCTCTCAGGTCCAAATGCACTCATGGGGAGGAGAAGTTTGCAGGGCTCTGGGGAGTGGGACTGGGTGGTAGCTTCCCCCCCCCCCCCCCACCCCTCCTCCTCCCCACCCCCTCCTGTCTCACAGAGCCATCACAGACACGATGGGCCGAATGGCCTCCTCCGCCGCCTCCTCCTCCTCCTCCTCCTCCTCCTCTGTGCTCTGTGATTCCATGATTTTCTGAGTTGTCATCTCTCCCAGCAAACTGCCGCTGCTGAGGGAGGAAGGTCGAGGGAAGGTTGGGTTTGGTTTGGTTTGATAGGGCCATTTACATTGGCCATTTACAGCGCTATGAACATCACAACATCTCGCGCTGATGTCTTTCGCTTCCCTCTCTTTGGGTTTTTATAGGGGAGTGTGCCCTGGAATAGGCCCCTTTCGCTCTTCTCTTCTCTTTTTTTTTTTTTTGGACCTCCCATCGGGCAGGGAATAACAAGCCTCGCGTTCGATACAGCGCCTTCTCACGTCGTCGAGAAGTCCCGAAGAGCTTCGCAGGATGTTACTGTGAAGTGGATTGACTGTGTGTTTCAGAGGTGAAGAGGAGCAGGACCGGGGAGACCTGACCAACCTGAAGACGTGAGCCGAGAGATCGGAGGCCTCGGGTGAGGCCACGCAAGGTCACTAACGACGTCCTCTCTCTGTGTGACCAGAGCTCCCTCTGCCTCCTCGTTCTTCTGGACATTTCCACAGTGTTCAATGCAGTCGACCACGTCATCCTCATCTACTGACTCTCCTCCCTCATCCACCGATGTTAACTGATAAATAGATAATAAACCTTGTGATTGATATAGCGCCTTGCACATTAGGATTATGTGTTTCAAAGCATCTCATAGAGGATGTGCTGTGAAGTGTAGTAAGAACAGTTTGCCTCCCATCATCTTGGCAGTTGCATGTGCGTGTCAAGTCCCACACTATACACTGTATCCTGAGATATAATTTCCTAACAGAAATCCATCTAATTTGTTCTTGAAAGCAACAACACTTCTTGCTTCAACCGTTTCCCTCTGGGGAGCCTGTTCTATATGATTACTACTCACTCATTGAACGAGTGTTTCGCAGATTTGTTCTGAATTCACCCGCTTTCAATCGAAGGCTGTGTCCTCTGGTTCTGCTTGTGACAGTCAATATCACTTGTCCCATTGGCACTTGTATATTTTGTGGGAGAAAATTTGACAGCATCGCTTGGACTGATGCTATACTTTTTTTTAAAACAGAGTCGACATGGAAGACTACTTTGCCCAACACAGCAAGAAGATCCTCAACGCCCTCAACAAGCAGCGGGAAGAAGGAACGTTCTGTGACGTGACACTGGACGTAGAAGGCCGGTGCCTGAGAGCACATCGCAGCATCCTGTCCTGTTGCAGCCGTTTCTTTCATGGCGTGTACAGGCAGGGAATGTCGGCCGATCTCCAGCTCCCCCAGAGCTGCACGGGCGTACTGGCACTTCTCTTTGACTTCATCTACACGGGCGACCTGCGACTGACTCGAGCCAATGTGTGTGAGGTGCTGAGCGCCGCCGAGGAGCTGTGCATACCTGATGCCGTTCAAATGTGCCGCCATTATCAGCAGAGCCTGGCGGGTAACGGTGAGGGGAGTGTCTCTCCAGGGGAGGGCGGAACGGTCAACGGGCCGTCAGCCACCAAACCTGAGGCTGGGGAAGCGGTGACTTTGAACCGACCGACATCCAAGTACCAATTGAGACACCAGAGGGCGGAGCGGTGTGGGAGGACGGGGAGAGTTCAGCTGCCGACCGAGCGGGAAAGGGAGAGGGTCAAGGCCTCTGGTGAGCGGAACCGGGACGGGGAGTGTGTGGTGACCCAAGGGGAGCTTGTCCCCGATCAGACCAATGACGCTGGGGAAGGTGGCCGGGTGGAGTGCGAGCAAAACGGCCTGGGGAGTGTGCGAGGGGGGAGCGACGGTGCCGCCCCGGAAATGGACCTTGTCAAGGAGGAGGATAAAGAAGATGAGGGAGAGATGGACGAGCGCGACGAAGTGGATGATGATTATGTTCCGATCAAACACTCGTACAAGAAGCGGAAGAGGCCTACGTTACTGAGAGCCGCAGCTCAGGGACCGGAGGGACAGAGTCTCGGAGATGCTGACCCAGCCAACGCCAAGAGCGAGCCAGTCGAATGCCCAACTTGTCACAAGACGTTTCTTAGCAAATATTACCTCAAGGTTCATAACAGGTAGGTTTATACAAGGCCTTGTACGTCACAGATTCGCAGAGCTGGCTGGGCACCTGAGGTGGGGATAATCATAATCTTTGCATTTGATATAGCCCCTTATCACATCGTTGAGACGTCTCAAATTGCTTCACAGGATATACTGTCAAAGTAAATTGACTGTATATTTTGTGGGCAAAGTGCCAGCCAATTTCACACAGCAGTGTCCAACAAACTATCGTGGATTGTGATTTACTGTGATTATTATGATTAGGTTTTTTTAAACCTAGAGCTTACCTTCCTGACAGCGGAGGAGGTTAAAGGGTGAAGTGATTGAGGGGTTTACATTAATGAAGGGAATTGATGTGGGAATTAATCTTTTGCACTGGCAGAGACGGTGGGGGGTGAAGGGGGAGTTTAGGGAGCCAGAATCCTTAAAATTAGAGCTGCGTGTGTGTATCTTTTGAGACGTCTTGAAGATGCAAATGCAAGGATTATTATTTCATATCCGAAGGACATCTCAAAGCGCTTCATGGGATGTACTGGGAAATGGAATGACCGTGTGTATATGTAGGCAAATGCGGCAGCACACTTGAGATGCAATGTACTGACTGACCCCTTCCTCCCCCGCCCCCCCCTACCCACCTCCCTCTCACGCTATCTTGTTTTGTCTTGTCTTCAGGAAACACACGGGAGAGAAACCGTTTAAATGCAGCAAATGTGGAAAGTGTTACTTCAGGAAGGAAAACCTGCTGAAACACGAGGCCAGGAACTGCCTGACTAGAGCGGACGTGGTACGTGAAGCAAAACCCCTTAACACAAAATTATAGTCGCGGGTTATTTTTAACGCCCGCTTATATGTTTTTGATATTTATTGTCACTCTGAACGCCTCCAGTCCAGACATGGCTGGGCCCCACAGTTAGCTGTCGCAGCCGGGTTCAGTCGCTCGCGGCCTCTGGCTAGCAAGGTTGTGGGTTGAAGCCCCCCTCCTCGCGATAGGGATTTTGAGCTTGCAGTCGTCCAGGATGACTGTCCAGCTAGGAGCTGGGGTTGGGGGGGGGGAAGATGAGTGCTGTGTCTTTAGTTGTCCTTGGGTAGTCCTTCTTCTCCACGACCCATTTCACACTGACCCTCTGATCGATCGCTGGCTCTTAGTCTCGGGGTGCGCGCTTTGGCTGCCGCCCTCGACCCAAGCTGCTTTCCGCCCCCGATATGACACCATTCTCACCCCCCCGCACCTCCCCATGTTGTTGTTCTGACTGTATTGTTTTTGTGACAGATTTACACCTGTCCCGAATGCAAGGAGACGTTCAAAGGAAGGATTGAACTTAGAAAACACGTGGTGTCTCACACGGGTGAGATGCCATACAAGGTGAGAGAGCGCTGGTGCAAACTGACCTTGAGCAATCTCATTGTGTCCAGCAATTTATTTTGTTTCACCCCCCCCCCCACCCCACCTTAAAAGTTGTTTAATTCCTGGGTTTGGAGCTGTCAGAGATTCAGATGACTGTGTGGAATCCGAGGCGTTTTCGTTTAAATCCAGTGCATCTGCTGCTCGCACACGTTCTTCTAAACCAGGTTCGCTCCGATGTTTGTGAATATCTGATCACATTGCATGTGCTTGATCCGAATCTCAGCAGCCAGCAGACCCGCTTGGCCTTTGGCGGATGTTGCCTGCTGCGTTCAGGACTAGCCATTTCTCATCTCCCAAACAATTTGTTTACTTGTGTTGTTTCTGGGTGGTGTGTGTGTGTCTGTCTCTGTCTCTCTCTCTCTCTGTCTGTCTGTGCGTGCCTGTGTGTGTGTCTCTTTCTCTGCGCGCGCACGTGATTCTGTGTGTGTCTCTATCTACCGATCCTCAGTCCCACCTGGTTAAGCGATTCCTGTTCTGCTTTAACCCTTCCAGTGCCTGTCATGCCCCCACCAGTTCATGCAGAAGAGAGACTTGCAGAGTCACATGATCAAATCCCACGGAGCTCCAAAACCTCATGGAGTGAGTAACTGAGAGATGGTTGGGGCGGGCGGGCGGGGAGGGGGAGAGAAGGGAAACGGTCACCAGTTTGTCCACTGTCGTTGTGAGCTGCTGTGTGAGGCGTTGTGGCCGTGCTCACCGCTCCCCAGTGCCAGGCTCCCAGTGTTGGGCGTATAGGTATGGCAGGGTGAAACCTCAACAAATTTCCTCACTCCACACGCCTCTGTTTACCTAGCGGTAAGTAGGAACCGAGTCATTGGTCAATTTGCAGATCGCTTTCCAGGGATAAGAATAATCCCTCCGCAAATAAATAAAATAAATTTCATCACTCGATCCACGACTGTTTGTGGGACGCCGCTGTGCGCAATTGGCTGCCGCATTTTCGCCCACAGAACACGTAGTCCATTTGTTTTACAGTATATTCTTGCGAAGCGTTTTGAGTTGTCTCGAAGACGTGATAAGGCACATAAGGCGCTGTGCCAAATTTTTTTAACTCTGCTGAATAAACGTCTCCCTCCTGCCCGCAGTGCCCTGCTTGCTCTAAGCGCTTTCTCTCCCGGAATGAGCTGCACCTTCACGAAGCATCTAAGCACCAAGGTGAGAGGTTATTTATGTGCGAGGAGTGCGGTCACAGGGCGTCCAGTCGTTATGGGCTGCAGATGCACATAAACTCCAAACACAGGTACAGTATGTGCACAGAAACTTTCCGCTTTATACTGAGGTGCGAGTGAGTGAGCGAGTGAGGAGATGTACGTTTCGAGCGGAGGAGGGCGGGGGGTGGGCGCGGGCGAGGATAGAGTTGATGGGTGATTTTTCTCCCCAGAGTTAATGGGGCTTCCCAGTCTGAGCCCTAAATTTATTCGCAAATCCCCCCTCCCATCCCCCCATTAAGATGAGCGCTTGGTGGGGGTGGGCGGGAGGGAATGTAAGGGGGTTGTGGGAAACGTTTGTTGCTTCGTTGTAGAACAAATCCTTTGTGGAGCGCTTTTGAGACATCCGCCAGATGTGAAAGGCGATGTATAAAATGCAAGGATTATTATTTATTCTAAATTAGGCACGGAGAGTTTTCTCTGTCTGTGTGTGGCTTCATACCAACCTCTCCGCTCAGTGGACTCTGGCTTGCCCAATGTCACTCGCTCTGCCTGCCCAACCATCGGCATCAGGCCTTCAGACTTTGTGCCCTCACCCTTTGAAATCCTATCCCACAGTTCCTTTGCCTCGCTCTCTCCCTTACCTCCTTGAAGGCCTGTCTCAAGACCCTCCTCTTCGACTACACTTTCAGTCAACCACCCTACCCTCCACCCCTCCAGATCCCAACACACAGCGCGGGTACAAATCCTTGACTGTCCAGCACCTTGGGACGTCCTCCCGAAGTGAAAGGCGCCATGTAAATGTAATCTGTTGTTGGCTTGATGGGCTGACCGCTCTCGCTGTATTGTATGATGCTTGGATTCTATATCGTGAGGAGTTAAAAGGAACACAGTGGCGGCAAGAAGGGAGAGGAGAGAGAGAGAGGATCTAAGGGATTTTTCATGTTATTGGTTTGTCTCCGTCTTCACAGGAACGAGCGACCGTACGTGTGTGAGTACTGTAACCATGCCTTCACTCAGAAAGGGAACCTGAACGTTCACCGCCGGACACACACTGGAGAGAAACCGTTCCAGTGTCACTTTTGTGGAAAAACCTTCAGGATCCAAGGTGGAGAGAGGGGCAGGCACGAGGGGAGAGGGGGGGCAGAAGTAATATTAAATACAAGGATTATTATTTACCTACTCCCTATTGCGAGCCTAGACGTGCTGTAATGTTCGGGATTGTGTTGCTAATCCGTTGTGAGCTCTTCCTCTTTTTTTCCCCCCACCCCCACCACCCTGCAGCGAGCCTGGACAAACACAACCGCACTCACACAGGGGAGCGTCCGTTTAGCTGTGAGATTTGCCAGCAGAAGTTCACTGAACGCGGCCCCCTGCACCGACACGTGGCCAGCAAACACCAGGAGGGCCGGCCTCACTACTGCAACATCTGCAACAAGACCTTTAAAGGTAACGCACTTTGCTCTTTGCTTTCCAGCGCCTCTCTCCCTCTTCCACCCCCGTCGGCCCTGCCATTGACGTTCGGGTCTCCAGCCTACCCAGCTTTTGGAACTACATTCCTTTCGTCCTCACTCCCTCCATTGCCTCCTTCAAGGCACATCTCAAGACCCTCCTCTTTGATCGTGCTTTCAATCACCCTGCTTCCCCCTCCGTACTCCACCCTCCCCAATCCCGATCCCCAGCTCGGGTCCGAGACACTGACTGTCCAGCACCTTGGGATATCCTCCCACCATACAAATGTCTCTACCTCCCACTGCCTTTGGCCATCCACGTGCACAAGACTGGGACGATGCTTGTGGCTGAACGAATTTCCTTTGAATGGGAGGGGGAGGGGGTGTGGCCAAAACAAATCTAGAACGAGTCGCCTTCCAATCTCCCCCCCCCCCCCCCCCAAAACCACCACCACCCATTGTGTGATTGATACGCTCCAAAGGTTGCTGCAGTCAGCTGTGTGAAGCTCTTCGAGACGGCTTCCCATCACGAGAGGAGGCTCTGTATCAGTGTAACCTTATTGCTGGTAACTAAAGGTAAGGCGCGAAGAAAGTGGTACCTTTTAAATCCCTGGTCGGTCCGAGTGTTGGACGGAGCAAGAGGTCCTCGTCTCACCTGTCGATTCTTGTTAGTCAAGTCAGCGACCAACTTTGTGTGTTGCAGCCATTGATCAGCTTCGAGTGCACGTGGGGCGACACAGGGGCATGAGGAAGTTCGAGTGCAGTGAGTGTGGCTATAAATTCACCCGACAGGTAAGAACTTCACTGTAGCGCTGGGGGGGCGGTGGGGGCGGGCGAGTGTGTCTTGTCTTTCGGATGAGACGTTAAACCGAGATCCTGTCCCATGTTAAAGCTCCTACAGCGTTCCTTGAACGCGGTATCCTGGCCCATAATCCCCACCATTAAAATCGGCCGGTCACTTCATGGCTGCCTGCAGGACATTGCAAATCAACCGCTGTGCCCTCTTACGAAACGCATTCGCTACACTTTTCAGTAAAAACATTTTATCTAAATTTTTTTTAAACAAAAAGCACATTTTATTAAAACTCCTTCACACCCTCCGATGTGCAGGATCCTGTATCTGTATAAATAGGTTGTTGTGACGTGAGGCTCCATATAAAAATGTCCGTTTTTCCCGTAACCCACCCTTCCGCAGGCTCACCTGAGACGTCACATGGACATCCACGGGCGGGTCGAGAACTACAACCCACGGCAGAGAAGGCTCCGCAACTTGGTGGTCTCGGGGGAGGGGACCGGGGACCAGGGGGTCCTCAGTGCGTCCGAAGCGGGGCTGCCCGCCGGGGCTTCGACTGAACCGGCCCCCCAGAGCGAGGGAGACCGAGAGCTCTCGGCTGAAAACCAGCGGGACGCTCACCCCAAAGAGACGGAGATGTTGGGGGCAGCAGTGGGGGTGGAGGAGCCGGTCAGCTTGACGGAGACCTATGTGGAGGAGAGTCCGTCGGGATAATAATAATAATCCTTGCATTTGATACAGCGCCTCATCACGTCTTTGAGACGTCTCAAAGTACTTCACGGGATACACTGGAAGTGGAGTGACTATATTTTGTGGGCGAAACTCAGCAGCTGATTTCGCACAGTAACGTCCCACAAACAGTGGTGGGATAGGCTGTGAACGAGCCTCCGTGAGTGTGCGTAGGAAAGGATGGATTTGGGCGGCAAGTGGTGGGGGGAGAGGGAGGTTTCTCTTCGAATGAATGCATGAATAAAGCGATTTTTTTTTAAAATTTAATTTAAAAAAATCACAATTCGTTTCGAACTAGCAGCTGAAGGCGGTGCCTTCGCTCGCTCCCTGGTGAGTGGGAAGAGGCAGATGACGTGAATAGGAATATTTTTTTTTCTTTGGCTCTCGCTCTGCCTGGTGTCCTCCGAGGCCCATGTGTGCAAAGCCGTGACAACGCTCGGGAACTGCTTTATCGTCTGCGTTTATAATTTAATGAGTTTCCTTTTGTTTATTATATATAAAAAAAAGTAAGGCTGGTACATTGCTTTTAAAAACAAAATACATTGTTTTTTATATATAAAAACAGTTACCCGCTGCCTCTGGGGTCTCTTTCAACTCATTTTGTTAAGGACTGACCACTCCTCCCAACAACCACTTTACCTCACTCTCATGACTCTTACTTTCAAACTCTTTCCAAAGACGCAGCTCCTTGAGCGTGTGCTCTGGTCACAGCTCCCTTCCTCCCTCCGGCACATCTCAAGACCCTCCTATCCCTGTCCTCTACCCCTCCTGATCCCAAACCCCTGCTCGGGTCGAAATCCGATTGTCCAGGGCCTTTGGACGTCCTCCGGCCCTGAAAGGCGCTATAACAAATGTAATTTTAATGTTGCTTCCGTCAAGTTTGGTGAAGTGTCTGTTTTATTGCGATAATAATAATCCTTACATTTGATATACAGTGAACCTCACTTAAGTTGTATGAGTTGGCACCATACATTTAATATGACTTGCGCAAAGGTTGAGTAAGGTCAAACTTGCGTAGAATATAAACTCTTGAACGGTATTTGGGCAGATACACGACTTAGGCGTTTATACAGATCAGACTCATGCAAGTTTTACTGTAGCACCTTATCACGTAGTCTCAAAACCCTTTACAGAATATACTGTAAAGTAAATTGACTGTATAGTTTGTGGGTGAAATATAGTTTTATATATATATATATGCAAGTTGTGTAAGAGACGCGCTACAGATTTGAGCTAATGTTATTCACATGTTGTGTAACTCCAGGTACGAGGTGTACAGACACCCCCGTTGAAGTGCTTAGGACTAGGACAGTTTGGAAGTAGCAGATTACACGCCGTCTCAGTCGTACCAGCTAGGCCTTGTTCAAGGGAAACATAATTATGCCCTTCACATCACTCAGGTAACCAAATAAAAGTGATCGATTGTGGTTTGTGTGCAGGAACAGGATTTACTGTAAAGTGGAGTGTGTATTTCGTGGGTGAAATGCGGCAGCTAGTGTCACACAAACAGCCATGGATTGAATGACCAATTTTATTTGGGGGACTTGTTTGCCAGGACACTGGGAGAAACTTCATTCTCATTTTGAACACTGCCATGGGATTTTTAATGTCCACCTGAACTGGCAGACAGGAGCTTGGTTTAAGGTCTCATCCAAAGTACTTGGATAAAATAGTCACAAAAAAACACTCAATTTTTAAAAAAAAACTTTCCATGAAGTACGTGAGGCTGTCTCATTCAGACAGAACCATTTATTTATTTATTAGTGTTCTACATTATATTTTTGTGTGTAAACTACAAGTGTATGTGTACAATATGCCACAGCACTTAAAATGTAAAAAAAATCCTTTAGAACCTTAACATTTCACATAAAACTGGCTTTGGGCACAAGTCTAATCACAACGCTTTAAATAACACTAAATTCTCACAAACAGGCAGCAGCTGTGCTTAGCTTCCTCTACTGCTGGTTTGATGCAAAAATTAAATGCCCCTCCCGAAACCCCCCAACAACAGCAACCCTTATTGTGTGGCATTTTGCGGAGAAGGTTACAGCTTCACACGAAATGTAAAATGCTCCCGACTACACCATTCAGTCATGGAGCCCAAGCAATACTCCACACAAGGTCTGGTCTCCACACACACTCGCGCGCACACAACAAATCAATGGCCTCTCAGTCCCCCCCCCCACCCCGGTTTGCTGCAGAAGGAGACGGTGGGACCCATATTGGTCACGTGCCCACAGTAAAGTTGTCTCTGTTCAAGTCGACTAAGAAACAGAAATGTTAAACCTTACCTCACAGGTGCGGTGAACCACCAACTACTTGAATTTATATAGTGCCTTCACGTGGTTCAGTGTCTCCGAGCGCTTAACAGTGGCGCAGTCTGACCCCGAGCCGGAGGGGAAGGGAGGAGGTGGCAGTAAATGTGGTTGAAGAGGAAGGTCTTAAGGCATGAGGGGAAGGAGGGGACAAGGTTAAGGGACTGAGGGGAGAGAGTTCCAAAGTTTCGAGACTTAGTGGCTGAAAGCGCGGCCACTTGGGAGTGGAGGGGGAACCATGGACAAGCAGAGGCCAGAGCCAGCCGAGCGGAGGCGGGGTGGGGAGAAAGGAGGTCGGAAAGGTAGGGAGGTGCCACGGCGTGAAGGGACTTGTAGGCGAGGGAAAGGATCTTGAAATCGATCCGTTCTGTGAAGTGGGGTGTTGCGGTCAGCCTAATTGCGGAAGCTTGTACATGCAGGCCCAACCGAGCAACAATACTATTTCTAGCTCATCGTCCAAAGGGACGGGAGGTAACGTGAGGATCTGAAAAACATCTCTCCTGAAGCCACATTGCAGAGGATTCACTGTGGAAGTCCGGGGTGGATCTTTGACCCAATTTGATCATGTCCTTCCAGAATACCGATCCCTCCCGTCATCCCATTATTATAAAGGAAACAAGGAGTAGGCCTTACAGCCCCTCGAGTCTGTATCTCAACTCCCATTATCACAATCGAAACCTTTTGTCAAAAACCAGCCCCTGATAAATATCACCTTGAAAAACACGCAGACCCTTTCTCAAGAGTACTGTTTCTTTTCCTTCTGGCCAGCTATCGCCTGGCGGGCGAGGTGAACACAGGGCAACAGGGCATCGGTCAGCTGCGCCCACCCTAACACAGGACGCTCGGCACGAAAAGCAGTGGCAGTTATTTGTTGCCTCCGCACTCCGACAGCGCAGGACCAAAGCGGGTGAGTCACTGAGCAGTTTTCCCCATGGGATGGACGGACCAGAGCGGGTCTCGGAGGTCACTAGCGAGTGTTGTCCTCCACTTCCCCCCCCCCCCCCACTCAACAACAACAACAAAATTCCATTTATAGAGCGCCTTTCACGTCGGGAGGACGTCCCAAGGCGCTGGACAGTTGGGTCAGGGTCACTCCCTCTCCACACAACTGTTGTTGGGACTCGAGACGAGTTGGGACCTTGAACGTCTTCATTGTAAAACATGCAGATATCTTGGCAGCTGGGAATCGTTGCTGCGGGAATCTCTTTCCCTTTCCACATCTTTTATCCAAAAAAAACCACTCTCTAAATAAAGCCAGACGTAACACAATGAACACTGACTGCCACGCGCGCCACTCAATCTGGGGAGGCGCTTGCTTATAATTACAATAATACTTGCATTTGATATAGCGCCTCGAGGTGGAACAATCAAAGAAAGAAAACAGTTAAATGATTGGCAGAATATCTGAGTCTTGAACCTTTCCCTCTCCCCACACACACGCACGCACGCACGTGCGCATATAAGGCAGGCTCTTACGGTAAGCCCGGTGTAGCTCAGGCACGGCTAGTGAATGCCTTGCGCTACTGCAGGTGGGTCACCGATCGACCCATTAAGTGCTACGTGCTCGCAAGCAGACTAAATTCCGAAGCGAGGGGCAAACCCTAACTGCCAGGGTATCAGTGACCGCCCCCCCCCCCACCACCTAATCAAGACTAAAAGGCAGGCGATCAAGAGCTTTCTTGAAAAACAAGCAGCCGGGACGATGGGACGAAGAGTCGCGGAGTCTCAGTCACACAGAAGTCCTTTGTTGGCAAGCTCTGGCTGTTGCGGGCTGGGACTGGCCGGTCAGTGAAGCGCCCGCAGGTTCTCGTTGTGGAGGTGCCGGCGGTAGCGGGCGAGATTCATCACATTGATCTCGTGGTTGCGCTCCTCGGACAGCGTGCCGAACTGGTCGACCTGCGCGGTGGGCATGAACTGGCGGAATATGCTGACGGTGCCGTGCCAGAAGGAGGGCTGCGGCAGGCGCCCCAGCACCCGCCACTCGCCGCTCTGGGGGTCGAATGCCTCCACCACATCGGACAGTTCGAAGGTGTTGTCGTAGCCCCCGGAGACCACCAGCTTCCCCCCCAGGGCGGCCACGCTACCCCCCACGTGGACCTGCAAAACAAAGGACACGCGTGTCACAGGCTCCGCCATCTCTCCGACAACAACCCGTGTGTTCAATACATCATGTCTCGAAGCGCTTGACAATAACAACAATCCTTGTCACACCGTTGAGAAGTCTCAAAGCGCTTCACAGGATACACTGTAAAGTGGTTTGACAGTGTATTTTGTGGGCGAAACTCAGCAGCCAATTGCGCAACAACTTCTCTCCAAAAGCGTGTCGGGATTTTTAATGCCTGCTTCAGGAACTCAGATGGGACCTCAGTTTAATGCCTCATCCAAAGGGTGTCAGCTTTGTCGATACGGTGTTTCCCCTCCCCTGGACTGGGAGCTCAAGGCCCGATAATGGGGGCTTGAACCCAGAACTTCCTGAACCAAGAGGTCCGAAACCGGCATCCTTCTCGTACCTGATTCATTGGCGGGATCTTGTCCCATTCGTTCTTGATCGGATTGTACACGTCGACTTCCGAGGAATCATCTCTGCGGGAAGAGGAAAAGGATTTAACGTCGCATCGTCCCGCGGCCCCCCCCCGCCCCGAAATCCACTGGCAATGCAGTGAGTTATTGATCTCATCGGGACAGCCGTCAGGGCTACAACTGATCCCCTGCATTAGGCTTGGGGGGAGCCCAGAGTGTGCGTTGTGGAGGGGTGGGGTGGTAACTGCTGGAGTCTGACCAGCAAAAACCGCATAGCTTGCCATCAATAGCATAGCCTGGCAGTGACTCAGCAGCCTAAGCCTGCAAGCTCAAATTCTGCCTTGATGTTGAGGGTTTGCAACATGCAATGTTCGGACTTGGGAATTATATCGGATACGTCGTTCGGGACATGACATGTAGGCGACTGCTAGGATGGTGGAAGGCGAACTGGATGGACCTTGGGTCTTTGGCCTAAGCAAAATTCTTCTTCCTTTGAGAGACCTCCGATGATGGGAGGCAGAGCCTACCTGACGAAGTAGATGAGTCCGTTCAGAGTGACTGTCTTGGGCACGAAGGACCAGGCGGGCAGGGATCCACAGGCCGCCACGCTCCAGCTGTCAGCCTCGGGGTGATAGCACTGGATAGCCATGCAGTCCTTCCCGGCCAGAGATCCCACTGCGTACAGCTGGCCGCGGCAGGCCGTGGTGGAGCAGTTGTCCATGGGGTACGGCATGGGTCGCAGCTGCTCCCATGCATCCGCCGCGTGGTCATACCGCTCGGTGCTGTCCGAGGCCACCACGTACACCCGGCCCTTCACCACGGCCGTGCTGTGGTACTCGCGGGGCTTCAGCATGGGCGCCACCTCCGTCCACTCGTTCACGCTCGAGTTGTAGCGCCAGACACAGTCGTACAGCGTCGTCCCGTCAGAGCCGCCTGCAAACACCCACAGGCTCGGTGTCAAAAGTTCCCTCCGCCACTTGATCTACGCAATTAAAACCTCCAGCTATTTACCTCCACTCCCTGAAATCCTCCCTCTGTGATTTTGCTCCTTATCTAACGTCTTCGAGACGTCTCAAGAGCGCTTCACGGAATGCACTGTAAAGTGGACTGACTGTGTATTTTGTGAGCGAAACGCGGCAGCCAATTGCAGTGTCCCCCAAACAGTTGCGGATCGAGTGACCACATTTTTTTTTGAAGGGATTATTCCCCCCCCAGAAAGCAATCCGCCAATCGACTAATCAACCGAGTTCCTACTCACCGCCAGGTAAACAGAGGCGAGTGGAGTAAGGAAATTTGCCCATGGTTTCCCCCTCACCGCCTGGCCGGGAATCGATCGCTGATCCTCTCGTTTGCGAAGCGAGGCGAGTGAGCTGACCACTGCGCTACAGCAAACTGCGACCGCCTTGAGAGACCTGAGCTGAGACCTGAGCGAGTTCCTCGCGCCCGTGCTCTTTACTCCCCTCCCAAACCGAATTTAAGTTGGCACTTTGTGACGAGATCATGTGTAACACCGGAGACGGGCGGGCGGACTTACCCGTGACGTACATGTCGTTGCCGAAGGCGGTGACGCTGTAGCCCCCGGCCAGGTGATCGGGGAACTCTGCCAGGTATCGCCACTGCCCCGTCTGAGGGTTGAAGCAATCGACGGTCACCAACTCGTCGCAGTCCTTGTCGCAGCCGCCCACGGACACCAGGATCTCGGCCAGGCCGGTGGAGGGCCGCGGACGCATGCGCTGACACGGGTAGTCGTGCCGGTCGTACTGGCTCGACTGGAAGGAGCGCGCCTCGTGGATCAGCTGCAGGCAAGGCGGGGAGTAGTACACCAAGGGATCGCTCTCCACGTAGGCCAGCAGGTAGAAGCGCCGGATGAAGGGCAGCCGGACACGCTGGAACAGCTCCGGCCAGAAGCGCTGCCGGTGCTTGAGGTCGGCCTTGACCCAGCGCAGGGCGATCTGGTAGGCCGTCTCCTCCTTGTCCACGTGCAGGCGGTCGTCACTGACGTACTCGGTGATGCGCTCCCGGGGCAGGGACTCGAAACCCTCCTCCCGTGACAGCTCCACAATGTGCCGCAGGATGAAGCGCTTGGTGTCCTCGGCCAGGCCCCGGCAGGCATAGGCTTCGGCGAACTCCTGCATCTCCAGGCAGTTGTCGACATCGAGCCGCTGCTGCAGGTACGAGCAGCAGGCCTCCTTGACTGAGTGGAACTGGAAGAGGTCCGCGGCCTTGAGGAGCACCTCCACGTTCTCCTCCGTCACCGTCAGCCGCCCGCTGTACGAGAAGTCCACCAGAGCCCCAGCACCTCGGCCGAGACTTGGTGGATCTCCACCCGGTCCATCGAGCTCTCCCGCAGCTCGCCCGCGAACATGGCCTTGAAGTAGGTGCTGGAGGCCGCCAGGACCGTCCTGTGGCACGGCAGCTCCCTCCCCTCCACTGAGAGGGTCACGTCGAAGAACTTGCGCTCCGCCCGCAGCTCGTTGATGCCCTTCAGGATGTTCAGGGCGTGGGACGGGTCGAAGAAAGGCATGTGCGGGGGCTGGGCCCCCATGCTGGCTCTCTCCATCAGCCCTCACGTCAGGTTCAATTGAGCTGTAATACAACAACAACTTGCATTTATATAGCGCCCTTCACGCAGGGTGGCGACCCGGAGCTCGACAGTGGCGGAGGTGACTGTAGGCACTGTTGACGGGAAAGGTCTTCAGTCGTGACTTGAAGATGGAAAAGGATGCGGCAAGGCGGAGGGATGGAGGGAGAGTGTTTCAGAGTTTCCGGAGTAATACAGAAGGAAACGCATTACCACCATAAGCCTCGCACTCGTGGAGTCCCGTAGATTAGTGGTTAGTGCGCTCACCTCACATTCCCGGCCAGGCAGGGCGAAACCTTAGGAAAGTTTCTGTACTCCACATATACCTCTGTTTACCTAGCAGTAAGGTAGTAAACCGGTTGTTAACCGATTGGTGGATCACTTTCCTGGGGGTAATAATCCCTCCAAAAAACAATTTAAATAAAAATTTGGTCACTCAATCCATGACTGTTCGTGGGAACACTGCTGTGCCCAATTGTGCAAAATATAAAATTGTGCAAACTGTGCGCAAAATATACAGTCAATTCACTTTACAGTATATTCTGTGAAGCGCTTTGAGACGTCTCAAAAAGATGTGAAAAGCGCTATATCAAATGCAAGGATTATTATTACTATTAATTGGCTGCCGGGTTTCGCCCACAAAATACACAGTCAATCCACTTTACAACAACAACAACTTGCAGTTATACCACGCCCTTCACGCGGGGCAGCCTCCTGGAGTCTTTGTGAAGCGCAATTCACTCTGAAGCCCTTTGAGATGTCTCAACGTTATATCAAATGCATGGATTATTATCAATATAACTGAGCCAGGTTGGGAGGGAGTGGGGAAAAACAAGAACAAATAAGGTCTTCAGGGTCACTGAAGGGCAAGTACAAAGTAATGGAGCGGTTATATATACGCGCTGGTCAGAGGGGAAAACAGAGCCACGTATTTAACCTAAAATCCATCTCCTGCCAACAAATTCACAAGAGGAGGCTTGTAAACACATAACAGCAGCCCGTGCCAGAGTGACCAACAACAGCAGCAGAAACTCTCCTCTCACACAAATTCTAAGGGTGGGGGAACCCTTTCAGAGACATGAGGACAAACCCAAACTTTTTAAATCACCCCCCCCCACCCCACCCCCTGACTCACACTCACTTAGCAGCTTAACACTCACCCCAGGCTCCTGTTAAGAATGTCTGTCCACTGAATAGGGGCCTGGATAGAAAGCAGCCAGTGCCTGGCCTCGAGAGGGAATATGTTGCGATAGATTTCACCGCCACAGCAGGTTGTTCTGACTCCCCAACACGGCTCACTCACTCTCGTCCTGATTAAGATGATCTGTTCGCATGGTGCAAAGCCCTCAGAAATTCCCTCCTCCTCCTTCTCCTCCCTCCTCCTCCTCCTCCTCCTGCTCAAAACAGCTTCGCGTTTCAAACCACTGACAGGAAGCTGCGTTGGGTTGCTGTCACGTCTATAAATAAACAAGGAATGGCAGGAATGCAGCTCAGTGACCCACTCACACTCACAACCACTAACACTACCAGCCCAGAGTGCCAGTCACGGCCGAACCCAGCCCAGCCCAGCCCAGGGCCAGCGTCACAGCTCATTGAGTTACTGCACCAAATCCAGTCACAGCCCTCATCACCTCCTGCTCTGTGTTGAGCTTCTGATCTCAGCTGGAGCTGCAGTTGGCGCTATACTTGGTCTCAGGGTTAGGGAGAGAGGGGGATGGGGGCTAAGAGAGGGGAGAAACGGTCTGCGTTCGTGCTGCTAATCCGGTCGAAGGCTATGACAGGAGATCTGGGCAGAAACACTAGCTGATTCCCATCACTGCACTTGACATCAGTTACTGTAGAAAATACTTCCTTGGTAACAAGACACAATAAAAATGCAAGTTCTTTCTGAAGACTTGAAGTTTTACAATTTGACAAGCGTTTATAGACATTTGTATATATATATGTGTTTATGTTCTTTCTTCATCTGCAGAACACACAGTCTTGGCTCAATACAATAAATCCTGTGAAGTGTTTCGAGACGTCCTCCCGAAAACATGAAAGGCGTTATATCAAAGGCAAGAATTATTATTGTTGTTGTTATTTCTTTGCTGTGCGCAATTGACTGCCGCGTTTCGCCCACAAAATAGTCAATTATATCCAACGTATTCTGTGAAGCGCTTTGAGACGTCTCAATGGCGTGATAAGGCGCTACATCAAATGCAAGTGTTATTAATAATAATAATTATTATTATAAGGTTTGGCTGTTGAAAACAGATGATCTGTGCATCTCAAACTGACTGGCACAGACTTTACCGCACAGGTTGAACGTACGCAGTACCACACCAGACAGCGCCCACACGGGCACGGAAGTACACTTCACCCACGAGACACAGCGCTACAAATTGCAAAAGTAACTTGCCTTTGTGTGGCCCCCTTCACACAGGGCAGCGTCTCAGAGCACTAAACAGCGGTGCAGCCCGATGCCGGGCCGGTTGGGGACAGGGGGAAGAAGGTGACCATAAGGTCTTCAGATGTGATCTAAAAGAGGGGAAGGAAAGGGCACAGCGGAGGAGGGGGTGAGGGAGAGAGTTCCAAAGCCTGGGGGAGTAAATGGCTAAAAGCAGTTTGTAATTATAGTAGTTGCAAAGGTGCCAACAGTGCTCTGGTACATCAGCTGTGACCTGTGTGTGGCCAGTCACAGACAGACAGACAGACAGACAGAGACAGACAGACAGACAGAGACAGACAGACCAAACTGCACCCCCCCACACACAAGTCTGCATCGGTTAATGTATATCGAAAGACGAACTCTGCAGTCGAATAGATTCCATCATTCCAAGGTACCCGTTACTGTGCCATTTAATACTGAACCAAAACGTGGGGGGGGGGGGGGGGGGGGAGGGGGAGAAATCGCTGTGTGAGGAGGGCCTTGAGATGGAAACCAACTTTGATTCAGTTTGGGGTTTAGAAACACCAGAATTGGGCTTAAACAGAGGCGATCTGCCCACTGTCCCTCTCTGTTGGGAGGGAGGGAGGGAGAGGTGGTGGTGGTGATGTCTCAGCCCTTATAGAGCCAGAGAAAAGACCCACGTCCTCAGGTCCCTCCCCAACCCCCAACCCCCCTCCCCAACCCCAACCCACTGCACACACTGAGATGACATCAACCACCGCTGAGCCGCCCCACGTTGCTATTATAATAAAAGCCTTTGTCGTTTCCCCCCAAACCTACGTACACTCGTCCCGGACACCTCAATAGCAACTTAACGCCAACAATAAATAGCTTTAGATTGAACACCAGGTGGGGGGGGGGACGAGAAGCGTCTGTCTGTGTGTGTCTGTCTGTCTGTGTGTGTGTGTGTGTGTGTGTGTGTGTGTGTCGGGGGGTGGGGGGACAGAGGACAGATTGCGAGTCCATCCTCAGCTCCACACAGCAACTTGCGATGTCAATTCAAGGCGACGTTAGAAGGAGGTGTAGGTCCCTCACATTTAGAGGTCTGTTGCTCCCTTTCACTCTCTCTCTCTCTCCCCTCTGCCTCTCTCTTTCTCTCTCACCCCCTCCCCCTCTCTCTCTCTCCCTCTTTCTTCCTTGTAGGGAGAATTCATCCCCCACCAACGTGTGGAATCCGCTCTTACTCACCCCCCAAACCAGACCAGGATCACAGCAGCTCCTCCGATCGCCACATCTCTGCTTGTGTTTTTTGGGGGTGTGTGTGTGTGGGGGGGGGGTGTGGTGTGTGTGTGGGTGGTTGTGTGTGTGTGGGGGGGGGGTGTGTGTGTGGGTGGTTGTGTGTGTGTCTGGAGGCTGTCAGGAAAACAAAAGAGAGTGGTAATAATATTATTTATATCTTTATATACGCATAAACTTCTTGCAAATTTGCTGCTTGCAACTATTTGGAAGGGGGCAGGACGATCACTTGTACAGCCTTCAGGACTCAACCACAGAGAGAGAGAGAGAGAGAGAGAGGTGATGGGGGGGGTTGGTGGTGGGGGGGAGACAGAGACACACACGTTTTAATCGCAAATATTGGGTGCAAATTACAGACAGACGGGGTTTTGTTGTGGTGGAGTGGGTCCTGTTAGATGTGCGTGACTGTGGGGGCACAGGCATGGGGGGGGGGAGTATTTGTTGTCGGTACAAATATAACGAGATATATATCCTCTCCACCCCCCCCCCCCCCCATCACCACCACACCCCCTCCAGGCTGAGAGGAGGATGGCTCAGTCCTCATTAACATGAGGATTAGGAGCTGACATCAGGGTTACATTGTCACATTCGGATCAAAGGGACGGTATCAATTTTTTATTATTATTTGATTTCATTTACATGGACTCTGGATGTGATTTTTTTTTCTCTCTTTGGGCTTTTGTTTGTTGTTCAAACAAATTCTACGGTTATTTGCTTGGGAGGGGGGGAGGGAGGGAGGGGAGAGAGGGTGGGGTGTATGTGTGTGTGTGTGTGTGTGTGTGTGTGGAAGGGGGAGGAGAGAAAGAGAGAGAGAGAGAGAAATATAGAAAGAGAGATATAGAGGAGAGAGATAGAAAGAGAGGAGAGTGAGAGAGAGGGTTGAACGCATCTGATGTAGGAGAATATTTTTGACACACACACAGGACAGACACATCGAATCGCCAGGGGATCGTTTCCAAAGGTAAAAAGCACGAATTTTATTAAAACAACCGCAAATTTCATTTAATCTCTTCTCTCCCCTGTTTTAAAATGTTATGTTTCTTTGATTTCCTCCCCCCTCCCCCCCCCCCCCCCCCACCACCACCCCCCAACTTTCTGTTCTGATATCCTCTCTCTGCCCCCACCCCCTGAACCAGATGACGACTCGTGGGAGCTGGTGACGTGTTACTGTATGAAGCCCTTTGCCGGTCGGCCCATGATCGAGTGTAACGAGTGCAACACCTGGATCCATCTGTCCTGTGCCAAGATCCGCAAGACCAACGTGCCCGAGGTGTTTGTCTGCCAAAAGTGCCGGGGTACCAAACAGGACATCCGGCGGTCAAACCGCTCGCGCACCAGCTGCCGGAAACACATCCTCGACTGAGCCGCTTCCCGTTAGGTTGGGTCGCGCCGAGCCGTGTCGAGGTGTTTCTCTTTATATTTCTTTCTGGGCAGAGAGAGAGAGTTTAGCGGAACTTTGCGGGAATAAACTGATACACTTGTCTGGCGAGTGCTGAGCACCCGGGCTGGGCTGAGCGGGGCTGGGGGAGGGAGTGGGGGGTGGGGGTATAAGGGGAGAGTTTTGAGAACCCTTCACCCTCCTGGGAATTCTGTGACTCGCTCACCTTCGCCGGCCAGAGTCGGGAGACTCGCTCCAAAGAGGGTATAAAAGAAACCCGGAGCAAGAAACGGATCTACCATTCCCACTCCGCCGGTAAATTGGGATTCGGGCATTTCCGGAACATCGGGATCAGCTGTTCGGGGCTCACTGTGGTCGGGGACTTGGGCAGTCAATCGGACGGGCAGTCAGAATAATATTTTGTTAAGGGTCTTGAGATTGATCCGGGGGGAGGGGAGAGAGAAACCACTGGGTTTATTTCAGCATCGCGCTGCGCGTCAAGCCTCCAGGTGTGGCCGGTACAGGGACCAGGTCTTGACCCCCGTCCCCCTCTCATTTAGCACCAGAATTGTGCCAATTTTTTAATCACAAACATGGCATGATGTACGAGGGATTGTGTCAGCCAAGTTGGGAACAAGTGAGTTAAGGATTTAAGTTTCCATTCTGGTTCAGGCTGATGCAACAGGAAAGAAATGATTCGAGAGGGAACAGAAACGGGGAGAAAAGAGGAGCCAAAGCCCTTTATAAAAGGAATCAAGGTTTTTAACCTCCTTCCTTCCCTCCACATTGGGTCCACGGGTACGAACACGCCCCTTGTTGAGGGGGAGGGAGGGGAAGAAGAGGACCTGGGGACATTTTTATGCCTCAGACGGTTGATCGTTTCTGGGTAATGAGTGGAGTGAGCGGCTGAGTGGGTACAGACCAAATGGCCTGAGAGTAGAATAAAGTGAAGAGCACATTGGTCGTTCCTTTAAACGCTTTATCCCTCAGTTGAAATGGGGATGACCGTATGTAGAAAATATACATTGATTCCATCATCCCCACCACCACCATCCCCACCCCCTTCCCCCCCCCCCCCCCCCCCGCAACACACAAACTGCACCTTATAACTTCACTCACATGAGTTCAACCTCCCATCGTGCCTCGATGACTTCATGTGATTTCCAGTTAGTTTGGGGGAGGGAGAGAATCTCTCTGTTTCTTACCCTGTGTTGTTCACTCAGAGCGTGCTTTATTACCCTGGTTATTCACTGATTTGGCTACTACCCAAACATTGACATGTCCGGGAAGCACGAATTGGCATAGCAGTTGATTCCGTGTTTCAATCAGTGCCTGTTGGGTTTGGAGTGGCGAGCAGGGTGGATGTACAGTTAACACTACACAAACGTCCAGCAAATAACTTGACATACTTTTTTTGAGGACTGGGGGGAAACTTCCATTTTTTTTCCATGGAGGACGTTTCCTCAACGGTGTCTTAATCCTCTGGAGGACAGGCGCCCTTCAATTTCGGGTGAGGGGGTGGAGGGGAGTGGGAGGAAAAGAAGCCAATCTTTGGAGGATGAAAGCTCTTCACCCTGAACGAATTGTCAGTAAGTAAGTAACCGTCATGGCCAGTTTCAATGTAGAGAGATTATTTTAAGACATCGATGTCGACGTCCTCGCTCCCCTCTGACCGACACAGTCCGAAGCATGTTCAGTTCTCTTCCTGTGCTCACGGTTGTAACCTTTTCTGCCAATTTTGTTTCCCTCCACAAAAAAAACCCTTTTCCAGTTACCCTCCCCCACCACCTCCCCCTTAAATTATTTTACCGACAAGGGGCAAATGTAAAGACTAGCGTCGTGACATTCCACGTTCTAGCGGTGCCTTCGCTCGGGTAGGGAGATCCGCACTTGATGGTCGTTTGATACATGGACCAGCGCCTTTTTTTTTGGACTGGTGTCGTGGCCGGGAATGACGGGATGGTCTCCTTGGTGCGGGGCGGGGACGGGGGGGAACGGAACGGGGGGGGGGGGAGAGGGAATCGTCAAAGCGGGACAAAAGCAAAAACCTTGTTTCTGTGAAACTTTGTATACGTGTATATCGGAACTATTTTGTAAATAAAGATTTAACTATTGGTATTTTAACGGTTTAAAAAGTTTTAATTTCTGACGCCCGGTGCTAATCAGTGGGGTGTTTTTTTTTCTCTTTAATTTGTGTCGGTCGGGGTGAAGGGCAACCAACTGTGTGCGACGGGGCGTGTGGGGCTCACCGTCGATAGTGATTAAGGAGCAGGGACGTGGCTCAGAAGATAACGGAAGGTGAGGTTAAAGGCTAAGGTTAAACGCCTAATAATAATCCCTCCAAAAAACAAAACAATAATAAATTGGTCATTTTCAACTCCACGACTGTTTGTGGGACATTGCTGTGCGCCATTGGCTGCCGCAGTTCGCCCACAAATATACAGTCATTCACTTTACAGTGTGTTCTGTGAAGCGCTTCGGGACGTCCTCCCGACGTGAAAAGCGCTATATCAGATGCGAGGATTATTATTATTATTATTATTAAGGTCTCGGGAGACGGACCTTATTGCCATTATAATTATCCTCACGTTTGATACAGCGCCGTTTCCGTGCCGTTGCGACGTCTCGAAGCGCTTTGCGGGAAATAATGACGACGGTGATAACCATAATAATAATAATTGGGTCCAGTCAATTCAGGGCTATGTGGGGTCGTGGCTGTGACGGAATGCACAGTCACTACACCTGACGGTATATTCCGTGGAAGCGCTTTGAGACGTGATCGGGGCCTTATATCAAATGCAAGTATTACTCTCATCATCATCATTGTTATTATTAGTATTATTATTATTATTGAGTGGGTCTCAGAGAAAAAAAATCCCCCTGGCTTTTCCCGCCAAAACCCTGGCGGCGGGCGTGGCAAACGTCACCCGTGATGTCACGGCGCAAAGGTACGTCGCCCGCGTGGCGGCGGCGGCGGTGGGGGGGGGAGGGTTGGCGACGTCATCACGTCAAGGCCGCGCTCACGGCGGGGAGGCAGCGCTCGAGCTTCACCCGATGCGGTTTATTATTTTAACTCTCCCTTCGCTTCACAAGGACTTTTCGCCTCAAGAACCGGCTCCGGTGGCCCCCCCTCTCCCCCCCCCCCACCCACCGCCACCGGAGAGGCCTGTGAGGAGGGTCTGGCTGTGACGGCGAGCGCCGGGAGGGCGAGTGCGGCCGCTGTGAGCGGGGCCCGCGGGCGTCGCCGCCGCCGCCATTATTGTGGGGGGCAAAGCGGCGCAGGCGCACAAGCGACATGCCCAAGTCATGTGCTGCCTACAACTGCACCAACAGACAGAGCAAGAACAGGGGCCTGACCTTCCACAGGTGAGCCTCACCCCCCCCCCCTCACACCCCCCACACACACACCACCACACCCTCACACCCCCACCACACACACACCCCCCACACAACCACACACACCCCACCCCCACACACACCCACCACACACACCCTCCACACCCCCCCACCACACACACACCACACACACACCCACCTCACACACACACACACCCACCACAGACACCCCCCCACACACACACACCACACCCACACACACCCCCCCACACACACACCCCCACCCCACACACCCCCCACACACACACACCCACACACACAACCACACACACCCCACGTACACCCACACACACACACCCCCCCCCCACACACACCCACACACACACACCCCCCCCACACACACCCCCACCCCCACACACACCCACAGACACCCCCCCACCCCCCCACACACACCCCCCCACCCCACACACACACCCCCACAGACACACCCCACACACACACACCCCCACACCCCACACCCACCCCCCCCACAGACACACACCCACACACACACACCCCCACACCCACCCCCCCCACACACACCCGCACACCCCCACACACATCCCCCCCCCCAAGGCCTCAGTGGCGAGTTATCTGGAGCGGCGATTTAGGAGTGTGTATAAATACATTAAACCCTGTGGCCGGGATATTGATAGCATGATGATGGTGGTGGGCGGGGTTGAGTTATACTGTGTATACTACTGCTACTAACAATAATAATCCTCGCATTTGATGTAGCGCTTTTCACGTCTTCTCGACGTCCCAAAGCGCTTCACAGAATATGCTGTAAAGTGAGTTGACCGTATAATTGTGGGTGAACGCGGCAGCCAATTGCGCACAGCAGCGTCCCACAACAGTCATGTGTTTAATACTGTTTAATATATGGTGTGCTATAGTGATATAATATACACTGTCACTATACTGCTTACTGTGCACTGTATTACTGTTCGCAAAGTGAAATTGCGTTCACCTGCACTACATTTTGCAGTGAATGCTGTGAAGTGCTTTAAGACGGTTCGATGATGCGGCATTGGCTCTATATCAATGCAAGGCATTTATTAACATTCAGTGTAATATTTATTTATTAACATACAGGGTAATATGGTATCAGAGTATGAACTGACCTTTCACAATAACACCCAGCACCTTATATAATATTATAGATATATTCATACAGTGTAAAATGTCATTTTAATTATTGTTTCATTCCCTGATTGGCTTTTCTCTTTGCACAGATTTCCCTTCAGCAACCCGACCTCTTTGAAGAATGGGTGAACAATGTAGGGAGGGCAGAATTCCAACCGACCCAGCACACGGTAATCTGCTCCGAGCACTTCAAACTGGAGTGTTTCAACACGTGGGGCAACCGGAAAAATTTGAAGCACAATGCAGTGCCCACAATCTTTCACTACCCAGATACCATGAAGGTACAGAGTTGACTCAGATTAAAAGGAGTACTTATGTCAGGGTGGTCCAACCTTTTGGCTGCTAAGGGCCGGGTGCCCTGTTTGAGAAATGTCTGCGGGCTGCATAAGCAATATTTTTGGGTTTCCCTACCAGAAACATAACAAACATTTACGATTTGTGGAGGGAGTGGATGGGCCAGATGAAATGGCGGGTGGGGGAGGGTGGGTGGCGGATGATACCAGCCTGTGGGTCAGATGCGGCCCATGGGCAACCAGTTGGACTGCCTTGTCTTATTGCAGTAGTAGAACTTGATATCCACACTGATTGGGTCTGGCCCACTGTAGATATGAAGAGCATGGGTATCAGTCTATGTGTGGTATGTAGTATATCTGTAACTTTGTGCTTCTGAACTGT